TTTAAAAAAAATTTAAGAATTTTAGGCAGGATTCAAACCCACGACCCTTTAGTTGCGAGCACGGTGGTTGCGAGTCAGACGCTTTTCACTGGGAACGGCGCGAGCGTCTGGCACGACAAAAACGTGATTTTGGTAAGAGCGTTTTTGCAAGCAAAGTAGTTTCCGGAGTCACGGATTTGGTCTGCGCCAAAGATGCAGGGAAGAGGAACCTTTACAACACAGTATGTTCTTAAAACTCCCCCCCCCCCCACACACACACACACGCACTTCTTTATACAGCGGAGCTGTTAAGGGCTAGTTTCCCCAGTGTCATGTCCGTCAGCAAACAAATGATGACACTAAACTCTGAACAGCTACCGCCATTTATAAATGACGACGGCAACCAGACAACCGGCTTGCCGGTTGTCTGGTTGCCAACGTTGCGCATAGATGGCGGCAACCTCTCCAGCCTTTCCACTCTGGCTTGCCGACTTGCGGCCGGCCATTACTCCATTCCCACCATAGTACAGCTTCGCTGGTCTTCCTTCTTCACCAGAGTGGACAGGCTGAAAGTATTTCTGAGGAATTGCCTCCTCCGTTTGTGTGTGTTGATTCGACAATTTTATTTGAGACTTGTTAACCGCAACCCTTCATTGCTTTTATTTTGCACCCCGTGAAGTTTCGATGGGTCATAAAACGACATCGGGTTGGAATGTTCATGACTTTTCCGAGGTGTACTGGTCCTCTGGCCCAAGTTTACTCGCGCAGGCCGCCACTAATTCAGAAGCTTCTTTGTCGCGGTGAAATTGCGAGGATTAAATTAGACTATTTCTTTTAGTCTTGCCTTCCCAAAGATTGATGTCGCAATTGTAGGACCAAAACCACCCGCCTGACGACAGTCGAGAGCGGCTCATGGATTGGACAGGAGGACTGCGTGAGCACTGTACATAGGCTCGTAACAATCAATGCCTCGGCGGACACTCGAGTTGTGGCTCGTGTCCAACCATTGCGGTGATGAGAACAGCCGAACTCTAACAATGCCTGGAGCTGAGCACGCGTTTTCTTCCTTTCCAACCCCAGCGCGGGGGTATGATTAACGTTGGCGGCATAGGATAGGCACCAGGCCACATGGCCGTTTCTGGCTCAGAGTTGAGGGTATGAACGATGCTCATATTTCTCTAATTTTTTAGCGACTGCCATTGCCTAGAAAAAATAGCAAAGCCAAGTTCAAGCAGTTATTAACGTTAGGGAGTGATACTGAGTAGTATTTAGTGATGTAGAGAAATAGTTTTATAGCTCCTTTAAGCAAAGTAGAGAGGGAGTCGAAACTTGGGCGAGAACTTGAGAACGACGCTCGTGTGAGACTTACAGCGACTGCCAACGTTCGGCTGTCTCTCTGAGGTCACTAAATATCTTCTTTCTTTTTTTAGGTATTCCTTCCATACACACGTGTAGTTCTATGTAATGTCATATTAATAAGTCGCATCTAGTAATTTCATTACTTCTCTTCTCAGGGACATCTTTCGGGTGCAGTTCAGCAACAACGAAAAATATTTGGGTGCCTCAATAATGTAAAATGGGTCTTGCAACAGTTTTTCTTGTACTTTCAATAAATAGTGTTAAGAAATAACCCCTAACGTTGATAGCTTGCGGAAACATCCATTAGCTTCCCTTAATAGCAGATGCAGAAAAAATAAAGGAAAGAGACAGCTGTCGATATCTCAACTCGCAATTTAAACAAGCGGCCTTGTTTTAAACAAGCGGCCTGATACCGCCAGTGTTCATCACGGTCATGCTCTAGGCGGCTAGGGTTTGGAAAGCAAAAGCTTGGGCTGGAGCTTCAGATATTGTTAGAGTTGGGCTATTATCATATATAATTGACATGAGCCGTTACCCGAATGTTTGGCGGTGTTGATTGTCATGAATCCGAGCACTCGACTAGAGGGTTATGAAAATCGCTTACGTCCCGGTGCCACGTGACTCTCGGTGCAAAATCGTGATGTCATGTTACGTAACGCTGTCAACAAGGCTAATACATCTAGTGACTTCCTCAAATTTAATCGAGTTGACGCAGTGAGTCACGTGACGTCACGAGGTCACGTGACATGTATTGACACCATGGCGTCACGTGACAACGTGCCACATGGTTGATCATAGTGCCATGAAAACCCACAACTTACCATACTTTTCAATTCTGTATACGACGATTTGATCCACAGATAGAAATACAGCCGCCAATTTTTTATTCCCATATGTTCAATTTGTGATACAAAAAATTAGAAAAAAAAATATTACCTTGAACCGTTTTGAACTGGTTACCGTTATATTTTTTTTTCGGTTCGGTTCCAAGATGGCGGCGAAGATTTCGGTTCGGTTCAGTTCCAGTTCGGCTAAAAATAACGGTTCTGTTCCGGTTTTCGGTTCGATCCGGTTCCGGTTCGACACACTGCATGGAGGCCTTCGCCATGCACCAGTCACAACTTCGGGTCCCCGTCCATAGGCTTATCCAGGAGGGAGATAAACTTCCTGAAGCCAGAGCTGACGTCCCTGGTTTCCGCGGTTCCAAGCGACTACATGTCAACCCCACGGGATCGTCCTTCACTTCCCCGGCTCTACACCCTCTCCCATCACTTTCCCACTTTCCAGTGTAGCGTCTTTCCCCCTCCCATCCTTCACCTATATATGCAAACTTCGGGCCATAAATGTTGTTGCTAGTTGGAAGTCTTTGTTGTTCGTCCCCCCTTTCTACGTATCTTCCTTATGTTTAATTACTGTTACCAACACGCGCTCGTTTTGCACTCATATACACCCTTTAGACTTTTTTTTTTTGTGTGGTTAAAAAAAGCAACACGCGATACGTTTTAACCTGGTTCCCTCGCAACAGCTGATGCAGGCAGCCATGTGGATCCTGTCGACAGTGATCGCAGTGGTGGTCATCTTCGGGCCCTACCGCTGGTACACGGGCGCGCCCTACGACTCAGCCGACGCCATCTTGTACGCGGCCACGCACCGGACGGCCTGGGCCCTCAGCCTGGGCTGGATGACGTACGCCTGCGCCACGGGCCGCGGGGGTCTCATCAACCGGTTCCTCAGCTGGAAGGCCTTCATTCCGCTCAGCAGGCTGTCCTTCGCAGCTTTCCTCATGCAAACCCTCGTCATCCTGAGCAGGACCATCCTCACGAGGGAGCGCGTGCACTACTCGCACACTTCGATGGCAAGTCGTTCAGGGAAACTGCGCTGAATAGCCGTTAAAGCCGTTGATCTAGGATGCCCTGTCGCACTTCGATGGCACCTCGGCCGACTTGGTAATGTGCGTGACCAAAAGCGTCGCTATAATTGGCTTCCCATGACTGGCCAAACGCTCAATATGGCGTCTTTGGTGAAATCAGTTGTTTTCATCGGCGGAAATGAGACCGTAAACTCTGACGCCGTTTGTTGAAGAATGAGTAGCATCCAAGCTTCAACTGTGGTTTTTACACACACCATCAACCTTGCCACTCACAACTGATAAGCAGCCAGGATCACAACTCGTAGCTCCTTGCGCACCTCGTGCGAGTCAAGATTACTCGCACGTTATTTCTCGGCGCGGGGTCTTATAGCAAGCCTTAATACCTGATTGCTATGTTTGGTTACGGGCCGGCGCAACTTGCGAAAGAGGGTAGCGTGGCCCTATAAGACTGAAAAAAGGTCGCTGGAAGCACCCAAAAGTGGGTGCGGGATGGCGCTACAGCCTACTGCAACGGTAGACCAGGGCATGTGATGAATTGTCCAAGCAAAGCGTCGTAAATCTACAACATTCATATGTCCAAGGAAGATCATGGTAATACCAATAAAACGTGTCAATGATAAGGGCCGAATAAAGGATATAGTATAAAAATTATAGCCAACAAATTCATATTGTGATCACAAGTGCATGCTAAATAAGAAAAGAAAGGTTTCGACAGCATCAATGTATTCAGCTTAAAACACGATATATTGGAACACTTTTCTAGACCGAAGGCAAAAAAAAAAAAAAGAAAGGCATATTCGCGATTTTCGTTGGTCTGCGCTCTTAAATCTTTCAAACCTTAAAAACAGACCATGTCGTGTTCAAATAGCTAGTTTGGGAATGTCCGAATATATTTGGATATACGTGCTAACGAATCTAAGCGAGATTCTTGAATGTGATGCTAAGCAACTGATACTGAAGTTCGGCTTCATTGCGGTAGCTCTTGCATCGCGGTGAAGCCTAGCGTTTATGCTTTGCTTCGTGCTTATACTTCGTTTCAGCTTCGGTCCAGACGCAGCCAAAGCTACAAGCGCGAGCTCCGGGCTTTCAGCATCCCTGCCAAGCACGCGCGCTCGTGCAGTGCAAGCACTGTTCTGGGCCACATGCGTGCGCTTGTAGCATCGGCTGCGTCTGGACCGAAGCTGAAACGAAGTATAGTGCACAATCTTGTCGGCTATAGGGACGAGACCGTGGTGTCATTTAATGTTTCGTTTACACGAGAGTGAGTGTCAATCAAACGCTGAATCTATAAAACAGGCTTGCGCCAGCAGCTTCGGCAGCGTTGTACACTAAGGAATGAACATTTATATGAAACATATCTAAGACATGCTCGAAAGGGCTTATTTAATACATAAGCACACTCGATAAACGCCCGATTAAAGAATCCGAAAGTTTGAATATTTAAATTTTCACCCATAATATAATGTAAAAGATTGTGCGCTCCTCTACCATCAGGCAGTCGATCCTTACTTACGCTTTCTTGCTTCCTTCTCTTTCAGATTCAAGATTACATGTTTGCGTTCATGATGTCATACATCTGCGCATTTTTGTTGTTCCTTGCGTTCGAGGCACCTGTGGGGAACCTCGAAAAACTCCTCTTTGTAGGAAACAAAAAATTGGCGTCATCATCTCAAGACTCCAAGTGTGCCGAGAACTCACAGAATGGAAATATTCCAGTGCCTGTGGAAGTGGTCACCATGCCAGAACACCGCAAGAGAAACGGATCTTGCAGCATCACCAAGAACGACAGTGATTCTAAAAGTCATCTTTAGTGTTCAGGACTTCGTTCAAACTTTGCCAAGTTTTTGGCAAACATGGCTACTCACTCTAGCGCATCAAGAACATAATGCGTTTTTCCAATGACAGCTTTCACGAGCGCATGTACAATGTAAGGTCTACTAGATACCTTGGATACAGAATAACCTAAAACTCCAGCCCAAAACCTGTAGTAACATTCATGGCACACTGCACTGTAAAAGTTTGGGAATCCAATTCAATGTTAAAGAAACGTCATCCCATGTGACACGACCTGCAGAAGCAAAACAATATACGGACATTAACCATATATTTCTTTAGTTTATGTACCTGTTAACCAACATGCTCAACATTCAGGCATCAATAGATGGGATCTTTCTACATTGGCACCTATTTTACATATGTGCACTCCCATCCGAATAGAATAGTTATCAATATACAAAAATGTTTAGTAATGCTTGAAAGGTATGTGCTGTCTCCTGTTTCATTACTGCATATAAGCACACTCATCGATCAATCATGTATGAATTTTAATCAGTGTAACAAAGTCATTCCTTATATGTAAAGATTATTATTATTTGTGCAAACTAATCTCAGTGAACAGAGCGCTAGCCAAAAGGAACAATGAACCAGAATGATTAAGAATAGCCCTACCAGTGTAAACATCAAGCACTTGCAAATGTCTAGTTAGCAACATTGTACAATCTACCGTCTTCACCAGGTAGATTGCAACCTTGGTATATAATGAACAGAACATAGACACTTTTTTGTCAGAGCTATGTGGACCATAATGCAAATTATACTGAACTGCTGGACAGCTATTTGTTAGCATGCATTCCAAGTACTGCTCCAATTTCAGGTTAGCTTCATCAGACCCCATTATTGACAACAGCTTTATTGAAGCCAAATGAAGACAGTAAAGAGGGATTGAAATTGGCAAACTTGCACGGGAGCTCCCGCACATGGGTGCAGCTATATCTTCAAATTAGCTAAAGTAATAAGTTTTGAGTGTAGTCTGGTACTACAGGCAACTAGTACATTTTAGGCGTACAAGCTTGGTTGCTTTGATACTCTTTGGACATCATGTGCATGGGGCATATAGCTTACTTTCAACACTACCAGGAAAGTGATTCAGTGTTCCTGGTTTGTTCTAAGAGCACTTGGAAATCATTTTCTACTAATCTTTATTAACTGACACCCTGGTCCTATACACCTGTCATGCTAGTTTACTTACTGATGTTATACTCACCTAGATGGGGCTGGACCTCACCTTTCATTTAATTAACCAAACAAAAGCTGTACAAAGTAGTTTTTACATTTGATATGCCTACTACTTTATACATGCAATGTGTATATATGACATGTAGTTTATCAGAAATGCATATACAAGAAAAACATTCTGTACATTGTGTCAAACGGGCATAGTCTTAACATTGTAAAAGTGTGTCGATTCAAATAAAACATTCGTTGGCAAATAAAGGCAAGGTTCTATGTATTTGTTTTGTGGCACTGAATGTTTTGAATGGCTCAAGTCACACAGCATAAGGCTAGCTGTACCTTCGAATTAAAATTTCTGTGCATGTATGCTAATGCAGTGGAACCCCATGCAAAGGCACAAGTTTTCACAAGCAGCTTTTAGAGAAGATACGAATGGGGAGCGCATGCTTCGAAAATCGTAAAGTATTTCTCCATAAAAAGTTTAGAAACTCAACAGAATGCAGCAAAATTGATTTTCTACTTTCATTCTTCCGATAGTTTCTTCACTCTTGGAACATAGAAGGCAGAGTTGAACACCATCTTCTCTCTCACTTCGTCTTTGGCATTCACGTGCTGATAGGGGCACTGAAAGTTAAAATCGGAAGAGTCCTAGAGTCAAGCACTGTGCACTGGGTGACTGTATATGTGATCTTCAGGAAATATTGATAGTCACCGATCTTCCTCAAAATTGGCTGAACACATTATTGGCTACTTCTGAACTAGTAACCCAAATTACAAGTGACAACAATGTGTTTTCATAAAGTTACTGAATTTTCTAAATTTGGTCCGAGAGGCTGAGAAGCTTTACAGACAACACCGAAAATGCAATGTCAAATGTTGCAATATAGGGCACAGCATGATCTTAAAGGGTGATGATGTCAAATGTAAACAAACAAAAACATGCTATATAGCTTGTTTCTTGGACTGAACACAACACGAGAAAATTTGAATGCTGGTTTTGGCATAGCCTTCATTTGCAATTTTCTCGATAGTTATTTTGAAATGAAAGGTAACAAATAGCATGACAGAAAGAGTAGAGCCTGGGTATTCCCAAAATATGTTTAGATTGGGTAGCACAAGAAATGGCTGGAGCTCCTCTTTAACTGATTCCCTTCTGATGCCAAATCTGAATATCAAGAAACTCAGAGGAAAGCTGTATTGCTACAGCAAACAAGGTGTTTAGGTTAGGCAAAATGGCAGCACATATATAGGCATCAGTGAACATGCAAAATTACATCCACTAGGGATGAAATAAGAAGGAAGCAAAAAGTACTCTTGTTTTCGTGAAAAAAAATTTTTTTTTTGTGAATTTTATGAATCAAATATGCAAACAAATAAAGCAAACATAACATTTCAGAAACAAACTTCATTCAGCATCAGTATAAATGTGTGAAAACACACATCCAGAGGATTGCACTTCACTGTCCATTGGTTTCGACAATAAAAAAATAACTGATGAGCCACACCACATGCCTGCATGAACATTGCTCCACATCCTGACTGAAATTTCCTGTCAAAGACCAGCAGGATCGTATTGCGTATAGATGCTTCCCTGCATTCTCAGCGATAACTGCTACAATCAAGCTTCCATCTGTTAATGCCAAAGAACCCTTGTCACATGGGGTCATACAATCCTGAAGATCAGGCATCACCAGCGAACAGTGAAAATTGGCTGCACTCAGAGGCACTGGTTTGCAGTAGCAGAGTAAATACACTGTGGGAGGTAGACTGTTTAACAAAGTAAAATGTACTAAACTGAGTTAGAACTTTTTCATTTACCTTGTTTTGCTTGTAACCACAGTCACTGCAGGCATAAAGTGACAATAAGTTTGGACCCTAAAATTTCTTGTGCTTGGCTACAAGACACGGTAACCCTACTCTGCAGTCCATTAACCGTTTCATCAAAATGTGTGCCCAAAGACACCGCAGTCAGGACGAAGCTAACGCAAATGCCAATCCGCTTTTGTCCTTTCATATAACGATACCAAAACCTGAGAAGAGACTTGAGGCTTTTTCACATCTTTCGTATCATGAAATTTAGTACTTATGAAATATTCCAAATCTCTAACTTAAGTCAAATTCGCCAGATACTGAGCTAAGAAAAAAAGAAGCTGTTTACAATGTTTGAAAGATTACAAAGATGACACTTGATGCCCTGTTCTTGATTCCCAAAAGCACATTCAAATATGTGACCAATAAATTTTGAGGAGCATTCATATTTTGAAAAAAAAAAAATACAAAGGGCTTGAAATTACGGCCATTACAACTTGACGGATAGATGCCCACAAGCTGTCTCCTGGACATATCACATACATGCTAGGAGGTAAAAGAGAAGAAAATGGCAAACAGATAGACATTCTCCAGCCTAGAAAAATGAAATCAGCTTGACACACTTCCACTCATATTTCCAGGCTAACAAAAAAGAAAGATGGTGCACTGCCTCTTATATCAATGCCTGGGCAAAGGTTATCCAACCTTAATTTTTAACATTCTTTTACAAATAAAGCACCAAGATAGGAGCAGGGGGTCATAATGGAAAATAATTCGGATGTGCAATAAAACTACACCTAAGAGATTACTTCCATATGATATCAACCCTCCTCAGTTTGAAGCCTTGGTTACATGCACACAGCTTCTCTGTTCAAAGAACCCAACACATCAGATGTAACCAAAAATTAACCAACTGTGGTCCCTGCTAAGGATAAACACACAAAGGATGTGATATATATTTACACTCCTCGTTATTCAGTGTTTGTTCCTCCCAAGCAGTACTCTCTTAAACTATGCAGGGCAGGCACGTAGCCAGAAGGGGGGGGGGGGGGGGCGGCCCCCCTCTTTCCCCTTGAAATCTTCTATTTTGCTGGAACCTCCTCTCCCCCTGCCCCTCATACAGCATTTTGTCATGGGCAACCCGCCCCCCCCCCCCCCCCCCCCGAAGCAAAATCCTGGCTATGTGCCTGATGCAGGGACTAAAATACTAAAATACTACATTGACTCAGCAGCAAAAAGAGCACACCTAGACTCACTCAAAAGCAACAAATGATATGACTCACATGTCTACACCCACAACCACAGCAGTAACCCCTCAGGTAGTGGAAGAGACCAGTGAATACTTTGAAACCTGTACCAGGATCTGTGTAAGATGTTTGAGAACTCTGTAAGAAAAATAAAGCAAATATATTAAATAACAAAAGGTACATTCAATAGACCCCTTGCAGAAAACCCAGCAACAGTGTCTCTCGACATGGTAACCATGGCAATACCGAGGCCATCAGCTGCTGCGTGCCATGGTGAAAAAAAGCAGGTCGCATCCTTGCTGTGCACCAATTGAACTTTAGGCACTTCATCTGTTGTTTTAAGGGCAATTTATGCACTCCAGAGTGTGAGTGAAGATGCCAACACACTGCTGTGTCCTTGTCTACACGCAGTATGGACAGACTGAGAGATCCAGACACAAGGTAGTATGTATATGCACATACCAGACCGTCTGCTGCCGCAACCGTTTGGCTAACCTCACGAGTTGCATTACACTGCTTTGTACTTTCTTTACTACCGATGTTAGATACTTTTGGTGCGGATAAAAAAGTCGAATTCACCCGGCGCACCCGCTGTCGTCTGGCCAGCTTCCCGATTTTGCATATAGTTGGTTAATACACTATGTTGTTATTTCATTGTATGGTTGTTTTGTGTTCACTGACAGACAGATCTCGTTGGCGTGGCTAAATGAGCAGTCAAACTTGCAAATGTCCTGTGAACGTTTTCTGCTCTTTAACGAACTATACATGCCAGACGAAAAACAAAAACGAGAAACTCCGCCCCGCAGGCGCAATTTTCGAAAGCCTTTTGTTACTGAAACATCTACTAACACTATGTTACTTCATGCTGCCATGCAATATTGGGACAACACTGCATTAAGTTCACCTTAGGGACATCTTTTTTTATTCAAGTTTAGTGGGCTATATGCTTTGTGGGTTCCGAAAATGACTTGCAGACACATCATGATGAGAGGTTTTATTTCAAATTTTATACCTAGCTAGCTAGCTAGCAAAATTATTTTCCCAGTCGGTGATGGAAAACAGAACTCAGTTACTTGCATTTGCCATGCTGCTTCTTCATGCAGAGACAGCAGGAAGAAGCAAAAACATTCCTTTGCCATGCGGAGTGCGCACACCATTGCCAGTGGCAGAGTTGTCACGTTTTCGCAAGTGGTCTATACCCAGATTCACTTTTTCTATACTGCCTCAAAGGTATGCCAGATGTACCTGGTCAGTTTTCTTAAAGGCAGGTCGGATGGATCGGGCGAATTTTATTAAAGGTACATCGGACGGATCTGATTTGTACTCACCGACTCTCTGATGTGTCCTTCAGATTTAGATGTGAGGCAAAGAAAACATGTAAGCAACATTTAGATGTTCAACACGAAATAATTTGAAGCAGTAATAAACTTTAGAAACTTTAGTAAAGGTATGTCATACAGATCCGGTGAATATTTCAGTGAATTTTTTAAGTCAGGCGTATCTGTCGATTTGACTATTTCAATTTCCACTGTCAAAATAAATATCAACATTATATTTACACCCGTGAAGTCACTTCTGTTAAGACGTGAAAGTAGTTACAATTTTTCTATGGTGTTGACTGAGTCGCTTGCCCAAGAAAGTGAAGAGCTTTGCCGCCTCGCCCCTGCCCAACATTGAGAATGTCTTCAGTATCTGTGTACTCGACAGTTGGACGATTTTCGTACAAGTTTGAACAAAAATCTGATGTGACACAGCATTATTGTAAGATTTGGCACCAAGAGCTGGATTACACAGAGGCGATGCTGCGCTCTCGCTTGGGACATGTAATGTGTGCCATTGTCTTTGCATTCCACGAATCTAACGGACATGTGCAATGGATACATCCAACGACGAATACGTCCAATGTGTGGTCCAACAGACATATCTTGGTATCGATGGATACATCCAATGCATGGTCTAATGCACATCTTGGAAAAAATTGGATGGATCTATCCAACGTACCTTTACAAAGAAATCTGGATTCGTCCGACATATTTAAAAAAAAATTCAGAAAATTTGTCCGATGTATTGTTAAGAAAATTGACCAGATATGTCGGGCGCTTTTTCTAACCTACTTCCATTCATCATGTTCCGGCTGCTAATTAATGTGCATTTTTTATTAAGTTTTATACAAGTAAAACGCTGAACCCCCCACTTCGACAACTCAAGCTCAACTCAAGCGTCTAACTTTTTGATGGTTTCCAAGTCTCTTGGAATTCAGGCAAGCCAGTGGGCAGGGAGAGAGTAACTAAATATCAGTGCATCATATTTTAACCGGACGACGCGGAAACTTCCTCCACAAACGGGGGCAACCCGCGGTGCCGAAAGCGCACGATATGTGAGGTCTTTGGTCCTGGCCTTACTACTGGTCAGAGCCGCTAAAAGCTTTTTTTTTAGTCGAAAAACAAAATATAAGTGGAGCAAACCATTTCAATTATTTATGAAAGTAGTTTTCATTCAGTATTTTAGATAAGAAACAAATGCAGTTTATAATGTACGGAAACAAGAACTGACCCGTCTACATACCCGCCACCAAGCAGCGGAAAATTGGAGCATACTAGAAAGGGCTAGTGGGATGAGGCACCGACAAGTGGCGAGTAGAAGGGTCCCGGACATACGCGGCAGCGCTGTGGTCGTATACCGGTTCGAAAATCTGACCGGTTCCGAGCGTTCCGAAGGCCTCCGGCGCACGTTTGGCTGGCGATTTAGCCGTTTAGAGGTATGGCAGCGTGAAGTGGCTCCCGTTCTGAACTGATCTTTACCCCTTGTTTGCTGTCGTTAGTGGCCAATAAAGTGTCACGGCGAATTAATCTTTTATCACGCAGCAAATGCAATGCAAGCCACCCTGGCCGCCTGCTTCATACAGCCTATCCAACACATGCTTTAGAGGTACCCTCTCGAGCCGTCAAAACGGAGTAGGCAGCTGTGAGCGCTCACTGAGCTCACTACCCTCCTCTAGTTCACGGCCACTCAAGCGACCAAGGACGTCACGAAGGAGGTTATTTTTTGCTTGTTTTTGTAATTTTAATTTGCCAATAACATTTAAAATAAGGCAAAATTCAAGAAAAGAAATGTTTCATTAAGCTACTATGTTCAGTGCGCTCAGGTTCGGTGCAAATTAAAAACCAGTCAAAAAGTTGTTGCGGGCCCCTTTAATGCTTTCACAGCTCCACGTCAAAGCACGAATAACATGTTAGTGAATTTTCACAGCATCTGGCAAGATGCCCTAAAGGCGCATTCACACAGCGGAAAGACGCGCGTTAGGGGGTGAATTTTTTGCTTATTTTTGTATTGAAAAAAGTCGCGTGCCGAGGAGGACGATGCAGGGAGACAACGCCTCGGAACCCAATTTTTAACTAGACGCGCGAACTTGAGCCAATCAGCGAGCGTCCGGACGTGTCACCCTTTTCCATTTAGGACATGTTTTTGCTGTTTTTATTTTCAACCCACAACGAAGGCGAAAAAGCAGAGGGGTCGAGGGATTCGTGCACTCGCCAAACGCCACTGGAAGAATTTCAGCGTGCAAAGAAGTAAGCCGGTTGGAACATCTGACTGTGAGCAGTGTTTTATGTGCGTGTACCACGCCGTGAAACTACTCTTCATCGTTTGCGCGAAAGCTGCCACCGAAGTTTGCGGGATGTTCCGACCTCCAACTGTGCGGGAGTGATCATTGCCAATGTGTTGTGCAGTCTATGTGTGCACCCACCCCTACGGAATACAACAGCTCTCCATCGAAAACACTCTCGCACAAGCCGCGTGCAGTGTTAAAGGTATGGACGCACCAGCGTAGCACCGTGCTTTCTTTGCACAAAAACGCGGCAAAAAAGCACGTTCTGAAGCTGCCCGCTCGAGTCCGTGCTTTTTGCCAATGCTGCATATAACCGGAGTGTAAACATATAAACAATCATCGCCATTGTCCATTCAGTGAAGACTGTTGTCTCTTACCGCATATGTCATCGCGAAGGTAAGGCAACAACAATCGTACAAAGCAGACAAATAAAAAAATTCTGTGTTCTCTCGACAAACTAGAAGACGCCACCGTCGGGTGGCCCTGTGCGACTGCTTCGTATTTTACAATGCCAACGTCGACGTCGACTGCAACGTGCGTCTTTTGCACAGTGTGAATGCGCCTTAAAAGTAGGTTGGAAAAGCGCTGCTTATCTCTACTCGACAAGACCGATTAGCATCTGAACAGAAGTCCGCACTCGAACACAATTTTTCTTTTATCGTCACCATGCCCTTTACCTATTACCTTACTGACTTCCATGTGACGTCATTCACAGAGCGCTCCAATGACCACCAGAAAAGAGGGGATCCCCTTTTGTGCCTCCTGGATTTGTACAGACGTCGCTATTATCCTCCCAGAAGATCATAGAAAATTAACCTGTCACTCCAAATTCTTACGAAAGTAGCTTCCCTCTCTTTCTGTTACATGATGGTTAAAAACATACAATGTGGCGTCAGTGCAAGCATGTATTGAGCATGCTGGCATATAGTTCAATCAGACAGTACAATAAATTCTAGAGTTGTTATTTACGGTTCTCGCCATCCAATTTCCATGTTCAATGAGGCAAAACAAGCAAATAGCTTCAACATAAGTAGGGCAAATAAATTCGCTACACTTTATATACAGTTTATTTTACGAGAAGCCTGCCATTCAGAACCATACACCATCTCCCGCCATATGGCTCAATAAACGCTTTCTGACCACGATACTTTGAAGTACACGCCCAGGTATCGAACTGTTGGAAACGGTTTGCTAAAACTGCCCCATAAATCGGTTGTGCGTGAGTACCTTTACTGCTGTTTTGTGTGCCCTGTAAATCATGTCCTCGAGCTCTGTCCACTTGCCACGACGAAGAGAAGTGTCTTGGTGATCGAACAATTGCAAGTACTCCTGCACTTTTTGTAGACGCTCTTTCTCATTCTTTGGACCAGGATTCAACGAAGCCTCTTCTTCTTTGTTCGTCCAGAAAGTGTCACTGCAAATCCACAAGTAACTGGTCTGACCGGGCAGAAATAAGAGTTTCTGTCGCAAAGTCAGCATCCTGTCTGTCGAGGAGCTACAAAGATAACGCCGTTAGCTGCAACGGTAGGGTGTGGATTGACTTTCATAAGCGAAACTATTTACTAAATAAGCTTTAAAGTTATTTATACTGCTAACTCACTGGCATGTCTTGATCACTATCCAACTACACACGGAGACGTCTCACAAAACGAAAGTATCGTGTCATAACCGCAATAACAAAATCAAGCACACCGCCATCTTGGATTATTTGCGTAACTCTCGACAACACCAACTAGGTAAATTCACCTAAAAAGTGGTCTAAGGCATTAAAACAAAGTGTTTGTAATTTAATTTTATTACATTACTTCATAAAATTAATAAAATGTTATTTGAACAGTTATTGATTAGAGAAATAAAACTCTAGCTACCAGGCATCAGCTGGTGTTCACTGCCGTCATGGCGGACGCTGCTGAGGATTCGCAGCTTGGACTTCGAAACTCGCGATGAAATAACGCCCTTGGCCGCGCAACATTAAGCTTGACAATTTGGCTCGCTGCATCCGAAGCAGCAGACGCGAAGGATGGGCTCCAGAATACGGTAAGCTTTTAATCAGTGGGGTGTCCCTCTTTCACTTACTGGAGGAGGAGTGTGGGAAAAAGTTGTGAAAGTCGAGCACTTCGTGATCCACCTACTCCTTTTCTCGTGTGTTATCTTCTTGCTCGGTCAGTGATGTATTCTTAGTTTTTAGCACAGTATACGCACAAGAAGAAAGTTTGTCACTTGCCGCTTAGAAACGGTCGTGGTCGTCAGAGTCGTTCTGGTTTTTGTTTTTAGTCCTCTCTTGCTCTGATTTAGATCAGCGATCTTGCAAACCGGGAACTGATCTGTCACAGTCTAGATGTTCCCATGACGCGCGCTGCGCTTGTAACTGTCTGGGAAGATTGTGGTATGACGCTGCCACGCTTCGGGACTGTAAAGGGACGCCCACGGCATCCTCCCATCATACAGCATGTCATTGAAACCGCTCGGCAAATTACTCCGTTTTGGAATCCCACTTTCGCAGCGTTGGTGCGACACAGCATGTTGACTCTTTGCAGGGAAAGCCCATCCACGATAATCGAGTGCTTCTGCGAAGTCGTGATACCGAGCAGCGGCAACGAAAGTAAGTTTCTTCGTCTGCTCAAAAAATAAATAAAGAAAACGTAACTGTGATCATATAACCAATCTGAGAAGGTTGGATGTAATCGTGCAAAACTACCTGCGTCTATTGTTTTTCTCACGCTCTTATTGTTTCTTGTTTCTGCCTTTATGTTTTAGACGACCGTTCTGAATGGTTTCTGTTTATCTGTTCGTTTCCTTACCTTAGCCTTTGCTCGGGTCCCAGGATAAGTCATTTGACACCAGCGGCTGGGGAGTGTTCAAAACAGTGACTCACTTCGATTGTCCCACTTTCTCTAGGTGCGTGGATCCTGCAAAAGTTCCCAGAGAGCTACAGTAATGATGTACGTTCTTTTTGCATCATTTGTTGCAATCCTTAAAATAAATGCAAAGGCACCGATGTTTAATGCGTGCTTCCAATTTTGCCTGTGCAGGAGATTCTGAAGTCTGTGCCGGAGTTTGCTTATCCATGCGAGTTTTCTAGGTGAGTAGACATATTCAAGGGATAATTGTTGCAATATAAAACTTATCAAAGCGACTAAATAGACTAAGCCAACTAATGTGGAAAAAATGAAAACAGTTCACACATCATGTTTTGAATGGAGGCAGTGCCCAACGGAGAGCGACAAATCACGATCTTGATACAATGTGTCATTAGTACACTTTGTGATTTTTCTATGCCTGACTTCTAAACGAATCAGAACCTAATGGTTTATAAACCATGCTTACCTTGTCTAGAGATTTAAAATTCCTGAATATACTTCCACACAACTTTTAGCGTAGCAATCAAAAATTGGTGATGATACTCGCAGGGCTTTCATAAAGTAAAAACAACCGTGTGCACATTGTTAACTCTCGGTGTCAGCTTTTAGATGCTTGTGTGCTTTGCACATGGCTTTTCTGTTTACCAAAGTGGTGTCAAACCCATGCTCCTTTACTCATTTAAGCTTTGTCGTTTCACTTGGAAGCACTGGTAAAACTGGCCACAGCCGTCTGTTGTGGAAGTTTCTCTTAAAAACGATCCACATATTGTGCCAACTTTGCCTGTGCTAAGCACATCTATACCGAGTTTAGGGCTGCCTGCTTCACATTTTGTGCATTTGCTTTTACTTTTTATATGTCAAAAATGTAACTTAAAAAAAAAAGGAGCACTTTACTCTTTCTCAACTTCCAGTAGTATATCTTTAAATTCTATTAGTTATCCGATTACCTTGCTACTGTGATAAATTTGCTAAGTGTGTTAAATGCCAAGTAGCATGCATTTCTAAATAATTTTGTTTATAAGCTCTTTTTTATTAGTACAAGCTGCAGGGATCGCTATATCAGTTTACTGCAATGCATTATGGGGCCTTTTCTTTCTTTAATTTCGAATGTAACAGAGTCAAACATTGCTTCATTCTTTTAACTCTAGCACTGCGGTTCAGCACTTCAGCTTTGTGTTGACGAGCATCGACAGCAAGTGGACTTTTGGCTACTGTCGTCATGCTCCCAACTCCCAGACTTGCTTTGTTCTCCTCAGGTAAAAACCTCTCAATGCCTTGACCTCAAGCAGCATTTACTACTCTGTACTGAAATCACTGTTGCTTAGACTCTCATTTCCTTCTTAAGCTCCAAGCTGTATTACCATTGTATAAAACACAAAAACTAAAATTGGCAAAAAAAAAAGTTTTTCTTAGATAGCATATTTTGCACCCTGTGCATATTCAGCACATAAAAAGCAAAAGAAAGTGTTAAACAATACACCTTGAAAAATGTCTGCTTTACTGGTGCACAAAGAAGCTCACGTCATAGAGAAATCAATGTTAACATGATCGGTCATTCAGGAAGTCGTCACGTCTGGTCATAATGAATGATCCTGGAAAAACAAATTTTTGTACCTCTTGTAGATTGTCCGCACTGTGCAGAAATTTCAACACTTGGGCATGTATGGTCTGTGGACTATAGTTAAGAAAATATGAAAAATTCTAAAAGTTACATTCTCATTTTCAACTAAGGGGCACCACGGGTCGTATCGGTGAGATGTTGCGACAGAGGTTCTGAAACATCTACACTCCCTTTGGCAATGCATCACTTGCTAGGAGAATTGTTCCGCTCGACGCACATATTAGCATGAACACGTCCGTCAGCAAAACCTAGCGATCGTCGATTGGCAGCGCATTGTATGAGCGTGCATTTCTCTTGCTAGATGACGATAACAAATGAAGTTTGGCCATTCAATTAACATTTCTTGCCATAATTTCTGGATTCTATATCGTTGGAGTCCTAGAAATGCGAGCTAATTGTAGCATTCCTTTAATAGTATGTACATGTATGCCATGACTTAGGTACTACTCTTGTGTGAGTGATACAAGTTAACCAAGTTTGAACTCTGCTTTAGCTACTTGCCCTGGCATGAAACATTCTACAAGGTGCTCAACCAAATTGCCGAATTGGCCAACAAAAAAGATGTAAGTATCTGCCATTATCCCTTTCGTGGCTGGATGTTTCTTTCCCAAAAGACGTATCCCAGTGGTCGGGTTTTGTTTCCAAAGAAATAGTACAAAGAAAGAGTCGATGCACCGCCACTGTACACTTGCAGCAATGGCCATTAAAAGGTCAAGCAATGCAATGACGTACACATATAGACATTGGTTTGATATAAAGTGTGAAGAGTTGGTGAGTAGAGTGCTAATGGTTGTTTTCTTTGCTTCATAGATCAATAAAATTCCTTAGTACTTTTTTTATCTATACTGTTAGGAAGTTGAAGACAATGGCAGGGCAGTGGTGTGCTCGACCGCCCTGCACCAGGCCCCAAATGCCGGTTCGGCCCTCATAAGTCATTCTACCTTCTGTCATTGCTTGTCCTGTCGTCTATGCTGCTTAATGGGACCACAAAATGATGTGTCAACTTCTACCTCCTTAGCCTTAATCCTCAACTCAAAAGTGAAATGAGAAATCACGTGGTCGTGACATGCTTTGGCACCGGAGGCAATGGGCGCGTTCAGTAGCGGCCCCGGAGTCAAGGAGTCACTGACTCCTTCCACTGGACGGCCAAAAGTCACTTCCGGTGCACGTAACTCCGGGGCATCGGAGTCAAGCTCCGAAGCACCGAGTCCGGAGACGGTGCACGTAGAGTCAAAGGAGCTAAAATGACGTAATTTCCTGACTGGTGACGATTTCCGGTGCTAAAAGAGGAAAAAACAAACAATATGGCGGGATAAGTTGCTTCGGTTCAATCGCGGGTGCGCGGTTTGCTCGCTTTTGTTAATGAAAAGTGCTCAAGGTAAGACGAATAACGCGTTCGAATATCTTTTTCAGGTAAGGCTCTTTTGGAAAATGCATTGGACCGTATTTTGTTTGGTTTGAATGTGCTAATAAACAACGCAAACGTTCATTTGACGCCGTGTCTTGATCACCGTTGCACGGGAACTCGGTGAATATCGACGATAGTCCTGTCCGCGCTGAACAGAGCAAGGCAGGGTATGAACGCGACTTTGGAAGCCGGTTGGACAGTCACGCAGAGCATGATACCTATTAATGTTTTGTTTGCGTAGCTAAATCGGGGTGCACGTTGGCTGAGGCTCGCTTCGGCCGACAAAACCTTGATCGCCGAGCGCGGCCGAACTTCCCGTGTGTATGCGAATACATTTTATAGGAAGTTCGTTACGAAGGGCAGAAGAAACTTATGGCCGTATGAAAGTATCGCAACCGGCGGGGTAGATTCGCTGAGCTCTGTATTTTGCGTGTGCTGACGACGTTTTTTATCGGCTTTTATAACAGCAGCTGCCTTTGCACCGCCAAGCGAAGGTCTCGATCGCGTTGCATCGCTTCGAACAGCAGCGCTGATGTGTACAATCACCCGCTTCTTCTTCAACGACCTTGCAAAGACTTCTTCAATACCGGCGTCAAATAAAAGCGATCGTGCTCGCCATCGTCTGCTTCCAGTTTATTCGGAGACCGTCTGGCACAGGGGAGGAAGCGGAAGTTGCGTAGAAGCAGGTTTGGAGCCGCGGGTTTTTTTGCCGTTCAGTAGGCGCTCCGATGACTCCAACTCGAGGCACTCCGTTCGGAGGCAAGGGAGGCGCTACTGAACGCGCCCAATGACTCCAAGCTTCCACCGTGCTTTTTAAGCATACCATGGAACTTGTCATTCTCAAGTGATGATAAGTGCTGTAACGGCACTTAATGGCCACAGACGCAAATTCAGATATTCATAGACAGATTGGTTGTTGACGAGTGCATGCCTCTGAGTTACGCGGTGCTCGTGTTTACTGCGTGAGCTGGGTTTGGCTGAAATGCTTGGGCACCACGGATACATTGTAGTGCAAAGGCAGAGAACTTTCGATAGAAAGGAGGTATGAAATAGTCTGCTACATTTTCAAGTTTTCACACTTAAAAGCAGGTTTTAAGCTTCCTATGCTCGTGTACTAGATTTATTTTGGCACACTAAACAATATGCGATTAATAAAATCCCAATTTATCCGAGCCAAAAATTCATTTCGTGACCTCTTTACCAATATATACACAGAGGGTTTCAGCAAAGGCTTTCAAAAATCACTAAAAAGAATGTAGGTGAGGGAAAAAAAAAAAAAAAACTCTTTTTAGAAACAAACTTTTAGCCTCTGTGGACATTAGGAATTGCAAAAAAAAAAAGCATTAATTAACTGAATAATAAACCTTTTAATTAGTGAAAATAGATATATGGTTCCAATAAAAACTTGCTAAGTATCATTGATGTTAACTAAATCAACTCGTTTTAGTAAGATATAAGGCAGGGGCAGCATTCTAAGACGTTCTCAAAAAAACGCTTAGTAATTCGGGTACGTTCCTAGGTTTCTGTTTCCTGTCGGAGCACATCTTTGCATCAGCAGTCCTGTTCGCCAGTGGCTGAGATGCGAAACACAGATGTACCATACTTTCCTCCATCGTTTGTGGGAGGCGAGGCGATGGCTTCGTTCTTCGACTACTGGAGAGCAGGGCGCTCCGATAAAATGCCGCCTGGAAATGTGTCCAAATTGAGCGTTTTTTCTTAATATCATAAAATGCTGCCCCTGCCTTATACTTTCTAAAATGAGTTGATTTAGTGGTTTTTGAAGATGCTTAGGAAGTTTCTCATTTGAACCATATGTTTATTTTCACTAATTGAAAAAAAGTTAATTAGTAGTATCTTTTAGTTCACTATTTAGCTAGTAAGTATGTGTTTTTTTTGGCAATCCTTGATATCCACTGTGGCTGGCAGTTTGTTTCTGGAAAGAGTTAATTCTTTTCTGAACCACCTTATTTATAGGGATGTTTGAAAGCCTTTGCTGAAACGCTGGTATGCGGTTTGACTTCAGGCACTAAAAAGTGCTTGCTTTCTCTGTTTTCTTTACAGTCTAGTCTCCTGGGCCAGTTTTTAGAATCTCTCTACAACTGCCAAGTGCCTGAACCTGGATTTCAGCTCAGGGTTGCCTTTGGCTCAGACCAAATAGTAAGGAATTGTTGCTTTGATTGTGCTGTAGTGGCAAGTAAGTTCTTGGCACGCTTTTTGTTTGATTATTGAATAGCAAAGAATTCTGCATTGAATACTGTGGGGAGTACCAACTGCTGTATTTGCTATAGACACTTTACACACATGCCAAATTACAGCCGCCATTGCTGACCTTCTCTTGTCTTACCGAGATGCCGAGCAACTGAAACGGTAGTTGACGATCCTCTGCAAAGGCCGATGCTTTAGAAAAGGACACAGTTGAATCTAATATGGCAATAACCTGGCCTGCTATGGTAATGATGAAGTGAAATAAACAAAATAAAAGGAAACAAAAACTGAAGGTCAGTTATGGCGGCGTCCATGCCCGGCTGCTGCAAAGCGTCTAACCCAGTCTTTTCCTTCAAAAGAGGCATACACATCTTTTTCATGCTGTGCATGCACAGAGTCAATCTTTAATGCACGAACACAACCTAGAAACTTACCGAGCAGTGATTACGAGCAGTGATTACCAGCAGTGATTACCCAGCAGTGATTACCAGGAAGCTTTATAGCTTTCTGTTTTTTTTGCCTCGGTGACCCTGAATACAAACAAAAAAAAAATGTTTAATTTGCAAGTATTTTGCTTATACTTCACGCTATGTCTAAAACTTGGAACGTTTAGGAATTATTGCAATAGTAGCTTGCCAATCTCCCTCTTAGGTTTATAGACCCAGTTCAGACTGTCTGAGGTTGACCCGTATGTCAGTAAATGCAGTCTCAATTGTCTCCTGTAAATAATGCAAACAAGCCACCACTTTTCAAGTGCACTTGTTAGCACAGGCAATTTGTTTTCTAGTCAGTAAATGAAAGACCTTCATCTTACCGCGTGGAGGATCTGAATGGCTTCTGTTCTTTTCTAAACCACTGCTCTGGTGCCAAGTTGTTCTCTTTTTCGGCTTGTATAATTATTTTTATGGGAGAAATATTTTCATTATGTCAAACATGTCGGGGCTCCACACATTTTTACATGTATGTACTTTTCCAGCCGTTCCAGTGTGCTTGCTCGGATCACACCAAGCTGCCAAGCATTCCCGAGAATGTGAGTTTCAGAAAACGTCTGCAGTCAATGTCTATCAGCTCAATATCACACTATCTAATATCACAAGCTGTGGATATTGCAGTTTTAACTGAAACACATCACTGGAGAACTGCCAATAACAGAATGATTATACCAATTAAAACTTAAACTCTGCAATTGGGTGCTAATAATTATTTTTATTTTCTTTTACAGAAAGTTTAATTTTAATTCGGACAGATTTATGTTAAAAAAAGAGGGCGAGAGTTAGGTGGGTGCCGTCTTTACCACATATTTATCAGGCTCGGCGGACATTGTATGAAGGGATAATCGTAATGCTAAGTTGACTGATTAGGTAACTAAAATCTGTTAAGTTTTAACAATTCGTTTAGGGGTCATGTAGGAATTGCAGCATTGACGGCAATTAGTATTAAATGCCAGAATGTATAAGAATTCGCGAAAGGATTATAGTTTCTGAAAACTTAATTAATCAGTTTTCACATTTTTTCATCGATTTTAAAAATTGAGCGCGAAAAGAGCGCATCAAGCCCTATCTACAAAGACGGACAACACAAGTGACGACACGACCAAAACGACTATGTAACTCTTCTAAGTATCATTGAGAATAGGGCTTGATGCACTCTTTTTACGTGCAATTAATTAATTGGGAACCAAAAAACTCAAACATTTATCAATTAATATCTTGAAAATCATTATCCTTTCACAGATTCTTTGCAGTATTCTGTCCTCTAATAGTAATTTCCGTCACTACTGCAATTTCAACATGTCCCCTAAAATGAATAATTAAAAACGTTAATTACCAAATTTTAGTTAATTAGTCAACTTAGCATGATTATCCCCTCATCTAATGCCCTCCGAGTGTTATAAATATATAGTGAAGGCAGCACCTGTCTAACTCTCACCCCCTCTCCTAAAAAATCTGTGAATTGAAAACAAAACACCCTGTATATATCAACATGTTACTGCAGCTTCATGGTTTTTAGTAGGAGAATTTAAATCTCATCCGTTTTTGTTAGATGATGTGTGATAAAAGCATGCTTTGCTCAATGGCTATTACTAGAGCCCTGTGCGGATAACAGTTTGATTATCCGCATTTGCAGTCATTGTATCCACATTCGAACTGCATCCGCAAACTTTTTACATTATCAGGGGTGGAACGGCTGCGCCGTTTGCGCCATTTTGCACCAGACGCATTTGTCTGTGCCATCCTGCGCCATGTTGCAGAAACTGTGCCACAACCAATACCTCACGAACCACCACCCTTTTGCTTTTTACAAAGCAAAAGGGTAAATAAATATCAAAATTTCTTTCGTTTCGAGCGCATCTTCTGGATAGAGTGTCAGTGTCACGGACTCCCAAGATGAAACCATAACTGTGATCATCTTTCCAGCGATGTGCAGTGCCTCTGGAAGGATGATTGCTTATTTTATAAATACAGTAAAAACACGTTTCTCTGTATTCCCACGCAAAGAGTTATTTGTACAAAGATAAGCAGATGGCGTATAGGACACCATCTAGATGCTTTTTAAAATTTTTTGTTCATGCTTGATATTATGATGTAAAATGAATGCGCGGATTGAGTGTCGGATGTGGTTCTGAATTTAATGGTTGTGATTCGGATGTGGATACAAAATCTGTGGATGAAAATCGGATGCGAATGGAAATATTTAAGAACATTGCGAATGGGGTTCAGATCCGGATACGAAGTCTGTAGATCGGATGCAGATGATCAGAGCATTATTTGCGCAGTGCTTTAACTGTAGAAGTAAGATGAATGTGGGTCGAATGCGGTTCTGAATTTAGTGGATGCTATTTGGATGTGGATACAAAATCTGTGGATGCGAATGGAAATATTTAAGAACATTGCGAATGTGGTTCAGATGCGGATACAAAGTCTGCGGATCGGATGTGGATGATCAGAGTGTTTTTCGCGCAGGGCTCTAACTGTTGAAGTGGCTGCGCGACTCGTTGATAGTTTCAGTGTGTCGTGCTCCTGTACGCCAAGTCCCAATCAGTTGCTGCACTCTGAGCATGAAACTCGGGGCGTCGGGGTAGGAGTAAGGGAGCATATACTCAACGTGCCCATTAACTACATATGAATATTTATTTATGAATCAACTCTCATACAGTAGCAATAAATTCTATTTTTATGGGTATTTTCTTAGTATTAGTAATCTAAATTGTTAGTCATCACTTCCTATTCTAAAGAAAGCTAATGAAAGTGTCAATGAAGTGTCTACTTCATTCTTATCTCACCTCTTCATCTTTCTTTCTGCCTCCTAACTGAACAGACATTGTAACAAAACTGAGGTTGACGTATAATTTAAGGTCTGGTTAGCTATGCTCCTTCAAATTAATATTGGTTTTAATAATTTGGTGTGGTAATGTAAAAAAAAAGTCAGTATTCAATGCTTAATCGATCTTGACCTTCCCAATGGGGTGACAGCATAAAATATAAACAACTTCAATTTCCCTTGCCTTCTGTTCCTTTCAACTGCTGGTTCCTGGGGCTTTAAACATTTCATAATTTATTCAAAGGGGTGTAACGAATTTACTACCAGCTGTGTCCAGAAGTTTATGAAGCTTTTTTACAATGCATGAATAAACCATGGATTGCAAAAAGCAGAAATTTTGCCACAAAAGATAAGGCTTGCAGTCGTAATAAGATGTGGTCGATTCAATCTCTAATTTTAAATACCCTAAAATACCGAGCAAGCGCCCACTCAAAATATGAAGATAATCGCGAAAATTGGGGAATGAGTGCTTGTTAGGTCATTAATTTTACCTATATATCTACTGTGCATATTTTTTCAGATGTTGCAAAATTTTGGGGTGGGCACTTAGTAGGGAATGTGCGGATGCTCGGTATTTTACGGTAGGAGCGCTTACTAAAAATTGTCGGTGGTGCAGTTGGATTGGGTTGAATAATGTCTGTCACCAGTGGGGGATTTCATCGCCTTGTATAAAATTTAAGAAACTTCTTCGTAACTTCTTTTTAATAATGTGATGTTGTGGGTCTAGACTTTTTTTGTCATCACCACCAATAGTACCTTTACGCAAGTGAGGTGCATAGTAATGTATAACTACCCTATTTATGTTGAATAAAAATCTTGTTAGTCATTCTGCAGTGATGTGATTGCTGCGCCATTTATGCCCAACTGCGCCAAAGTGCTTACCCTGCTGCATTTTGCTACATTTCGACAAAATGTGATGAATTTGTGCCAATATTGCGCCAGACTGTAATTTCACTTTATTAATGCTGAAAATATAACAGCTGAAGACCCGCTGAATGGCCGTATCGTTACGGTAGGCTTGTCCGAATTTTCAGTACTTTCGATTTAAGTAACGTATTACCCGATTTGATTTCTGTATCAAATACAGTCACACCTCGATGTAACGAAGTCCGTAAAATTCGGAATTTATTTTGTTACATTGAAATTTCGCTACATGGAAATTCGAGGCTAATGTGAAAGAAAGTTTCCACAAATGTTTCTTGGGTGAACAAAACTCACCGAGGACGCCTCTATTTTGGTTGAAAGTAGTCCATCACCCTTTTGTGAGCCACTCTTGGCATTATTATTGGCATCACACGACGTTCGCATAGTCAGACGGCCTGCATTGCGTCTTTGTCTTGCTGTGGGATTGCGAACCGTCTCAAGACATTCATCGCGTTCACCACTTCACGGTTACTGGGCACATCGCAGGGGTCTTGCTCATCAGGCTCGATGTCGTCCCAGACTTGCCAGTACCCATGAACATCGCTAGCTATCGCCTCGTTGGTCACCTCCTCCGTCGCAATGACAGCAGAGTCGGCTTATAGAAAGTCGTCGTAATCAACGTTGTCAGGGACGGTTCAATTGCCTTCGAGGCTCCATCGCCCACGACAGCGAAAAACGCACGCTTTTAGTTAGGCCTCGAAACAAACTACTCAACGCGAAGGAAGCCAACGGACGAAACGGCGGCTGCCCTAGTGTCCTCTCGTAGTTGTTCTGTACACCACACTCGCCAGATTCGGCCCGCTTCGCCCTTTGCGCTTTATGGGGGGCCCATTTCAGCACATGTGCTTCCCAAAATCTCCTTTAGGACCCAAACGTTTGTGACAAATTGTCCATGAAATTTCGTTATATCGAAATTTCGGCAAACGGGACTTCGTTACATAGAGGTAAAAAATACATGGTGTGCATACACTTGCGGCTAGAAAAGGTTATGTACTTCGTTACATCGGGAGTTTCGTTACATAGAAGTTTGTTACATCGAGGTTTGACTGTACTGACCGTATTTGGAGGTCGCGCAATATTTTTTGTTCGTGGTTTGTTCTGGTGGGTTGGGTAGCCTCGGTGAGTGCGCCTCTTGTCTTCCACTGGTGCGCACCACTGCAGTGAAGAGAAACCCACTGAGTAGGCATCCCAATTTTTTCTGTCACGCTTCGCCGCAGCGCAGCCACGTACTAAGGAGAAAGCACTTCTCCAAAACAAAGCGTCGCGTATACTGTAAATGACCTATTTTTCGCAGACTCAATATTTCGTGATTTAGGTAAAAGCTGAAGTTTTGGAATAATGTGCGGGTTCTAGTTTTTGCGACGTGGTGGGATCTCAACATAGATTCCAGTGTGTTTGCATTTTATTGGAATTGTTCGCGGGACCTATTTTTCATGAATTGTAGACAATTCGCGAAAATCAGGTCATCGCAAAAATTAAGTTGTTTACAGTATCAGAAAAAAAATAAAAGGGTTTTTTGTAAGCGTTGATGTAACAACCCAATCTGATATTTTTTTTTGTTCAGATTTGAGATTTAGTAAGGATACTTGTGTATTGCGAGAAGATTTATAGGGACTTTTTATAAGCTAATTTTTTATGCCATCTCTCTGGTTTATTTATTGCCTTTATTAAGGTTTCATCTGTACGATGGCACAGTGAACGGAGCTCCCTGTGCCATCGTACAATTACTAAGTCAATTAGGTGGAAAGGGAATGGAAACTTCGGGATAGCGTTGGTGAGTTCGACTGGATTGTAGTCTCAATTATTGTTCAAAACCGATTTCTGTTACCATGAAGTCCAACATATAAATTGTCATTGATGTTAATAAAATGACAAAAGCACATCAACTTGGGTGCTTAATATTATTCTGTTCAGACATGATTTCGATGGAATAGTATATTATTTGGTTTACCTTTGGCTCTACAGCAAAAATAAGCATTCGCAGCACCTCACACTGTTCTTTATCATTCAACATAGTGTTGTCATGCTTGGTACTTCTACACATAACAGCTAGCTGTGTGTTTGAGGGAATTAAACCTGCCGTGCAATGAATGATATCAGAAAGTTGCACATAAGTGGGAAGGTTAATTAGACAATGTTTTTTTGATGGACAGGCCAACAGATTAGTCTTAACAGTTATTTGCAGTGGTAGGAATTAAAATGAAGTGTTAACTTATGCTCCAAAAGTCTTAACATATGATATTTTCAGTGGTAGGAATTAAAATTTAGTGTAAACTTATGCTCTAAAAGCTCTATTTGCTGCTTAAAAATGGAATTTTAACTGCTCAAAAGGTGCTCCAAAATGACTTGAAACAATCATATCACTGCTTTTGATATACTCCCATGTGCTGAACAAATTGTGTTACTAATTGTGCTACTGCATAGAGTTGTTGTATGGAATTGGTTTGTAAGTTCCTGCGAGTGAGCTCGTTTCTGATTTTGCTTCTAGCGAAACCTCACCGAGTACTTCAATGCTGTTGATGCCACCAACATGATCACCATCTTTGCAAGGCAAGTTCTCAAGTTTTCTGGTTTGCTTTTTCAATGGGTTCTTGTGATCTCCATGTTGGAGACAAGTATATATTGCTACGAACAGTTCACTGTTTCCTCTTTTTTTGCCAGTCAGGTGTTCATGACCCATGATAAGTATATTGCACTGCATAAATCTTTAGTTTGATCATGACTGGAATTTGGCCCGGTCATCTGGAATCCATTGACCGTATCACAAAATCTTGCAGTAAAAAATGTACAAAGGCATATTATAAGGATGACACGTGGCAGCCATATTTGAAAGCAGTGTTTCTACCTTTATGAAATGGTTGCTGGACCAATTTTTATTGGCTAAGCTGGCTGTTGTGAGTCAGTTGAGAGACCTCGTAATTTTGCATACTGTTGTTCGTAGTGAGATGAAATCGTTGTATTTGTTACGGTCGATAGATCTCTATGTTCCGTCTTGGGACAACCAGAGCGTCTCTATTTTCTTGATATGTTATGCATGTCCTTTATGTTCCCTTTATCGAGGAGTCGGATACCTTATAATGATGTATATGTAAATGTAGCCTTGGTATTTTTACTTGTTTTTGTTTCAATTTTTCAATATATAACTGCTCTAAGGTTATCAATAAGCTTGAGGAAATAGTTGAAAGATGATGGTGCTTCATTTGAATATATACATAACAATTGCCTTTTTAATTTTTGTTTGATAATAACTTGAAAACATGTTCAGCGATGGAATGTATTAGTCAGAAATGGCAAGCCTACTAATCCCAAAAAAATTATATTGTTAGACAACGCCGTCTGGCACATTCCGCGGCCAGTGTCGCAAGCTTTGTGCCGTGGTGTTTAAGGTACAGGTACAGGAGTGTTTTTTTGCAAGAGGCTTTATTACTTTCTTTTCATGCGCACCTGTACAAGCAAAGTACCATACTCTTGCGCTTGTACTATTGGCTATGAACTAAATGCGGACAGTGGAGCACGTGGCCTTTAATAATTACTGCGCTACATACAGAACCCTAGGAGCTAATAAAACCGTGGAGTGGAAAGGGCTGCAAGGGGGGGGGGGGGGTGTTACACATAGAATAATGGTTCTTGGCCCCTTGTGTTTTAGGACAATTTGTTTTCATTTCATGGCTACTTCAGTTCCTTTGCTTTTTTTAGATGCCGAATTTGAGAGCAGTTTAGCCAGAGCTTTGCGTTTACTTGTGCCGAACTTTCCTCAGCATGCTTCATGAGCGAAGAATCCTGATCACCTCCAAGCGCTTGAGCAGGCTCAGTGCTTGCGTCCAGGCTGCGAATGCTCTTATCTATCCCATGGAGTGGTGAGTGAGCTCTGCAACATCTATATAGCAAAGGGTCCAATGCCAGGGACCATGAAATGATTCTTAGATGGGCTAACTAGTGCTTGGAATAAACTCTTTGTAATAAAGAATGGAATGAGTTACAGTTTTCGTATACAGGTAGTAGTACTACCGTAAAGTATCAGGCAAACGCCCACTGAAAACTGAGACATAATCCCGGAAAAATGTGGGTTCGGCGCTTGTCCGGTCATCAGTTTTGCATATAAGTGTACTGTGCGTATTTCCTCAGATTTTACAAATTTGGAAATGGGCACTTTGTGTGGAATGGGCGGATGCATGGTATTCTACGGTAGTTGCTGAAAAAGGAGAAAAGAGCATCCTTCTTGACTGCTTTCTTCACCTAGGAGGCTGCCATAAGAAAAATTGTTTTTTGGTGAAGGATGAGCTTCTTGGTCACACTCATTCAGGGTAGAACAGAAGATGCACCTCAGTATAGGAGCTCTGAATTAGCAGGATAGGTGAAACCCCTTCAGGCAATCGCCACTTGGAGCACTTGGGGTGTCGGCCAAACACAATGAACGATACAATCTGACAAGGAAGAAAAGCATATCTAGTTTTTCTCTGCCATCCTCTGTTTTATGGTCCCTTTCAACTTCAGTTGATTTACATGTTAAGAAGCTTGAAGTTTCACCAGTTGAAGACCATCCAGCAAAATATATTCAGCAATTATGCCCTTACTTTGCACTCATGAGCAAGAGAGTGAGTTTTTTCTCGTTTCCAAGTGGAATGACGACCATAAAACATGCAGCCTAGTTATAATTATATTGTAAGATACCACAGAAATGCCCACTTTGTTTAAGTGCTTACTATTAGCATTTCCAATATTGTACGCTAAGCGCCCGTGCCTAGATTAACCCAGTTTTCAGTAAAAGTGGCGTGGGCGCTCCCCTCGGAATTTTACGGTAGGTATCCAAGACAGCAGTGAACGAGTTATTTTGAGAATTTTTGTTGTATGCTCCATCTAACTAAGGAAAGAATTTCAGTGATTAGACGGAAAAAGGAAAGATATTTACTACAGTTAAATTCGTGGCATTGCACATGCAGTACTTAGAGATTCCTTTCGAGGTTCTTGCTGCCGATTTCACAGTGGTTGTCTTTTTGCGACATATATTCAGGCAACACATCTTCATCCCGGTCCTTCCGAATCATCTCCTCGACTACCTGAGGTAAGGCACTCTTTTGTTTACAAAGGGCATAAAAATGCGTAGTTCGTTATGACTTTCACGGTCACGAGAGATCCGTAATGCAGGCAGATCACCTGCGCAGGCAACTATATGTTTGGAATCTGAGCCACTGGGCTCTAGTATCCCTTGCCTGGTGTGTCTCCCTGTACTCGCTGACAATGTGAGAACGGCAAAACATCTTTTTCCGATGCCCCACCTCCTGCATACACTCGCTGGCTTTTGCCTTGCTTTGGCTGCGCTTGCACGAAATGCTGAAACGGTATCGAAGGTAGGAAGCTTGCGCTGGAGGCGGTAGAACTGAAACTCTTTCCTGGTGTTTTCATACTCTCAGTGACTGTAGGGACTTTTCTCTTCTTTACTGGGTAAGCAGGAAATTCGGTTTTATGTTTCACGTTTGTTGGTTGCAACAAAACAGCAATTTAAATTAAAGAAGTCTGCCAAAAATTTTGTGTAATATTAGCATCGTGTTCTATGTGGACTGATAACATATGAAAAAGCCGGTTTCAAAGTTGGATGGACAGTCTGCGAAGCGGTAAGAAGCGAAAGTACCATGTGTGCAAGCTGGTTAGGAAATGTCGTAATCTGAACTTCGAGGCCCGGAGAAATAAAATAACGGAGGCTTCGCGTCGTCTCGTCCGTCGTTTTATTACTCCGTGCCTTGTAGTTTCTGTTATGAAGCAGTGTTTCTTATAATCAGTGTACCAATGTTTGTTCTTCTTTTGCAGTGCTCCTATGCCTTTCTTGATTGGTGTGCCAACAACGACGCTTGCAGTGAGTCCACTGGTTCTCCCAGTTGTTCAGTTCCCACTGAGAAGTGTACCTCACTGGTTTTTCAACCTTGTTTTTCATTTTACTTAATATGTCAGAATCTTGTTACAGTAGAGACGAAAATATTGAATAGTTGTCGGTGACTTGATGATGTTGCTAATTGATTTCGAGTTCTTAGGACCAAATTTCATTCATTTGCTTAAGGTGCATGATATATCAGTTATGCTCTTCCTCGTCTGATGAAAGAAACCCCAGATTGACAGACTGTGCAGGCACTACTCTAAAATGTCAGTACAGTCGGACAACTTTCATGCAAACTTTATTGAACCAATGAAAACACTTGCTCTACAAACCACATTTTTTTGCAGTTGAACTTTGGTATAACAAACTTTTCATAAATTCTTTTCTAAGAAGACAGTGTATTTAGTATCAAAACTAGGGCTGTGCAAATACTGAAATTTTCAATTAGTAGTTTTGAATTACATGCTATTCAATACTCAGAGTAAGCATTTGACAGAGATCTGTCTGGTTGGGAGTAATTAAATAATAAAAAATTCAAACACCAACCAAGCCCTTCTTAGGGACCCTACGTTTCAAGGCCTATTCGGTGTCTTCTTCAGGGGTGACTACAGCTATGGCCGTTGAGGAGCAGTGTCTTTTTCTTTTTCTTCTACAGCAAGTATTTGGTCTTCTTCTTCTACAGCTCTACCTTTTCAATGAAGTGATGAAGTCCGTTCACATATGCGGATGGTAAAGCTCCGAGAGACCGATTGATGTTCTGTGGCGTTGTTTGAATATGCCAGGATTCGAGAAAGTCTCTTTCGGGGATATGTCTCAACGTCAATGATGCATGCATTGTCAAAGTCAATAAGATGGTCCTTGACATTGCAGTGCTCAGCGACCGCGCTACGCTCATGATCAAACTTGCGCATGTCGTTTTTGTGTTGACAGGTTCTCTCTGTAAAGTTCTTTGTTTTGCTGATGTATGTGGCCGCGCAAATCCCGCAAGGAATTTGATATATAACGCCTTGGGCTCTTTCTTTACCAGGGTGATCTTTTGGGAGTGGCATAAGTCGTTCAAGGGTAGACACAGGTCTGTGCGCTAGTGTCCTGAAAAAGTCTTTGGTGGACAAATTTCTGGAGCATCTCAACACCACTGAGCCGGACATCCAGTTCACTGTGGAGCGCGAAAAAGATGGCACCTTACCTTTCCTGGACGTGCTAGTAAAACGGCAAGGGGAAGAGCTAAAATTCTCTGTATACAGAAGACCAACGCACACTGGACGCTACCTTCTGTTTGAATCCAGCCACCCAGCCAATCACAAAGCGTCCGTGGTCAGGACACTGTTAACCAGGGCAAAGACCATCTGCTCATCGGAAGAGGACAAGAGAAAGGAGGAACAAACTGTTATTGCTGACCTTAAAAAAAAACGGCTACATGAGCAGCTTCATTCATCGCGTTGCCCGCCGTGTAGGTCGAAACCAACAACATGTGCAGCAACAGTCGTGCGAATTCCTGCCCGACCTCGCGCATCAGCGTTCCCCACATCAACGGAACAAGCGAGGCACTGGCACATGTGCTGGCTAAAGAGGATATCCAACTAGCGCACAAACCTGTGTCTACCCTTGGATGACTCGTGCCACGCCCAAAAGGTCGTCCTTTTCAAGACAGAGCCCAAGGTGTTATATATAGGATTCCTTGCAGGGTTTGCGTGGCCACATGCATCGGCGAAACAAAGAACTTTACAGAGAGAATGCGTCAACATAAAAACGACGTCTGCAAGTTTGATCGTGAGCGTAGTGCGGTCGCTGACTGCGACATCAAGGACCATTCTATTGACTTTGACGACGCATGCATCATTGACATTGAGACAAATCCCCGAAAGAGACTTTCTCGAATCCTGGCATATTCAAAGAATGCCACAGAACATCAATCGGTCTCTCGGGGCTTTACCATCCGCATATGTGAACGGGCTTCGTCACTTTATTAAAACGGTAGAACCGTAGAAGAAGAAGACCAGATACTTGCCGTAGAAGAAAAAGAAAAGACACTGCTCCTCCACGGCCATAGCGGTAGTCGCCCCTGAAGAAGAGGCCGAATCGGCCTCGAAACGTAGGGTCCCTATAGAAGGGCTTGGTTGGTGTTCAAATTTTTTATTATTCGATATTTGCTTCGAGTGAAACCGCAATATTCATACTTCTCGAAGTGTTGATCGAGGCAAGTTAGCCCCATGAAATGTGCTTCTCACCGAGCATTCGTGCGCTGCAGGAAAGCAATAACCGTGGAGCTCGCAAGTTCTGTGGGTATACGGGTAGAAATTGAGGGAGAAGAGCTAAATGTTTAATATGCTTATTTAGGGCGCCTACTTGGCAGAAAAAATTTATATTCCTCAATTCCCTGTTTTAGGAAAATGTAAGAAATGATTGATGTCGTGTGCCAACTGATTTCGCACAGCGTACATGCCATTTACTCAGTTCCATTGCCTAGTAGGGAGGGAGCCTCCTGTTTCTGAACCCCTCCCCACCTGGCTAACCAACCTGCACTTGTGGGGCTGTTGCGGGGGCTGGTTCACTCACTTGCGACTGTTTACAACTGGAGAGGCTTGAAAAACAGTTTTAAGCCCCTTGTGACTGCTTACAACAGGCTGCACAGCACAGCCGGGGGTCGTAAGCAGTCACAAGAGGCTTAAAAGCCGATTATTGTACTCTCGGGCATAGCAAAATGCAAGTGTGTAAACCAGTCTTTACAATGCAAGAATTCAACGTCCACCTCCCATGTCATTAGTGTGAGGCCACCACACAGTTAACTTTATGAAGAAAGAGGAGTTTCGACTGTGCATCGATAGCTTGGCCCCATGTTCGAATAAAAACCACTTGATGTAATATCCCAAGATATAGCCTATCAAAAAAAAAAAAAAATATGGGAACAAATTGGGTGAAAATGAGGAGCGTGCTAACTTTGGGTGTGCGACGTAAAATTTTTAAAATACTATTTTTGTATTTTGTGATGTGCCAAACTTGTTTTCACATTGAGGGACAATGGAGGAGAGACAACCGTCCTTCCGCTGTAGGTAACTAACCCCATTTCGGTTGAGGTCACCATTGGTCAGGGCACTGCAATTACTAAAAGTAGGCTACCTCTCGGTGTTTTTGAAAAAAATAGCAGATCATGTCAAAAATAGGGGTGGATTATCTTTCGGTTGTGGGGCATCCTTCAGGATTATATGGTAGTCCAAATCGCAAGCTCAAATCAAGCTTTTCATGTAAGGCTCATGAAAAAACATATTAGGTGGTTAAGGACATTCAGGATATGTTTCGTTGCCACGATGACAGGGACTGTAGCAGATGGGCTTTGTCCAGGCAAAGTACCAGGGCTGGAAAAAATCAGCATATCGCTGATTTCTTTCCAGCCCCCGGTACTTTGACAAGTCTTACATGAAAAGCATGCTTTTGTTTGCCATCTGATGACTTCTTTATTTACCCTGCAACACCAACTAAAGTACCTATCAAACTACCAAGTTTACATTTCATTTTGTTTGTTTGCAGAGAGTTTCTGGCAGTGAGCTGGGTGAGGTGGTGGTCTTGGATGCAGACAACAACAAGATCGACAGCCCTTTCAGGGACCTCGAATCAATACCCAGTGAAATTGTGAGTAGATCTTTTGAAATGGGCCGAGCATTTCAGGAAGTGCTGTTCGTCATAACATTGTTGTTGACTTCTTGTTTGCATATTTGCAACTGCACTGATTTGCTCAAGATGAAGTGACATTTATTGACAGCTGCTGCTATTGTGTTTTGGACATGCATCCTCCAACGGATGGTGAAATTACCTCTGGAAACCTTACTCCTTTCACACTATCTGACATTGTGTGTCTACCAAAATTTTTGATGTAGCTGGACTTTTAGGCAGCAAGCCAGCAGCAACAGGAAGGTGGCATTAAATTAAAATCCTTATTAGATTTATTCGATTTAATTTTCAGATGTCCTTTCAAATAAATGTGCAACAGAGCCTCTATCCCCTACAGTTCAACAGGGCACTAAATAAAAGGTGCATGAGTTGCTGCCATAAGTAGAGCAAAACAGACCAATCCTAAGAGAAAGCATAATAAAGAAAATTGCAAAGGCCACACAAGGCGGGCTGCGATCGACAGCGCTAGCTGCTGCGTTGTTGAAATGTGTGTCGAAGGAGACTTGCCCTCAGCCAGTGTGCTGTAAAATGTTTGCAGTGGGTTCTTTACTTGCAGTGGAATTGATATAGAAGACATGTGTGAGGAAAGGCCTGCTTTGGTGGAGTGATTCTCCGAGATGTTGCATGTGTTAAAGAAGAACACGGAGACATGACTTTTCTTTAGGCTGAAACACTCTTTCAGAACGGGGGCGCCCGTGACCTCGCCTGCGGTGGAAGGAGCAAAAGTATGTACGCTAGCTGTTCTGTAGAGGCACGGAGAGTACACGAGAAAGGAACCTGGGCAGCGGCAGTGGGAAGCAAGGGATTGTGTCCGCACAGCGTGACTGTGTATGCATTTCGCAATGATGACTGCCAGAGGATAGGGCGCAGAGAGGAGGGGAGAGCTTTGCCGAAGCAAGAACAGCGGCGGCCTACAGGAGGGAAGGAGGAGGGGGGCGAGGGAGAGCCTTGCCATGTGTGAGGAACGACGAGAAGAGGCAGAGCAGTACCCCTGCCGTTAAGTGGGGTTTTGCGTTTGTACATGAGCATTTCCTTGTACATGAGCATTTCCTTTTTTACACCTACCGCCGTAAAAAATCGGCTGCATGTTTGGTCATTCTGTCAGATGCGTTTAGATGCAGTAGCTTTGTCGGGTGGGTGGTGCGCTTAGTTCAGGTGGTGCCTAGAGCAGGATGATCCTTAGTCTTCCAGAGCCTGGGTTGGGTGGTGTTGTTAGTTCAGATGGTGCCTAAGGCAGAGTTTTGTATGGAAACAGCTTATGTCACACCATCGTCTCTTTGTGACGCTGCGCACACTTCCCTTCAGCACCACCTGTATGCAAAGCCTTTGCACTGAATGTTTTGGGTCACCAAGACGGGAAGCACGCTTTTCTGTCCTTTCCATTCCTCCTCGTTCCACACACTCTTTCTACACCACCTTTTTCTGCTCCTCTCTCTAGCCCTTTTGACACGCTTTCTCACACCACCTCCTTCTGCTCCTCCTGTTCCTGTGTGCCAAGTTCATAGCTCAATCAACAGTGCACTCGGCTTCCACTTTGGTGACCAGGGTTCAGTTCCTGGCACCGGTTGCCGTTTCTTTAAGATCATTTAGCGGTTAAAGACTGAGCAACCAATACATTTTGTGCTTACGCGACTGCTGAGGTTGGTGGACCCAAAGAAGCTACTGCTTTCAAAACCTGAAAGCACATGCTGGCAGTACTAATCTCAACAAATATTAATTGTGCTAACAATATTCAATTGACTGTCAATAATCAGAAATGGCCCATGTCATAAAATGAGAAAAAGAAAATGAATCCATTTTGAAAAAATCAGCCAAGGCATTTGTTATTCGATATAACAAGAGAGACGACAACACTGAAATGCAATCACTTTTGGTCACTTTGACCAAACATTTTAGTAAAAGAAATACCAATCTTTAGGACTCGAATATACTACCGTATTTACTCGCATAATGAACACACTTTTTTTTCCCGAAAAATGACACATATTTGGGGGTGCATTCATTATGCGGGGTAAAATTTTTGCATTTACGCACTTTATGCAGACGCCGTATGAAGTGCCTATATGACACGGCAAGGTACTGTGGCACGTCTCCACAGATTGAGGCGCACCCACGGCTGGTCGGGGGTGCGCCACATTAACCATGCTTTATAATTTCCTAACCTTTTTAGGGCGCTTTCGGCGTTCCTTTTGCCGAAAGAAAAGTACCCTACGAAGCTTACTCAGCACGGAGAGCAACGCTACCGTTCTAAGGCCTAATTACTTTCACGATTTCACTGTCTGAAAGCAGACCGCAGGTGGCGGTGTGTTTGTTGACATCAATGCATCCGATAGGATAGGCGAAGAATGTCCGGGGCTGGGCAATTCCTCGACCCAAGCTTCGTCAAGTGTGCACCCTGCTTGGTTTCACGGTCGATCACTTCTGCAACTACGTGCTTGCAGCCATTACGAGAGCAGCTTGGCTTGGCTTGGCTTGGCTTGGCCTGACTGCTTCGTGGCACAAGAAAATTGGCTGTGTGCTTCGTGGCTAGCTAAGTTTGACGCAGTTCGAGACTCGCGGAGTTGAAAATTGGAGGTGCGTTCATTATGTGAGGGGAAAAAAAAAGTCCAAAGATTGGTACCCATTGTGGGGCGTGTGTTTATTATGCGAGTGCATTCACTAGCGAGTGCGTTCATTATGCGAGTAAATACAGTAACTTGTTTCATGTGTGTGCACCCTTGTTGTTCGAAATAAGCTTCTAATAATTAGTGTCCTTCAAGACATTTTGGGAATTTTTTTCTTTTCGGGTTGAATAGTCGCCGCTTCTCTTTTTGCAAGGGCTGGTGTCATTTAAGTCTTCTTTTTAATCAATCTAATGCGAACGCAAGACTATTTTCTCTTTTCCCAGGTGACGCCGCTGAAGCGCAGCCTGCGCAACCCAAGCCTGATGCTGGGGGACGGCGTGTCCCAGGCATTCCTGCGTGCCCTCGTGCGCCTCATCGGGGGCTACCGGGAGGCCCTGTGCCTGCAGCTCGGCGAACGCATCACCTTCGACCCCGAGCGCTTCCTCCAGTCCCGGCCACCCAACCTCAGGGCCTGCCTCGAGAAGATGCTGCAGCTCCAGATCTTCCACCAGGCAAGCCCTGCTCATTTATTGTTTTTGCCAGGGGCAGGTTTCAGCCAGTTCGACTCTAGGGGAGATGCCAGTAAAAAGAATTGTTCAGCCTTTCCACTCTCGTGAAGAAGGAATACCAGCAGAGCTGTACTCGATACACTGTGTGCTTCTTCTTCGTCGTCGTCTGTTTTTCGGGCTGTTTCCTACGATAAATTCCCACCAACGCGCCGCGCCGCCCAACTATCCATTCTTCTGTGATAGCTGGAAAGGTTGGCACCATCTACGAGCGACGGCGGCAACCATACTGGTTGTGCCTGTGATACTAGCTGGAAAGGTAGGTTTGTGTCGACATACCGGACACGATCCTGGGGAACCTAGCCCTTAACAGCTCCCCTCTGGAAAACAGCAATGTTTTGCAAAAAATATAATTTTGTGTTTTAGGGTACTTTACTATCTTTGATTCTTTAAATCTTGTGTATAAAATAATGAGGACGGAGTATAATTGCAAAATTCGTCAGACACATGTTTGAAGAACTCCTGGAAACCGAGAAGGACATAGACGCCTTTTTGTGCGTGTGGTTCTTTATATCGTAATGTTGCCCGCCATCGCGTTTACTTTGAGAAGTAGGCCTAGCTGTCTCCTCTGTGTCGCTGCTTCAATTTCTCGCAAGAATTTAATAAAAACATTATTTTCCCACCCCAAATAAGTGTCGCTACACATCTATGGTAATAATTGGACACATTTTTCTCTTTGTAATTTTGGGGCATCTTCACAGTTTGTGCTCAAGAACTTTTGTTCTTAATATTGTCCTATCACAATTAAATTTGCCATGTGTATGCTTTAGGATATGCAGAATGCAACTATCAAGGATCGGTTAGAATGTATTTCTCAATGGTTTTGAAAACTCAAAGAAACCTTTAATAACCTTTTAGTGATGGAAATGCTGCACCATTTGCACCGAATTGTGCCATGAACGAAAGTATGCTACATTTTTGCCAAAATACCATTTTTGGTAAGAGTTGTACCATACCTGCACCGAGTGGTCTTCGACAAATAAAATAAATAAAAATGTCTAATTATTGGTTAGAGAAGTAGGAGAATGGGAAAACGGTACAAATATATATCTCACAGCACCTCTAGTTACCGTATAGTTTGTCTCACCTTAGGTCAAAGTGCAGCCGAAAGCTCGAGCACGTACAACCACAAACACACATACTAAAAGTGAAAGTCACGGGATATTCGCTCCACTTTATTGGTCTAGCCCAGGAGTGACTAAACTGCATTTCTTCGGAGGCCCAAGTGTAGCTCGCAGTTCCCTATCAAACATAAGCCTACCCCACCCACCCCCAAAACAAAAAAAAATTCAAAAGGAAATGCAGTCACCGAATAATTGTTTTGATTTCGCAGGGATTAAAATACGTCCGAATAACAGAGCAGTCCGAAAAATAAGCAGATTAAAAAAGCTGCCTTAATTACGTCTAAGCGGGCTTAAAAAAGCCATAAATAGTGCCTTGCTTCAGGTTACACCTCTGTTTGCGTTCAGCAACTTTCTATTAACTTGAGAATGGCTGCCCTCTTTTCTAGCGTTATGATCGAGTACTTTCTGCGCTTCTTGACGACACATCGCGGTGGCGGAAGAACAGATGGGCAATGCCGTCCAAGCCAGCATAGTCCGAAAACACAATTTACCGAAACGAGGTCGAGATGAGGCTCAAGTCCACAACTGCATTGGCGAATTAACAGAGCAAAATGGTAACAACAATGATGATGATCACGCGCAGCTAGAAAAAAAAAAGTACAGTGCCACCTAGCAGTAAGACCTAGCAGCACTCAATTAGGCCTGCCAAACCAAGCCAATCCATGTGCAGTCAACATTGAATTCAAAATGGCCGCTTCGCGGTGGTCTTTCCCACTGATCGCTTATGACGATTTTGTCCAAAAAATCAAACGTTCGGACTTCAAGCTGTTTGAAACATCGGTCGTGAATATGCACTAGTTCCATCGGTTAGGTCACAGTTCCTTCTTTAGGTCCGAAATATCGAACAAGTCTGAATTATCGGCGTACGAAAAATTGGTCGACGACTGTACATATAGAAAAAAATGCAGCTTGCATTTTGTCATCTTTGTGCGATCATGTGCACATGGGACAAGGTCCGTCTTACCAGTGAGTACTCACAATAAAGGAACATACTGAGCAATCGCTTTATGAGTGGAATTTGCCACAACCTTCAAATTCAAGTAAAAAGAGCAAACTAAAAAACGAAAAAAGTGCTACATCCATTTTTCTTTTTATACCTATTCATCAGGGTTCTCCCGAGAAATTCTTGAGATCTGGACATCTGACAATTTCCAGGGTGTTGAAGGAGGAGAAGGGGGCAGCTGCTGCAACCTTTGGTGTTTTCAGCACTTTATCTGCCACACAGCAGTAATTTTGTTTGCAGGGATCATGCAGTCCTGTGAAATAGTGCCACACAAATCTGCCAAACTGAATCTGGGGCATTGTGCATTTTTAAAATCAGCATCATTTTGTCCAGCGAAGGTAAAATATAGCGGTGGGTTGGACATAGTAGAGGTGGACAATCAGCCAGGCTGGTGGGCGGCAAAACCACTGCCGCCCTCTGTGGGGAGAACCCTGCTCTTAATTTAATACGGTTCCTTGTTATGGCTTTTTGAATAGGTTCGTCTGGCCAACTCTGGTCTCTAGCCGATGAAAGAACACATAGTAGGCTTCCGATAATTAAAACTTGGATATTTCCTACTTCTGGTTAACTCAAACAAATTTCAAAATGTTTGGTTGTCCTGCTATGTTCTAATGTATTTGTAAGGCGCTTTATACGAACAGTGTTTTCGTGTAATTCATACTTTTTGTTATCACAACTCCTTTTAGTATGCTTCTTTCCGAGCACTGGGACACTGCAGAGAGGAAACACCCCCGGAGCTTGCTTCCGCGGGTTTTGCTTCTCCGCAGCGCACAGGTGCTCGGTGAGAAGCACGCTCACCGGGGTTCAAAGGGCACACATGAGCTATGAAAACGGGCGCCACGCAGAAATTTCCATAGCAACTTGTGCGGATGCTGTGACTTGGTGGCATGCCTTAGGTTCACGTCACAGCATCTGTGCAAGTTGCTATGAAAACTGCTGCGCTATGCCCGTTTTCATCGCTCATGTGTCCCCTGCTCAATTAGCGGCGAGATATTTTAGTGGCGCCCTCCTATGGTTCCCTCTCGTGACGTCATTACCTCGCGAACAGCAAGTTCGATAATGTTTGTAATGAGCATGGTGGAAGCTTGAAATCATTGCACTCTGAAACGAACACTGCCAACACCGTCAAAATTAGGGTTCTTCTATTCCTCTTATTTCCGTGGAGGAGAAATCCTTTGCTGACGTCATAGTCAGCAATCGGCCAATCGTGGATGGCAGATCACAGCGACGCTTTCGATCGCGCACGTCGCCAATAGTCCACATTAGGCAACTTACTGGCCCAACGAACAAACCTCATTTTATTTTGAGTTTATCATGTGCTGTCTAAACAGTCCACGATAAACATTTTTGAAGGATAAATAAACTTACGTCATACATTTCACAAATGTTTTATGTGTGGCATACCTGCTTCTTATTATAAAAAATCAACAAATATCTGATTTGTATGTCTAGCCATTCATATGGCAAATCATAATTTTATTTTGCATCATATTTAGATGAATTTCTGATAATTCAAACAAAATTTGTAGTTTTCTGAAGTTGAATGGAATTAATGAGAGCCTATTGTATAGGAAGAGGACAAATGCCATGATGTCATGCGTTGACGCTGTTTGATTGATCCCACTGGCTCGCAGCATCAGCTGCGCTTTGACTTAAGGTTATACAAGGATTTCTCGTCAACCACGCTGGCCGGTTGAGGGGCAGCCCGGTTGATCGCCGACATTATCTAAATTTCCAGACTATGTCGGCGATGTCAGGAGCTAAAATTCGCGGTACATGCAAAATAGTAAGATTGCACATACTGTGAGAAGACAAAACCAGGGTCTTGTAGTCGCAATGAGATCGCTCGATTAATGTCTTCCACATGGCTCCGTGCCATGGCTACAGAGTACCATGGCAGTTGTGCCACTTGTATCAACCTTTGCCGCCTCTCACCAGAGTGTGCGTGTCAAAATGCACCGTTTTGTTAGGAGAAGCAGCTGATATAAGGGAGCTCCTCTGTCAGCGTGACATGTTCGGTACTATTACAGGTCTAGGTACCTTCCTCAGTCTTCACCATAGGTTGACCTCTTTTAAAAAACTGCTGATAAAGAAAAAAAAAGTGTGTCTGTATTTGAAGAATTACGCAATAGTCGGTGACTGGTCAGGAACGAAGTGGATGCTCCTCCCTCCAGTTTAGCAGAGCAAACTTTGGAGAGGAGGTGACCTCCTCTTTAGTGTTTGCTCTGCTAAACTGGAAAGAGGTGGGAGGAGCTTCCACTTCGTTCTTGGCCTGTAGCCGTCTATGGTCAAGGTAGTTTCCTTGCAGCTGTTGGTCGAAGGAGGAGTGAACTTGGAGTCAACTCTGGCTCCAACATTGCTAAAAGCAGTGTCACATTAAAAGCACGAGTGCAGGCTTCCATAATGTTTGTGGGTGGTTGTTTTTGCGGTTTATAATATTAATAAAGTTTTGAGTTTGGTAGGCTTGTGAAACTTGGGGTACGCATTTATATTAATAAATGTGTTAGCAGATATGCGAGACATATTTGAACAATTCCAAAATATACTTCTATTTCAGCATCAATGTCCCAAAATGAAAGCTTATTTTCGAATTGCTCCTTGTTCAAATTATGTATTGCAACACAAAAATTGCACAAACAAAATATTTTTTGAAGGGAAAATTAACTTGGTAATCACTGAAAAAAAAACAAAAGGGTGTCTTGGTGAGTTTAGTGTCCTATTAATGTTACGCTCCACTTCAACGTAACATTGTTTGGAGTGAATGTTACAGCGCCTGTTAGGCAAGCAGAGTGACAAAGCGAAGCAGATGACAGCTCTCTATGGGAGGAGTGCATGCCGACTATACATTGTCAGTCAATCGCTCTGACATTCTGATTGGCTTGATTGGGGCTGTGGCTTATGGCGTTTTCCAACTTAGGCTGGAATGAAGTGTAAAAGGGTAATTCCGGTGCTCTCGTGAATGGCGTAAAATTGCATGCTCTCTCGGTAAAAAAGGACTGCGAGGAGTGAGGACTGACAATTGAAATGAAAGTTTACACTAAAATCAGCCTCATATATAGTTGAACCTCGATTTTACGAAATTCGATTTTACGAATTTCCCGATTGAACAAACAAGTTTGGATTCCCTGCGCAGCCTATGCACGAGGTCTTCCTTCCTCGATTTTACAAAGTTCCTGATTTAACGAAATAATTAGCGGGTCCTGGTGACTTCGTCAAATCGAGGTTCAATTGTAGTAACAAGTGGGAGTTACATTTAACTTTTTTTTTATATAAAGATGGGGTGTTTGATGGTCATAGTAGTACTGCCATACTAAGTTGTGTCCCGACTCGGTTCTTGTGTACAGAATAAGAAATGAAAAACTTAGCACACTTGCTGCGGGAAAGCAGCAGGTCACCAGCATAAATGGACTGATGAGCCTGCTTTTGTAGGAAATTATGACCATTTTGTCAACAGATGTCTAGACAGTTGTATATGCTCTTCAGTGTTAACTGCCATACTTGCCTGGCCATTACAAATAGGTCCTCCCGGTCCTGCTTGACTAATCCTTCTCTCTTAAAGGCCACTGTGCAATGCCTTATCTACAGGACTGAAAGGGTTTTTGGCACCTTTCTTTTTGTTCTGTCTTCTTGGCTTTATCTTAATGGGAGCTCGTCTTGCGCAGTTTATTGAAGGCAGACTCCAGATACTGAATGCCGGCAAGGTCAACAACGATATCTTTGAGCTGGAGGTGAACATGTTCGACGACAGTTCCAACAAGCAGTTCAAGCAGCACTACAAGTACTGGCTCGCAAACATGAAGGTGTGTGTGCCCACTTTCTCCCATTGCAAATCTCTTGTCTGATTGCCTCTGTTTTTTTGCTTTGCCGCACACTGATAAGTATTCCAGTGCTGATCATCTTTCCTATGTTTTGATTTCAGAAAGAAGGTGGAGCTCTCCTCAAGACTATGAAAAGCAAAGTGAGTTAACAAAGCTGTCTTAGCATTTTAGATGCAATTGAGTTTCTGCTTGCCACCCATGTCTTATTCTCTGCTTGAAGTCTCGCCCCAGTAATAGCTGTGCCCAGGGGCGGATGCAGGAATTTCCTGAGGGGGGGTCAGGTGTTGGTCAGCGTACGATATGTTTAGGAACCCCCTCTCCCTCTCCTTCGTTTTACAATTTAAATTTTACAGATGCAGAAATCAAGAGGGGGGTCAGGACATCCGGACCTCCCCTCTAAATTCGCCCCTGGCCGTGCCTTGCCTTGAAGTGAGAGCTGTTCTAGCTACTGCTTCGAAGCAGTTCTTACCGATTGTTGCATTTAATTTGGAAGTGCTGTCTTTCACAGGGCGGTGTGAAATTCCGAGTAAGACAAAAGACCTGTTCACACATATACCGCAGCACTACCTCAGTGCTATTATTCAGCGTTGGAAAGAGTGCTGACCTTGCTGATGCAGCGCTGACTCGAAGCTACATTAGTGGTACAGCACTGATACAGTGCCGAGATACGTTCAAGTCAGCTCTGCATCAGTGTTGATTTATTGCTACAACGTATCTGTGAACCGACGTTCAGAAAGTTTCAGAACTTCGATGCAACAATGTCCTCTTTTTTTTTTTCAGGCAAATCCCGCCGTTCGCAATGCCTACAAAAACGTGAGTACCGTACCGTATATAGGGTAATAGGTTTACCTCATCTTGCAAGTGTTTGGAGGAACGGTGGTAACCGAGATTTTGGTCGGGTTCATGTTTCATGTCCATGTGCGTGTATGTATACTTGTCAAGCCGGCAGTTCTTGCAGGTGAAAGAGCAGTTTAGGAAGAGCTTTTCAAGGCACTCTGTTGTATCGTGGTCTCCGTTGTCGGACAGTGTTTCGGGGCAGGTGAGACACTCTGAGGGAGCATGTTCTTGCCTGCGCACTGCTAGTCTTGATCATGGAGCACAGCCGTTCAGTTGCATTGAGTTTGAGCACTTGAGGGACTAACTTTGTTGGAACTGAGTGAAATACAAGGTAAGTATAGTACTTTAGTGCGGTTTCGCAAAACGCTGTCACTTATCCGGTAGGCTATCTGTGACCGTGCTGGTGAACCTTTGCTGCCATTTCCTCTATTTGTCTGCATGTAAACAGTTCTTTGTTAGTATTACTTTTTGTGACGTTAAATCTTGGAGATGTGGCAAGTTGCACCACTGACAACAGAACTCAAGGAATATGATTAGGGACACATTCAAGTTGCATACAATGTCGCTTACACCGTTATTAATTGCTTCAAAATCATCCCATCATTATTTATTGTTCCAAAGTCATCCAGGCATCCCTGCATAGACCCTTTTGGTTAGGGACGTGCAAATATTTGTAGGTTCAAATACTTTGTGGCTAGTGTTGACTATTCGATTCGATTGAGAGTGTACCTTTACTTTTGAAAGTCATTACTTTGTTCAATATTCGAAAATAAGGAACAATATATGTAGAAGTTCCCGACTTCTTGCATCAGGCTTCTTCACTGCTTTCTTCCCGAATGGTGGAGAAACAGCTGATGTGGTGGCGCATCCTGGTTGGTTTGATAAACTCAGAAATTTCCTTCTGTGGTGACGATTACAGTTCAATCCTTAATTTCAAAGAATGTTATCTAAAAAAAATGTATCTATACTGTAGAGTGAGACCTGTCTGGAAAGTATCAAGCCATTTATTGGTCTATAAAATGCAAGCATCCTAAGACAATGGGCCCTTAATCTCCATAAAATTAATCCCCTTCAGAGCTCGTGCAATTATGCCACAGTGTTCCTTCCACTTTTCAGAACATTTGCGAAGCTCTGTTTTGACATCACCATCAGTTGCCTCGTTGTTTGTCTTTAATCTCGTTAATGGTCTCAAATCTTCTACATTTCAACTGCAATTCCAGCTTTGGGAAATGCCAGAAGTCGCAGGGAGCCATGTTTGGGCAGTAAGGGGGCTGGTGCACCTAGGTGATGCGGTGGTTTGCTAGAAAACCCTGCACGAAAGTGACGAATGGGCAGGCACATGTGGTGAAGCTGCCGGTCACCAGCTGTGCACAACTCTGGTCACACGGTCATTTTCTTGCTTACTGCATTCTGACTCGTACGCAAATTTTATCAGAGCATCGCTCATTGAATTATTCCTGAAAGTGATAAATATTAAAGTTTGGAGCAGCACTTGATGCATATTCGCTAGTGAACTTGCTCAGCCATAGTCCAATGATCACATAGCACTTCACCTGATACAATGGCACCTCTCTGCCTGCTGAGAACAAAAATCAATATGATTGTTCACGCATGCACAGTAGGGTCTCGCCTAACTGTCTGCTCATTGCCATCAAAGCTGTGCCCGGGTTACTGAGGTACTTATAAAAATTACTGGATACTTTCCGGACAGACCTCTTATTTTAATGAGATAGGAAGTCATTGCTTTGGTTGCCATGTAACATTATGTTTTACCCTACTTGCCTTACCGGGGACTTTTGTGTTTTATTGAACACAGGTAGTAGGTAAAATGTTTCTCATGCAGTAAAACTTTTTTTTCAGAGGTATAGGTTTGCTGAAAAAGAATCAGCTGTGATTTATTACAGCTGAAATTTATTTAGCTTAGTAATTTTGAATAATGGCTAGTGTGTGTAGATACTGAGTACCACCTGACGCTCCTTGATGGTGGCAACTTCTCTGGCTAGCACAACTAGTCGCAATGCAATAGAGCTTAAGTGATCTGGGAAACACCATACTGCCACATCTAGAAAAGCTTAGAGCGAAGGTTCACCAGTATGGATTCTTGCAAGAGTTTGAGCCATATGTACTATGTTACGTGAAACTGCCCTATAAGTAATGAAGCACTAAAAAATTTAATAAGCTTGTCACTTGTAGATACAATTTGTTCTGCTTGTACAACAATCATGTGACACTTGCAATGCAATTGAGTTTGGTGGTCTATGCTTCGAACCACATTTTGCGTGTCTTTGGTCACCATTAAGTGTGCCTGCAATAGTACTATTTTGTTTCATAAAATGACTTTGGGGTCTCCTGTTTGCTGTGGGGTTGACATAGTACTAATCGTGGGTGATGTGTTTTCGAACTGAATTTTAAACAGAATTTCTATGTATCCTCAAGTTAGTAGGTTGCATTAAACTTGACAGTTGTGTACAAAGAGAAACTTACAGGTTCTGTGTTGTAGAACATTGTAATTCCCTGGAAGTGCCCAGAATGGTCTTGCTGTTTAAAGGACACATGCAAAAGGAAAAAAACAATTTTTTAAAACAGGCTGGATGGGAACAGGAAGTGATAAACAGATTTACAACGAATAAGAAAAAATTTTTAGAGCTCTATTTACGGTGCTAAACGTATTTGTAGTTGGCGCCTGCGGGCGCCCCCTGAAAAGTGATTGCTATTTACCACGTGACTGGCTGCTACTTATCACGCGGTGCTTGCGCTCTTTCGGAAGCTTCCTATGGTCTCTAAAAGTTACTTATTCACCTTCATTCGGAGTGAAACAAAAAACAAAGATTAATAAGTAACCTTTAGAGCTCAAACGAAGTTCCTGAAAGAGCGCAAGCACCACGTGATAGACCTGTGCGACGGTCAGAAATTGACGGCGGCAGCGCGCCGGCGTGTTCCCTTCTGGCGGCGGCGGCGGCGTGGAGAAACAAGTTTAACCGGCGGCGCACCCCGCTCGGCGTGCGGCGGCGCAGCGCGGCGGCGCACAGGTCTATCACACGACCAGCGGCGGCTCCCGCGGGCATGAACTACAAATTTGTTTCGCTCCGTAGATATAGCTCTAAAAATTTTGTTTATTTATTGCAAATTCGTTTAATGACATTTTTTTTTCATCTAGGCTGTTCAAAAAAAAAGTTTTCTTTCCTTTGCATCTGTCCTTTAAAACCCTTTCTGGATCATGAGCTATGGATTCTGCAAAAATTACTTTCCACTGAGGAAGTTGCTTTATGGCATTCCTTTCTCTCAGGACCTGGGACAGCATGGTTTGGTTTATCCTTGTCCTTAATTAACTACAGTAGAATTCTGCACGTTCTAATAAAGTTGTATTATGCATAAAAAATGCTTACTGTATAGATCAGGGGTTCTTAAACTTTTTGGTCTCACGGAACCCCAGGAAGCCTCAAAAACTGCCACAGAACACTGCTCTCTTCCCCCCACTCCTCTATATTTGCCGACCGAGAAGCAACAGATGCGCAATTGTAGGCAATTTTGCTTGTGTTGCTTCCCATATATCCCCACCATATCAATCGCGATGTCAGTACAAAGTGAGATGAAGGCGCTTTGCATGGTCCTGCCGCGCAGCCTGCGGCAGGGGAGGGGGGATTGGGGGAAGGGGGGGGGTGGCAATTTGGGTGTTTGCAGAACCCATGAGACCAGCTCGTGGAACCCCTGTGTTCCCCGGAACCCAGTTTGAGAACCCCTGGATAGATGATTGCATCTTCACTCTGTTTCTGCATGAGTAGTCACGAGCTGCATTGTAAACAACATTTCTGAAATAGTAACTTCATAAATATAGCACAGTGACAGAATTTTTACTCTTCCAAAATTTGTATATGAAAGTACCTAAATGAGCGCTGAAAATACAACTCTTAGGAAGTACCTTATTTACTACTTTAAAATCTTCGCTCAATAATTTTGTTCTTAACAAAGCCCCCGCATCTCTTTTCTTTGCTCAGAACCAATAATTACAAATTACGAAAAAAGAACAGCAAAGGACGAGGCACAGATTACATTCAGATCCGTGCTGGGATTTGGAGCATATATATGTTAAAAACGTGCAGATTTTCAGCTCAGGTCAGCCTTACAAATCCCAATGTTATAGATACGTCATCATTTGCTGGTTGCCTTCTGTAAATTGCATCAATTGAATCTGCAAGAAAGCAGATCTAGGGCTTTGTTTGTTAAAAGGTTGCATTATGTGCTCACAAATGCGGCCGATAAGGCAAACTATAAAGATGTAGACTGCACTGCCAAACAAGTGCATTCATAGTCTGCTCCCTCAGCATTGCTGTATTGATTCAGGTAAAGGACAAGGGCAAGAAAGCATACAGCAACATCCAGGGCAAGTTTGCAGGGATGCAGAGGGTGAGCCAGTCTTACTGTCGGGCAGTTGCTGTGACCGTAGCTTGTAGTGTCGGGGGTCATACGCTACAGCAGACTTCGTTTTTGTACAGGGCACGCAAGACGACATGGCATTGTCGAAGAGGGACATGAGCCAGCCTAGGAGCGCCCCGGCCAGTCCCACAATGGACCGCAAGCGGCCCGTGACCTTTCAACCTTTGCCGCGGGTGAGTTGACTCTCAATACGTTCCGTAGCCTTCGGTAAAGGTTACAAGGTTCACCTCTTTATGCCTTTTACTTGCAGCTACAGAACGTCTCAAGTCTAGTGTCTCCCAGTAGGACCGCTTCTCTAGGCACAAGGTGAGAATTTACGGCATTGCTTCCAGTGGCATGTGGACCGGGCAGAGTCTGGATGAAGAGACCTCAAGCAAGGGGTATTATGGTTCAGGGAGCCCAGAACTCTTTATACTGAGAGAGTTTGGCAAATGGGCGAAGCCTGTTGCCCACTAGAACAAGCGGACTTTACGATACCACAATATGGAGGTTTTTGCCTATGGCCACTTCACTCTGCATGTGCTAGTCCAGATTCATAAATGTTTTAGGAAAAAAATTTCTGGTACTCTGACAATTTGTTTTGCCTGCAATTGGTCACTGTAATCCAAGCGCCGGTCATCCCTTAAATCTATTCCATCCATCTATCCCGTCCATCTAAAAATAAAACATACTAATAAGCTTTTTTCTTTTCGTTTTAATTAAAATTATGATTTCCCAACCAAAAAGGAGTCTGGCAATCAAGGACACAGGTTCGCAGTATTTAATCTTGGCAATGGTCGTTTAACAGATTATGGCAGGTAAGTATGTTTGAGCCGTTTATTGCATGTACAATGCTCAAGATGTTTACATTAACGAGAAACAGTTTCATTATGATGATGGGTCACCACATTCCTGGCGTGCCTAATCAAGAGTAGGCCCAAAATTCAACACCACATAATGGCGGAGGTAAGATGTTGTTTCCCAGTTGCTTGTCCGACTTCCAGCTACGGTTGCTAGACTGTCGGCACATTCAAAAGAATGCCAAACTCTTCCAGTATAGAGTTTGAAGTTGTGCTAGTTGGTTCACATTGGTAATAAGAGAAAACGGTGAAAAAAAAAAAAAAGACTGGGACAAGTGTATGAAAGACTCAAACACTTCCCACTTCATTGCTTCTATATAATGAAGGAGATGAGAAAGAAAACAAAGTTGGAGTCAGTGATGTGTTTGTGTTACTTGTCCTTGTGTATTTTATTTTTGCATTCTTTTCTCCCGTCTGTTAGTGTACAGAGAACTCTGATGGGGCCTGTCGGTGAAGAGGGCAGAGGCTTTATTCTGGATGCCAAATTTTTGCACCAGATCTAGTGTCCCTGACTGAGAAAGGACGGCAGGGAGTGTCTTTGGAGCGCCAGGCCTCCAGCAATTTCTTTCCTGAATGTGAATCTCTTCCCTATTGTTCTCAAGTTCTCAATGGCTAGATGCCCGTGATGTAGCAATTTGTATGCATTGTCTCGTCTATTTTAATTAAGCAACAATGACAGCTCATGGAAATTTCAATAATAACTGCTGCGTAGTTAAGTACATAAGAAAAGAAATAATGAGCGATTGCCCTGGTGCAGCCCTACAGTTAGCCTAGGCACATGCTTTCTTTGCAATTCCAAGATTTCTCTCAGTTGCTGGAGACACACTTGAATGCAGGAGCTACGGCAACTGCTTCAGCCGACTACTATGTATTTCCTCGCTTTGCATCAGCGCTGGCTGGCCTGTCGCCCTTTACTAGGAAGCGGCACAGTTCTGGTTAATATCTGGGGGCTATAGCTAGATCCAGGACATCGCATAGTAGAACTTGGAGCACCAAATCATTAATAGAAGCTTTAAATACACTACCATAGGTCTTCTTTCAGAGGCTCTCGGTTGGTTCCCTCCACCATGGGTACTTCTAATCAGAACTGTACTATAAACAAGTGAGCCCTACTGGCAGCTCAAAGTGAAATCAGTTTGTTCCTGTTTTTTTACAAGTGTTTTTAAAGGGAGCTGCTGTAAATGAAGCTCTACCGTAATGCTGGGCCTAGCTCCTAATTTTGTCTTCAGTGGAAAAATGGAGCTACCGAGGTTTTGAGACTTGGTGAATCTCCTCTAACCTTATGAACGCACAATGTCAGTGTGCAGCATAAGCGTGAAACTATGTATAGGTGATATAATGTATCTTAGCTTTAAACGTTAGACTCATCCTCTCAACTTTTACATTTGTCTCGTTCTTTGGGGTCTAGACTATGCTGCTTGTGACACTGATGCGACACTGTCTTTCTTTTTCAGTTCCATAAAGTCGCCGTCAAAAAGTGCCATTGAAGTAGGATTGGATGTCGTGTCCGAGCTGAATGAAGACACGGTGTCCTCTAGCTCCTTTCAACCCATTGACATGGACCTCATGGGTGACCTGCAAGAGATCTTCAGTCGCTGTTCTACCACTGAAGCACAGGGTCAATCAAATCACACAACCGGCTCTCCGGCACTGGTAGAACGACAGGTGATTCTATGTATATGATCTTTCTGCCAGGCTCCACAACCGACGGTCTTGACTACAATCCTCTCCCAAAAAGCCATAAAGATAGCTTGCAATTATAGTTTTCAAAGCTTAAGCCATAGTAAGATTAGTGCATGCGACAGCCGATATCAATACTCATGACATCCGAGACGGCACGGCACGCTTTTGCTCTGCAAGCTGTCGAGCTGCGGTGCGCTAACGCCAATGTAACAGATTGCATTTCCTTTTAGTTGGCTACCGACGTGGGGCGAAGGAACCTACGTGACGAGGGTTTCCCATGGTTTCAATGCAGGCCTTCAGTGACCCTTCTCTCCACAAGGTCCCACTGGCACCTCCCCCACGGAGCTCACGGAGGACCGCGGCCCGGTCTCCGTCTTCGGAGGCCCCGCTCATCCGCCTCGACTCACAAGAGGGAGAAACCAAGCAAGAACCCCAGCAGCAGCAGCAACTGCAACAGCAGCAGTTTTCGGAACAAAGAACTCGAACGGTGCAACAACTTGCGCAACAGTTCTCCCAACAAGTTCCGCCACAGTTTCCGAGACATCCTCCACCACAGCTTCCACAACATCCCCCGCCACAGATTCCATCACAGCTCCCACCGCAGCTTCCACAACAGCAGGCACAACCTCCGAACCGACTGCCGCTGGCTCCGAACCCATTTGTGCACACGTACTGCACGCCGCCTTACTCTGGCCTCCAGCAGAGGTTTCAAGCAGTGCCGTACATGGGAAACCCGCATCCCGGCCTCTCGACCAATCCGTTTGTGCGCCAACCCTGGACTTCACCCATGGCTCCGCCCCCTAGGCCGCACGCCCCGCCCCCCGCGGTTCCGAGGCAGCAGGACCCGTTTGCGGACCTCATCGACCTTTGACCGCTCCGGCTGCTATTTATCGTGCGTCGGTGCAGGTGTCGAGTCTGGCCTCTGCACATAGCTGTGCTTGAGTGCTGAAAAGGTCATATTCTGTAATGTGATGCTAGGTGGAGATGTCGAGTCTGGCCTCTGTACATAGCTTTGCTTGGGTGCTGAAAAGGTTGTCATATTCTGTAATGTGATGCCAGGTGGAGAGGACATCAGTCGTGTAAATAATTTCAGATTTTCTAGGTCTAATTTAGCAATTGTAGAGTGCAGGCACTGGCATGACCTTGGAAGATTCTCGAGAAAGTCTTCTGTGTTTTGCTCCATCTTTTCTGTAGTCCGGCAAAAAATTTGTTGGTGGCATCAGATACAATATGCCAATACTCCTTTGGATTCCTTCCAGGACATGGCATGGCACTTGTTCTACCAACTGAACTGCTGTACCTTGAAAAACCACAAGACAAGAGTGATAGATTCAGTCTAGAGTGCCAATCAAAAGGACGCAAAATAAAGGAATCTTTCCAAGGAATGCCGAGGACATGCCCGGACATGACATTGGACATCTCCAGTACATCATGTTGTGTAGCTGGGACTCCAGCGTTGATTAGCATCCAGTTCACTCTATTGAAGTCTAGGGATGGCTTTGCATTTGAGCCACTAAGCTCAAGTCTTTGTAACAGAGCGTACTAATTATTTTATCTAATGATGCTGCGCTAGAACCCTGTTTTAGCTTTGCAGCTACCTACTATATACTCTACTTTTTTTGTGCTTTTATCCAAAGTCGGTTACTGCAACTCAGTTCTTATGGAGTCTTTCTCGTTTCATTGTTTCGTATTTATGGTACATCTGGGGCAATGTGAATGAAGTCTGTTTGTTAGAGGAACGGTTTTAAGTCCAGACACCTCTGTGTGCTGCAACTCGGTCCTCAGTTGTCTAGCCTTCATCCGGTTTACGTTATTCAGCAGTCTGAGATATTGTGTTAGCCCTTGGTTACTCGAGAGAAATGAGAAAGGGCCTAGAAAGGTATATATTTTTGTAAACTGCAAGATGACACTGTTACTTTTGCTGTCACTTCGATAGGTTGTTTTTGTACTTTTGTACACTTGGTGCAGATTAGGACAGCGTGCTCATGGAAGACATTCCAGAAGCTTGCCTGCAACTGTTGCAGTAAGATGAAGGCATCCAAGCGTGACTAGCACTGTGCACCAATTCTGCTTTGCTAACAACCTTGCTTTGATCTTCCTTCTATGGCACTTCTGGTTATTGGTCTAACAATTTTTATATAGTGCAGTCCCAGTGTTAAAACCCTTTTTGTTTGTTTTAAATATACCCTTTTTTTGTTGGTTTTAAACACGTAGTGCGGACAAATGTTTCTTTAAAAAAAAACAAGGATGACAACAGAGGTGGGCCTGTCAGTACCACGCGTGTAGAGGAATTATACTGGCAACTTCATTCGTTCAGTGCTCGCACTTGTTGCGACAGTTGGGCCAATTGGGAAACTGGCATTTTGTATCAAACGGTCGAAGTACGAAGGCTATGAAGATAGAAGCCCAAGCTATGCATCGGTCTGTAGACAAACAGAAATATTGCCTAGTAGCACTTTGTTTGTTGCAATGTCTACAATATAAAAGGCACTTTGATGCGACAATTTATTTGGCCCAGATTTAAGACTAAATAAATGCGGAGTGCAAATTCGTCCGCTCCTTTTGCCAGGGTTGTGGTGACGTCAAAACGCCAAGCTCTGATTGAAGGATAGTGGGTAGACCTCAAAGCAAGCTGCCTTGAGGTCTGCCCACTATCCTTCAGTCGGGGCCAATCAGAGCTCAACGTTCTAATGTCACCATAACCCCTCCAAAGGCAGCAGACAAACATGCGCTCTGCATAAGACTAGGGCCACTGATTGTTCCCAGAGCATTCAAGCTTTTTACATTAAAAGCAAAAAAAAGTACTAAAGGGTTGCAAAAAAAGAAAATGAAAGAGTACTCATGCAGACAAAAGTCTGAATCAAGCACTTGGTAGTGCTGCAACAGTTGTGGTGCTCCCAAACAAAAAGCTTGCATTTGCACTCTAGAAGTTATGAATCAACACCATTGGATTTATGGCATAATTATGTGCCATTGAAAGATAACCCACTATGCAGGAACATCTTAATCCATCAAGTGTCACTTGCGAGGACACCAAACATTAATCTAGCTTGTGCAATACGGTGGCTTGCCCCAATTGAGTAGTACCATGAAGCAAGTCTACAAGCTTCATAACCCATTCCTTGCCAAAGACCTCGACTGCAAGTTCTGGCTTTGGGTGTGACCCAATAGGCTTATGGGGGTTTCCATTTCAATTTTCACTTTTCTGGGACGTCGCATATATAAAAGAAGGTCATGTGTGTCTATCCATGTGTTGCGTATATTGGTGCAAATTTGACGTACCCTTGTGAAGTTTGGTCTTGGAGACAGTTGCCTTTTGACTGCGATTTGGACGCCTCCCTTTTTAACTTTTCAGTCACAGGGCTGTGCCAAGAAATTAGAATGTGCCAATAGACGTTGCGGAGGATTTGCACCCCAGTGCTCTTGGGTAGTGTGTCACTGCAGCAGACTCTACCACGACTGCAGTTCTCAATCAAAGTGAATTTAAGGTATATGCTTTGCCAGCTCATCCATTTAACAGTGCATCTACAAAAGCGTCCCAGTCTGTCGTACATGTAGTACTGTGATTGCGTGTGTGATACAGTGAACCTTTGGTGCAATGGAAATAAAGTTTGCATCACTTCACCTTACAAAGCCTGTAGAGCTATGCTGATCTTTGTGTACAGGAAGGCAGCAAATGCCTCGCATTGCAATTTGAGGTATTATGTAACAAATCGCCAATCGCAACTCTTGTTTTTATAACTTCCTCTGCTCAGCTCGGTGCCTCATTTGTTCAACAAGCGTGAGGCGCTACTTGACAAGGGCCTGAATGCTACGACTATATAGGCTATACGGCGAGCAAGTGTTTCAAAATGAGTCTTGGGCGCATCGAAATGCAAGGAGGGGCACGCTGGGCACGCCAATCGCAGGGAGACTTAGCGCGATAAGGAGACAGCCGAGTGCGCGCCGTCATTATTTGAGGTCGGGGGAAAACTAAAGCACGTGGACGCAATTGGCGAGTAAACGAACATCGTCGATATGCTTTACTTGTTTGACGAAGCGACGGCGAAATCTTCGACGGTAAAATTGATCACATCGTCCGCTCGCAGGATAGCGGCGGGCTGGCACCCGAGCGCAGTGGACAGGTTCGAGACGCAGAAGTTCTGCACGTCAATGTCACAGCCGCGGAACGTGGCGGTCACGGTCGTGTTTTCGTGCATGTGAAAAGTGGCCGCACGGCCTACCAGAGCTGTCATGCACCGCAGGAAGTGTTCGCGCAGGTAGGCTCTGGCTTCTTGCTTCTGCTGCACAAACGCCGTCTGCTCGTCGTCTCCCAACGAGCGTTCACGACTTTGTTCCTCTTCCGAGGGCATGACGAAACCGGTATCTTTAAAACGTGACCGAGAAGAGCTGCCGCGAGCGGCAGCAGATTGCTAACGGCTAACGTTTAAACAAGAAACGAGCGGGCCAAGACCTCTACCAAAGAGACAAAAAGCTTGCAAGACGGCAGCCATATACAAGACGGAAGTTGAAAAAGCACGTGATATGTGACGTAATTTGACGCGTTTCCTAGAGCTAAAATGGCTGCCACGTGGTTTGACGGCTCGTGTCGTCCTCGCGATTAGGTTATCAAACAACCAAAGTTATGTGACGTTTAGTAAATACTATTTTTGGCGTGTATATTTTTAGTAGGCTCAAGGTGAGGAGCGTGCTAACAGCAACGAAGTATGAGTGAGATAAAACAGCGAAAGAGGGCAGCGAGCAAAGAGATCCTGGACAGATCGGCGGTGTCGGAGAAGCACGATGACCTCGGAGATTCCAACGGAATAGCGTACCATGACGCGAAGCCGACAGGAGCATCGAAGGTAAATAGCAACAATCAATCGCATTTTGATGCTTGAGACTTTATTGTACCGGAGTTCAATACTTGAGAGGAGCTCTCGGGTCGTCCGACCCTTCGCATAACGGTATTTTCTGACACGCCTACAACTGCTCAGAAAGAAAGTTTGCATCTACGGACTTTCTTGACAGATTTGTGGCCAACCTTGTCTCGCGGCCTCTACAATTCATTGTCATCAGCTGCTTCTTTTAAAGCGTATTGTAAACCGTTGTACCATATTCGGGAAACTAGTTTCTCTTCGCGATCATCGAGGAAGCAATCATCGTCAGATATATTCATTTCCAGTTTCCCCTCGCATGCTGTTTCTTTTTCCCTCGGCGGTAAGCCAGGTCTTTTCTTGTTTGGTCGCGTGCAGGCTAATACTACCGAGAGGAATGCCCTCGAGGTCGGAAACTCGTGGCTCAATGGAGACTTCCAACCGTTCTCCGTCAATATTGAAGTTGACGGGATGGCGGTGGCACTGTTCTTACTCGGACTGTTCACGAGAATGTGGAGACTGGAAGAACCGAGGAGCATTGTGTGAGTGGGAGATGAAAAACCTTGTGCTGTAAACTCGCTTTCTTCTTTTTTCGTTGCAGTTCGACGCGATTGACCTTTATTACTTTGTTTAGCTCCATTCATGTGTTGTCGCGAATATCCTTAGTTCCTTGACCTTACCACGTAAGAACATCATCTCACGAAAAGTCAGCAGGGTTCAAATGTAGTCGAATATCATGTCCTTGTCCTTTTCATATCCATGGAACGACTTTAACTATTTTTGATGTCCACTGTAGGCTTGCTCGATTTGCATACCTCCTGCAAATGTGCAGTGCCTCATTATATTTAGGAGTGGAGTGAAGAGTGATTTGCTAGAAGTTCACCCTTCTCCACTTTTCGAATCACCCCCTCCACTTTCCGCTACCATCGTGGATTAGTGGAAGTACATTGAACAAGCATAGTGTTTCAAGTTTACATGCTTGAGACATCAGATCTGTCATCTCTGTTCATGACAGATGGACATTTGGTTGTTCATTATACCCCTTGAATGCTGGACAGATCGAATATTCTGCTGAGAGTTGTCATGTCTCCAAATGAGTGAGCAAGTAACTTTGTAACTGCACATGTTGTTTTTTTTGTTTTTGTTTTTTAAATATTTGTGCATTGAAGGGTTTGAGCAAATATTTATGTGATCTTTTCAGATTTGATGAGCTGCATTATGGAAAGTTTGCCAGCTTGTACATGAAGAACACATTTTTCTTTGATTCTCATCCACCACTGGGAAAGCAGTTGGTTGCACTAGCAGGTAGCACACATGTTTTTATCTTTTTACGCTACAAAATGCTTTGAAATAAGAAAAAGAGTTTTAGCATGCAACCTTATTCTCTGGGTTACAGTGTGCTCCAGGTGTCTGGTTCACAGGGGCAAATTTCGGCTGAAGAGCTCTTCCTTACTCAGTCTCTGATGCAGAGTCGGCCAGGGCAAATTTTGGCCGAAGAATAAAAAGTTCTTTAGATAGCTGGTACCCGGTGTATTGTCCGCAGGAACAAATTTCTGCTGGATAAAAAAAAAGTTCTTCCTTAGATATTCTGCACCCGGTGCATAGTCCACACATAAAAAAAAAAAATTACTGTACATGGACACCTTGAAAAATTCATGTTTTGTTAGCGCACACAAAAGCTCGCCATAAAAAAGAAATCATCATTATAATAAGCTGTCATTCACAAAATCTGTCAAATCTTTCATAAGGAACAATCTATAAGAAATAAATCCTTGTAACAAAACCTGTAGATAGTCTGCACCACGTAAAATTTAAACTTTTAAATATGTGTAATCTGTAGACTATAGTCTTGAAAACACAGTATGTTTGTGGGCGTGCTGGAAACTTGAAATGGCTATTTATTATAGAAGCCCTCTGGTTATTCTTACTACGAACAACCTTGTTTTTTTAAAGAACCTAACTTTTCTAAGTTAAGGCGGAAAAAAGGCAAAAAAAAAATATAGGCACTCTTTTTGGCATCAGTATGAACGTGTGATCATACATATTCATAGGATGCACATTTGATGTTATCTGTACTCCTTTCACTCTCCCCTCTGACAGAGTTCAAGCTATGAACCGTCTGCACCAATATTGTGCGCCTAAACTGCAATGCGACTTCAGTAACCTCATACTTTGACTTGACCGAAGCTTGAGCACAAAGCTTTGCTAAGGGAGTTACATGATTCTTTAGACGCACGGTGTTGGTGCAGATGGCTCCTAAGGTTTGACGACCAGTCGGAACGATATGTGAACACAGTATAGGTTATATCGCTTATACCTGGTTTAATGGGGTAACTTATAGGTCTGAGTCCCCACTTACCTAGACAGCTTTATTGAACACTTCTCTAACAAGACAACGTCTAAAGTAACACAGTAAAGGCCCGTTCTCACACTTGCAACCGAGTACGACCAAGAGAGACGAGACCTGTTGAAACCTCTTAAAATTTCTTGGGAAGAGAGAACACACTGGCACGCTGGCGCCATCTATGCGGTGACCCTGGAACTGCATTTCACTAGGGTGAAGGTTTTGTGGGATTTCCAAGGTCAAATGTGCATAATACCTATGAGAAAGGCTCGTTTATAATGTTGAAAAAAGTTTTTTGAGCCAAGAAAGAAAGGATAATGCTCGAGAAAAATAAAAAATATGCCAGATCGCCAAGTTTAAACTGCTATCCAATATATGGTGCCAGTGTGTCCTCTAGTCATAAGAGATATTAAGAAGTTCCAAGGCAGTCTGTTCTAAGAGGTCGCAAGTGTCTGATCGGGCCTTATGGGAGGCTGACTTGCTGGCATAGAAAGTGTGCCATATTGAGATTGAGCATTGGGCACACAGGATAGCATCAAGATTCGGCCTACATGATAGCAAAGCAACCACGGAAAGGCTATCTGCCTTTTATTCTTGCACAAAATGATGATTTATTGACCAAATTGAGTTCTTGTATCGATTTTTGTGGTGTCTCGTGTCTTCCATCTCACCAGTGTTGAGTAAAGTACATCTAAAAGGTACTTAGAGTAAAGTACAAAGTAGATGAGATGTGATGTACTTTAAGTAAAGTATTAAGTACACTGGGTGCGACATACTTAGCGTAAAGTACTATTAATACAATGTACTTTCAAAGTACAAGTGTTTTAACACAATCTTTTGTGATGCCCTTTCATTCCCCTATACAGTAATTTTTTTAACTAATATGCATTGCCCATGGGTAATGAGGGGTGTATGGCCTATTTTCAAAAACAGCGGCAAATATTTGATAAAGTCAAGTGGCCACAGAGTAGTTATTTTCAGGAATAGAACCAAATTCAGAAGTCCCACTTCTGAATTTGGCGCCCATTGCGCTGGATTGTTGCACTCAAGGGGGCTAAATGTACAAGGAGAGAGCATGAAGTCAGCCCCATAGCTTCCGCAAGCCATCCTCTCATAGAGGAGTGTCCTCTCCTTAATGCAAAAACCAGTGAGTGTGAAAGCGAGCTGGTGATGATTAATCATAATGTGACACCTGAGATTGGGGTGCGAAAAAATTAATGAACTTTCAAATATAAGGAAAAGACAAAAGAGAATGTCTCCAAACCTTCTGACATTCTCCTCTGTTGTCTTTTACTTCGACTTGAAAATTTAATTTTTCAACACTGCAGTTTCAGGTGCTACATTATGATTAATTTTGCTCTCCTAATATCTTATACCTCCTCGCTTGCGCTGACCGACCGAGAAGTAGCGAGAGTGCAAAAAGCTACGGGAAAGCCGCTACCAGAACAAATGTTTCTGGTAAGGGTAGAATATCCTTCCCAGCTTTTCTTAGGAGTTGACAAAGCATCATTTCGAGTTACAAATTTAACAAAACCAAATTTGGGGAATGTACTTTGAAATCGGAAATTGTACTTCTCTCGGAAAGTACCAGAAAAAAATACTTTAAGTAAAGTACAAGTACATACTCAGAGAATGTACTTCAATTGGTAAAGTACAAGTTTCCCGAACCTACTTGAAGTAGTACTTTAAGTACAATGTACTTAAAGTACTTCCCAACACTGCATCTCGCAAAATATTCCATATAGGGATGTCGCGAACCACCCTAGGTTCGATTTCGAAAAATTTCGATATTTTCGTACCGACCGAGGTTCGATTTAGAAAAATTCGCAACTTTTGTCCACAGCGGAGTTTCGAACTCGAAAATTTCGAAGCTTTCACGGTTTCTAAAATTTCGAATTCGAATATTTTGAATATTTTTTTACTTCAGGTTCGATAAATTCAAATATTTCGAAATTCTTTGTAAAAAAATTTCGAAAACTTCGAATGCTTCGAATTTTTATAGACATGAAGTTCGAACAATTCGAAGATTTCGAATTTCTTTTTGCATAAAGTTCGAAAAGTTTGAAGGTTTCGATCCTCTTTTAACGCTAAAATAAAAAAACTTCGAAGATTTTGAATTTTTTTCTAATACAAGTTTTCAAAGTTCGAAGTCCGATTTTCAAGTTTTTCCACAGTTTCAGTTTCAAATAATGTTTTCACTGCTCACTGGTTTTCACAAAATCAAGTTTAGAAAAGTTAGGGTGTGATATCTAGATTCTGCGAAGTTGGTCAGGCAATTAAATGAGACGACGAGTGTCCCGGACGTGCTAGAATATTTGCCAGTGCAGAATTGTGACCGCCAGCCCCGGGGGGGGGGGGGGGTTGTCTTTAACCTGCATCACGCAGTAGTGATGGCACGAACACACTGTTTTACGAGACTCTTCCAGTTCGAAACGGCCAGGGGCGAGCAGGAGGTTGAGGCTCAGAAAAACCTTGAAGCGACCTGGCAAACTAGCTCGCCACCCCTTGCACGCTGGTAGTAATCCGATCCGGTGAAGTTTATAATTGTCCTGGAGGTTTATTTGCTGGGACGGAGGAATCGCCTCGCAAAAAGCACAAAAGCCGACACAACTCGAGGTCGAGGAGCGTTCTACCATACAAGTGGCGTCGGAAGAGGAAAAACGGGGGGAAAGAGGGTAGCGGGGGGGGGGGGCTTCAGCCTTCTTCTTCCCCTTGCAGGTATTTCGGACTGTTAAAGAAAACAATACGGGGATAGAGGGCGTGGGCGAGCTTATTTAAATCTGAAATTATTTATGCATATGTATAGCTAATGTCGCTCTTCACTGCATAAAAGATCGCGTAGATGGTCATTGTTAGAAACTCGTTGTCAGAAGGCACTGCTCGTCACATGCTCAATGGTTCGGAAATTCAAAGCTGTCTTTTCGACCTAAACACCTGTGCCGATAGTAACAAAAGAAAAAAAATAAATAAATGCGGGAATAAAAAGCAGGAGAAAAAAAAAACTATCAAGAATTCGTCGGAAGTGTTCTATTCTTGCATATTCAGAGGTTCAGAACTTCGAAACAAGTTTCTTTTACCAAAATGTGTACAGGCTAAAAGAAACACGTCCCAAGAACGTGAAGCGAAAAAAAAAAGTTTTCTTTTAATGACGTGCTGAACTTGAACACTACTAGAAATCTTCTCCCATGAGTTAATTTATTCCTTAACGTGAAAAAACAATAAATATATTATTTTGTATTCTGCAGATGGCAATGATATGTACTGTGTGTGGTGTTAATTTAAATGCGATACCTCAAACAACTTAGACGAAAATAAATATCAAGTTTAGGTCAAAATTGCATGCAGATACATGTTTGGACATTTCTTCGAAACTCACGTTGAATAACAATAATCACATCTTAAGGCGGCACTTACCTAGGCTATTCATAGATCATTCTTAAAAAAATTATAACATATCTACCATAAATAGCTCCGGCTGCAGCGTGCTTCAAATCTGGCAGAAACGATAATCGTCAAAAACCCGTCGTCCTTCCTCGCCCCTTCGGGGATTTATTTCTTTAAACCTAAGCATGCCAGAACGTTGAAATAAACGACATTGTCTTTCATAAGGAACGCAGCACCGCGTGTAAAAGTTCTAGAAAAAAAAATTACGAATGTACCCCACTACTTGAAATCAAATGAAACCGTCCGCCGGTCTTTCGAAGTTCGACGAACGTCGAACTTTTACTCTAAAAGTTTGAAGTTCGTCGAACTTCTGACTTTTCAGAATTCGAAATTTCGAAACTTTTCGAATTCTCTTCATAAATAAGTTCGAAAGTTCGAAATTCATCGAATTTTTTGGTCAGTCAAGTTCGAAAGTTCGACAAGCATCGAACCTTGCACCGCAATAATTTCGAAAGTTCGAAAAAGATCGAATTTTTTAGCGTAATAAGTTCGACGGTTCGAAAAGCGTCGAACTTCTTAGCTTAACAAGTTCGGAAATTCGACCTCCGTCGAATTTTACGATATAGACAATTCGAAAAATCGAAATCTTTCGAACCTTTCGAACCGCTTGATGCGATCATCGAAACTTCGATTCGAAAAAAGTTTGCGGCATCCCTAATTCCATACCTATTCCTTGGAATAGCTTTGGAATATGTTCTACACACTCACATGCTGTGTATTGTCTTTGAATCTTACTTCTTTTTTTTTTTTGAGCACGTAATTCAACTTATAATTTGTTGCTATACCTGTTGTACTGTCTTCAGAATGCTCACTTTCTTTCCAGGATATCTTGCTGGATTTGATGGCAATGCCCAATTTGACAGAATTGGTGGAAGTAAGCAATGCCCTGCCATTCTTCTCTTAGCATAAGATAGCCTTTTTCTACAATTTAAGAATGCTATATTTGTTTGAGTATAGGCCAATTACCATTTTAAACTGGGAGTATATTTTTGGTTTCAGAAAAATAAGGTTGTTTATTACAAAAAGATTGAAATTTGCCTTATTCAGAAGTTTTAAAATATTGACCTGTCATCATAAGAGACCAGACTTTCCTGCTCAACTTGATATTTTTTGTCTCAAACATACGACTAAGCCCACCCATGCTCTTGGGAAATACGTGGCAATGAGAGAACAGGAGGTTCATCCACACTTTCTTTAGGCTAGTGAGGTTCCCCTGAATTAGCTCAAGCCAATGAGGTTGTCGTTTTCTCTTTACATTACAGGAATTCCCTTTGATAGTTTAAGCTAATGACAATGAGATCGACAATCCCTCAGTGCACTCGTTGGCTGTTGCAACCTTCCTTACCATTCCTTCCAAACTACACCCAGGTTACAGTGCGTCGGTTCCGCTCTGGGCTCTGCGGTTTGTGCCGGCCTTCTTTGGCTCGCTTTTGGTTCCGACGACGTACCATCTGGCCACGTCTCTAGGCTTGGCTCGAAGCTCAGCGGCATTGGCAGCCATCCTCATGCTGCTCGAGAACTCTCTACTCACACAGTCTCGGTTCATACTCATGGAGAGCATTCTCATATGCTTTGCCGCCCTGGGACTGCTTTGCCTGCTCAAGTTCAGACAGTCTGACCAGCGTCGGTGAGTGCACACCTTTTTAACTTTTTACATTAGGGTTATCCACACAGATAATGTGGTGCTGCCTAATTTTAAAGCTGTATTTATTACATGCTGCAAACTTCCACACTTCTTTACTGGCACTTTTTGAACACATGTTGTGTTCAATCAGTGTCATTCATTATCCAAGTACCTTTGGCAAGAAAAAATAATTATCAGATACATATAATTCCAGAGAGAAGGGAACATTGTGACTGTAAACATGTATAAATAACCTCTTCTAGCAGATGTCAGGTTACTCCCATTTTTGCATGTGCAGCAAGAGGCATTGTGTCGCATGAAGGCAATTTTGCAAAAGTGCGAAGTTGCTGTCGCCGTATCTTGAAGAGAGGCGCATGACTCATGATAAAGCCCGTCACTGATTCAGAGCTCACAAATAAATAGTGTTTGATTTGTAATGACTAGCCTGTTCTTTTACAAAATCAAGACTGCCTGCAACCTCCGACTTCTCAGCGGCTTTACCGATTTGTACTTTTCTCCACTGCAGGCCCTTTTCCTTTGGCTGGTGGTTCTGGCTGGTCCTGTCTGTGGCCTTCCTCACCTGTGCTCTCTGGTACGTAGTCTATGTCTCTTATCAGTTGCATAGTGTTACAAGCCGGTGTTGACCTTGACCTCATTGTCAACCTTCACGTTACACAGGTTCTGAGTGGTGGGAAATTGGGTTTAGCAGCAAGTTTGACTTTTTGATTTACTGTTTTTTTTTAATGTAAAGTGGAGGCCACCTATTACAGCATAGCGTATAGGTACAATTAAACTCCTATGGGTCACTATATTTATCCCTTCTAACAATCTAGGTGCTAATAATTAAGACAAAGTCCCCAACGTGGAGAAGATTTACAAAATAATAAATAGACTTACTCCTGAAATGGAGTGCAACTCATGCTTTTGAGGCAGCTGATGTGCTGTTGCAAAAATTCACCTGGCTCAAGCTTAGATCCCGGGACCTCTCAAAGGGAGCACTCTGCCAACTATGCTAACCAGGTGTTAGCGATTGGTAGAGCAGACCGATGTTGACAGCGGCCACTGGTCTTACTCACAACAAGCCAAACTTCACTGCCAAATGGAACATTAGATTAGTTTTATTCTGGTTAAACTTTGTCAGGATTTGCCCTGGAATGGGCAAGGTATCTATTAACATCTATTTGGTTGAATTATTTTTATGCAGAACTCAGATGACAAGTAGCCCACTTTCAAGAAGTGGACTTCTTGAATGTGGTCTTCCCTTTCATCACAACTAAGCCATTCTGGGTTCAGATGTGACTAGCAGCATAACCTATACTGGGCCTATTAATGGCAGATATAAATTACACACTTGAAAATTTCATTACATGTGTCAAGCTTTGATGTCATGGGTTTCAGATTGTGGTAATTTCATAACTGTCACAAGTTGTCTAGATTCTTAAGTCTTTTGTTGTTGTTTTTTCAGTGTAAAATATATTGGCATGTTTTCGATCCTGTTGGCTGTCTACATTATGGCACGTGACTTTTGGAACATGCTTGGAAACAGTGCAATTTCTGATGTAAGTAAACACTCAATATAAGGTAAAGCATTGAAATTTATAATGCATATATTTTGTGTCTATTTTATTTGGAAAAGCCTTCTAAACAACATGTCAGTTCTTCATGCTGTGAATATGCAGAGAGAGATGACGTACAATGAAGTGATCACCAGTTTTTTCTGTTTTTTTCCTAAAAATTTAAAGGCTGTTATTGAAATTAATTTGCATGCATGGTGGACAATGCTTACTTAGGGCAACAACCTAAGCAGTGAAATTTTGTATTTTAAAATTCCTGTCCGAGATAAGTGTAAAGAAGTGCAGATTCACACTTACTGTGTCATGCAATTCACAAGTCATGTGGTTCTCTCTATGAGCTGTTTTAAGCATTTACTGCTGGTTGTCAGTTGTTGTGACATAAGCATTCTACAGTCGCCGACCAAATTTTGGGACTTCGCTGGCACCGAAAAAACATCCGAATAATAGAGCAGTCCGAAAAATCAGCAGATTAGAAGACTTGTCTTTGTTACGTCTAAATGAGCTTAAAAAAGCCGTCAATAGTGCCTTGCCTCAGGTTACGCCTCTGGTCGTGTTCAGCCACTTTCTATTTGCTTGAGAATCGCTGCCTTCTTTTCTAGCGCTATGGTCGAGTACTTTCTGCACTCCTTAGTGACAGTTCACACCAGCGAAAGAACAGATGACATCCGAGCCAGCATAGTTTGAAAACATGATTCACCGATACGAGATAAGAGGCGCTAGTCTATGAGTGCAGAATGGTGAATGAACAAAGCAAAAAGGTAACAATGATGTTGATAACAACGCACAGCTAGAGAAAAAAAAAAAGCCATAGCATAGTGTCACCTAGCGATAGGACTTTGCAGGACTCACATAGCACTGCCAAACCAAGCCAATTCACATGTAGCCAACATAGAGCCTAAATGGTGGCCTCTTGGCGGTGTTTCCTACTGACCGCTCGCAGCAGTCTTGTCCGAAAAATCAAACTTTCGGACTTCATGCTGTCCGAAACATTGGTAGTGCATATACACTATATCTATCGGGTAGGAAACGTTCCTCCTTTAGGTCCAAAATATTTAACAAGTCTGAATTATCGTCTTCCGAAAAATCGGTAGGCGACAATATATTGACTATTTCCTGCAATTTGAATATCTTTGAACTGACTTCAAAAACTTCACAGCTAAGCTAGGTGAAAAGATCAGGTTAGGCAACATTATGTGAGCCTAGACCATGATCATGAATAATTAATTTCAGCATCTAAATCAATGCCAACACTATATAGATTATGTGTTCACTCGTTTAGCACACGCAAAATGTCACATCAGCTGGCATCACTCTATTTTAATTACAGCAACGCCGATATACAGTGTAACCTCATTGGTACGTTCCCGGTTCGGCCGAGCTCCCACTGAAATACAGATATTTGTTTCCTGCTGAGTAGATTTGCTTTCCCGGTTTTTACATCCAAAAAGCTGAAAACGTGGCACCGACGGCGCCAGCCCATTCACACGACGAACTGAATCGCAGACGGATTAATAGCATGACGATAAGTCTGCCGATTGTCCGCCTCTCAAGCGCATCACACTGGGAGTGAGGGTCAGTGGGGATCGACCAAACCACTTAGCAACTGTACAGTGGCACTGTCGTCCAAGTGCTAATGCGACGTTTGTCGCCACAGTCATGGCGCTATCGCATTAAGACGAAAAATAATTATGGCGTGCTGCTGTTAGGTGCTGATCGAGACAGAACACTGCAAGAGGCTTAGCACGAAGCACCACTACCTTTACTGACTTGGGGCATAACGCAAGTATGGTCCTGCTCGAGGAGGCTTGGAGGAGAAGCGACGGAGATCTGGGCCTGTGAAGGGTGTTTGCCAATGTCCTCTTCCCCGTGCACTCGCGCGTGACACTTCGATACACCACAGGGGCAAAAAAGTCCAGCCTAACCTTGTTGGGTCTTGGTCTTGCCAAATGAGAGGCTGGGTGGATGTGCAGGAAAGAGTGCAACTTGGTAAACGAGTTTTGCTAGAGGCTTCTCGACACTGACCTGGAGGAGTACCGGAACTAGCAGTGCATTGGCTGAGAACGGTTCCTGCAGCTTGCTTCAGACTTGGAACCAAGAATCTCGTGACAAAAAGAACTGGTCATCAGATAGAACGGACAAAAAGAAACAATGCGTCATCTTTGTTTTGCTCGTCAAAAAAAGAAAGTTGTTGCCAGACAAGACGCTTTTCAAGAGTACCCACCCAAAAATCTGCGAACAAAAAGCTCTAACCGAAAAAGCCAAATAAGTGCCTTTTCACTTGCAGATTTTTTTACTTCAAACACGTTTAGTCTGGCAAGAAAACATTCTTTTATTTTTTTTATTGAGCAACACAAAGATGGTGCATGATTGTGCTTTGCTCTATTTTTGTTTGTTTGCTGGTCCGTGTTGTCGTGTGGTTCTTGGTTCACTGCCAGAACTTTGCCCAGTTGATGCGCTACCGGTTCCAGTACTCCGGGTCTATGTAAAGAAGCTTCTGTCAAAACTCGTTTAGCACATTGCAATCTTTCCTGCCAGTCCACTACAGCCTTTCATCGAGCAAGACCTTTTTTACGACTTTGGTATATGTACTGAAGTGTTGCGCACGATTGCATGGGGACAAGCCGACGAGGACATTGGCAAATGCCTCTGAGCAAGTCCAGGACTGTGTCGCTCTCCCGCATTACAGTTGCCCAAACCGTCAGGTGGAAATTAATTAGCTTTTTCTGAACATATTCGAGTTTACACCAATAAGCCTTTTCTAAATGTTACAAACTTTTACAGTATGTTTATTTCAGTTTACTACACCTAAAAATGTTTATAAGCTTTTTCTGAGCCAGTTTCTCTTTACACTTACGAATGTTAGCGTAAAATAAATTATTTTGTCACAGTTGCTATCTGTGTTATCTTTAGTGAATGGTGTTCTTATTCCTTACATTTTCCCAGATAATACATTTTATTTCCCTGGTCCCCTGAATAACTTACCAACAAGGTTCTACTCTACTTGAAAATAATAATATAAGTCATGCAATAGAACTCCACTTATTTTCTTTTTTTTTTGTTATCTCCCTTTCTTATTATAATGTGGGGTATGTTCACAGTCTCTTTTTACGTTGGAGATGTTTTCTGCTTCCCAACGACCTGTTTTGGCTCCAGGCCAAGCTCTGGCTCCACTTCATGTGCCGATCTGCGGTCACAGTGGTTGTGCCGACGTGCATCTACCTGGGGGTGTTTTATGTGCACCTCAACACCCTCACCAAGGCTGGCCCACATGACAACATCATGACCAGTGCTTTTCAGGCCAGCCTGGAGGTTTGTTCTGACCTAAAATATACTTCTCAATACTACATATTTGCAAAAATATGTGCATCACTGAAAATGAGACTTTAGTCTCGAGACTGAAATATGTTCACTGGTGTTCTGTTGAATAGGTAGTTGCTAAAAGTAGGGGGACCATTATCCTTAATGGAAAACGGGCAGAAAGAAAAACTTTGTTATGATTCAATTTGAGGCAAAAATTCACATTTTGCAGAGTTCTTTAAGAGCACAAGTGCCTTTTTGCCCCCTTTTTGAAACAATGAGGGACATATGTTGCCTGTTGAGTCAAGTCAAACAGTGCAGTGATATACAAAAGAAGCTCCTGTACAGACATCCGTGACAACAAAATTTATTGGCAGATGCGTCTGCAGAGGGAGCTCAAAATTGTACTCTGTGGAAGGTAACATTTTCAACGTGTTAATTTTGCTGAAAGTAGTATCTTTTAACAAGTAAACATTTTTCAGTTTTTTTCCATTCACTTAGTACTTATTTTGCAGCTATGCACGTTCACACAACAATGGAACGCGAGGCTTTATTAGACAAAATGATGTTACTACAACAGAAGTGAGCCCCTAAAATGGTACTGTCCCAACCCAAATGGAGTTTCTAGTCACCCTTCCATCCATAGTCTCCATCCATAAACTTTATTGTTCTGGCCTTTTTTTTAATTATTCTTCTGTCTTGGGTTTACTATGGATGTCAATCATCAGCTTGCCTACATTTGTTTCCTTTCTGTACCGTACCAATGTGTAAAAAAAAAAAATTATTTTATGGTGAGCTATCTTGTTTTTGCAACAAGTCATACTAATATCATTCTTTTGCTGTAGACTGCACTCGTCGACAAAGTTATTCCTGATAGATTTCTCATTTTGTATGCTAGATATTTTAATGAATATCTTGAACAACAGATTGGATTTGTACTAAATTGTAAGTGTTACATGCTGGAAATATTGCAGTGCACAAATTGTCTCCTTCACTTTCTGTTCAAGCTGTTCCATAAAGGCTTTGACAGAACCATCAGTAAGGAGGTAAACAAATATTGCAAAAACCCGAAAGTTATCTTGTTGCCTTTCATCAAACCCATAGACAGTGTGTTTCATCCAAACGCGTTTGAAGGTGGGGCTGATGTAGTCTTGTTCTCACTCCTGTGAAGTAGTGGATTGTTTTTTTTCTTTTCATTGACTACTATTTTGACTCTTCATTCTCACACATTGTTATCTCCTTTGCTTATTCCTTCTTTTTCTCGTACGCGCTACTCTGCTCGGCACCACGCACTTGCTGATTTATTCCCGGGGATTTCTTTGCTCCCCTACACCTTCCTCACACCCTTGGCACTATACTTTTCTACCACATGTTTCCTCTTCGTGAAGTGCAGATGCAAAAGGAGCTCCAATTTGCCCAGACAGTTAATTGGAAAGCTGGTTTTGAAGATTTTCTAAAGGATTCAACACTTCCAATGCTAACACAGTCAAGCTGCCTACTGGTGGAAAAAGATTTGTAATACTATGTGCAGATCCTGCCACTTCCTCTTCAATGTGCACAATAGACCCTTTTCAAAATGTTGCATACGTTATGTGCGGTTGCCATTAGTTGTTCACGCACTGTGAGCACGCAGGGGACACGAGCACTTCACCAGCAATCGGAGTGTACTCAAATCAAAACGCATTCCACACGATTGCTGCATCGGCACTTAAACTCTGAGCGAATCACGGGCTTTTACGCTGGAAGTGATGAGACTAACTAATGGCGGCTGTGCATAATTTATGCATCGTTTCACAATATCGGAAAGAGTCTTTTTTTTTTTTTCATGGTGCACAGATGAACGTGCTCAGATTTCTCGAAGTGTCCCTCACCGATACGATTCCACCGTTTCCAGGGTGGTCTGGCCTCCATCACCAAGGGACAACCCCTAGCAGTGGTGCACGGTTCTCAGGTGACCCTACGCCACACTCACGGACGGGCCTGCTGGCTCCACTCTCATCCCCACGTCTACCCCATCAAGTACCCCGACGGAAGGGGCAGTTCCCATCAGCAGCAGGTACAGAACCTCCCAGATAGCAAAGCCTAAAGAAGGCCAGCACAGTGCACATGTCGGATGCGAGTGCTGTGTTGTGTTGGCATTTGGTGAAGACTCTTTTTCAATAAACCTGTTGCAATACGTACAGTGCCATGACGGCACTGTACGTATTGCCAGGGCGTCCTTATGTCGTTGGCAGCGTGCCATACATGTGGTGCCTGTGGTACCCCGGTCGACTGTTGTCTGCATTGTACCGTTGTGCAGAACTTGACAGAAGTGGTAAGAGGGGTAGAAACAGGCCGTGGTTGTGATTATTGCACTCTGTGGGCATCCATTATGAACCTTAACCAAAACGATACCTGTGGCAGCGTAAACGCATCACGACAGGTGAAGCTATTCACTTAATTGAATATCTAATGCTTCGTAACTTACCTTCATGCCTTGCAGTGTCACCGAATCCACTTATTTTGCACTGCAATTGTGGCAGGGTTCAACTACCGAGAATACCGCGCATCTGCCCATCCACAATAAGCGCCCATTCCTAAATTTGTAAGATCTGAGAAAATGTGCACAGTACATTGGTATGTAAAATTGATGCCCGGACAAGTGCCCATCCCCCACCTTTTCAGAATTATCCCTAAATTTTGAGTGGGTGCTTGCCCGGTATTTGACGGTAGGCTCGACAAAGCTTTGGTGTGGCAGACGACGGATCTGATACAAAGAAGAGGGATGAGAAAGGGGCAGCCTCGCAAGCTAGCCAACATGATGCCCTCTCCCCCATTTTCTGTGCGTGCGTTCAGCCAAAGCCCGGCTCGGCTGTTCGAGCGTTGTTGCCTTAGTAACCTGCGTCTGCTCGCATATGTCACGGGGTAGCGGGAGGAAAGACGATGGGAGGAGCATACCGAGGACTCCCATAATTCGTTGCGTGGTGCGCGCGGGCTTTTGGGATTTTTGCAAAGGGTCCATTGGTGCTAACTCGAGTCCCGCCTGTTGCTGATGCAGCAGTCATGTTCAGGCTGCCCTGCAATGACCTTTTTTAGGCAATGCCAATCATTCAGCACTATGTTTTTTTTTATCTTGGAGGTGTTACCTCACTGCCTCGAGATGGGTGAGGAGAAAGGAGGAGGTAAAAGGGAAGTGGCGCCTATGGCTCCTCTGCCATAGGTGCCTATTTGCAGTAGCTCAATCTTGTCGTGTGGGAAACATGTTCGACGCAGCTGAAATGGCCCGTGATAACAAACTGCAAAAAATTTAGAAATATTTCTAAAACCATTTGGCTCAAATTTTAAATAAAATGCAGACATATTTGAGTGGATAGCAAGGGTTTACAAAATTCAAACCTTCTAGTTTGGTGGAGTTATATTTGTCCTGATCCAGAGGTTTAGTTGGAGACACTGATTGTGTGGTTTCCAGAGTAAACACCGAAAATAATGTGCCACTATTGATGGTTCTTTTTCAGCTGCAACTGACCGCACTGACTTTGAGTTTTTGCAATTTTTTTAGAACCTAATATGAGACGAACAGAATTAAATTAATACCTTTTACTCCAACATAGAGCCATTCAGATGCATGAAGAGCCCTCCTAAATATGTTTTGTGGGCAAAGGCATGTTTACAACTTGCATATTGATGTTTGTGGTACTAGAAATTTGTATTTTTCCCTTTACTTAGGTGACTTGCTACAGCTTCAAAGATGTGAATAACTGGTGGATTGTTAAACGCCCAGACATGTGAGTGACATCTGTCCGGCATAGTTTAAGCAGGCTTTGGCCATAAATAGAATTTTAACTAGCCATCTCTTTTTCCTTTCTTTGAATACTTTATACTGCCATTTTGTTCTTTCAGAAAGGACATTGTTGTTTCTGAGCCACCAGATCAAATCAAGCACGGCGATATTGTTCAACTAATTCACGGCATGACAAGCCGTGCGCTGAACAGGTACGAGCACTTTCCGAAGGTTCTGTTCGCTATCTGTTTCAATCTATTTTTTGAGCGAGGCTCAAGGATAAGTGGCGGTAGTATATCGGCAATTTCACAGACGAAAGTGGCCAGTGAGCTTCTACTTTGTGCTAACCCTTTTGCAGTCATGACGTTGCATCACCAATGTCACCCCAGCATCAGGAAGTCTCATGCTACATCAACTATAACATATCCTACCCTTCCCAGAATTTATGGCGTGTGGTGAGGAGCATTTTTTTATTTTGGACTCTTCTGTCACGGTAATCTGGACACTGAAAGGTTTCCTTGCTAGAATTAGCTGCTGATAAGCATGTCTCCCATTCCATTTTTTTTTTCAGGACATTCTCAATAAAGACACGGAAGGGGACACATGGCACACCATTCACTCTCATGTTCGTCTTGTTCACGTTAATACAAGCCAAGCACTGAAGGTGAGGATATTTACTTCAAAATTTACTTTAAAATAATATTTACTATGTGTTTAATGTTTCAATTAAATTCTAGTGTTCTGCAATTCAAATTTTATAATAGTAGTTTTGAATAAAAGGATATTCAATATTTGCTTTGAGGTGAACTGCGATATACCCTGTTTCACGATAACTTGGCGAACTGTGGAGGCTACGGTCCCCACGACCAATAAGAGCATCGGAGCGAGGCACGTGACTTCATGTCACAGGAGGGTTTGTGTTTCTGCACCAAATGCGAGGCCCGGAGGAACTGGTGGTCGTCTGTTGCGAAACCAGCCAACTTCGGATGAACGTCCACCACCGCAACATTGCAGTCTCTAGACTCCTCTAGAGTTTGGGGAAAAGTTTGAGACAGCCATACACTTAATTTACCCACAAATCTGTGGTGGGTGCTAATGCCAGGACGACGTTTTGAGCGGAAGCAGTCGGTTACAGGGTTGATCTGAATTAAGTAAAGTTGAAAAGCATCATGTCTTTGTCTTTCTTTCGTGGCGTGTAGCGTAGTGTCGATAGAGATGCAATTGTGCGAGTTCAATTGCCGAAAAAGAAGCTTGGAACTACTTTTTGTCGTGAACGGCGCTGTTACTGTGGCGGTAATGAGGCCTCCGTATCCTCGACCTTGGGGTGTTGTTACATGCCTTCCTCCGACGTCCTCATTGGGTCGTGGGGGCTGCAGCCTCCACAATTCTCCAAGTTATTGTGAAATGGAGTATAGTATATTCATACTTTTCGAAGCATTGATTGCAGCGGGTTAGCCTCGTTGAGTGCGCTTCTCACCGAGCAGCCATGCACTGCAAGAAAGGAATTCGCAACTCTAACGCCGTATAGGTGGCGGGGCGGTAGTTCCAAGATGGCGGAAGAGACGGGGATAGATTCTCCGGGACATCCCGTGCGCCTGCTCGCTGGCGATGTTCAGCGCGCTAAAAATTATTCATTTGTCTACAAATGCGAAGCGGTTAGGGACGGATCATATGAAAGGTGACGGAAATGCTGATGCACGTTAGGAAAATGAGCATGCTGTTATTTAAAAGTTGCAGAAACCTCAAAGTGCGAAGCTTTGTGGTGGGCGAGCGTGTTTTAGGCAGTGGCCATGTTACTGTTTGTGGCAGAATATTTTTGAGGGTAATGATATGTTTGCGCTTTGCCTGACCATTAGAGCTCTAAAAAGAGAGCCGCGAACAGTGATCGTCAAGCTTCGGAAGAGCAGCGTTCACAGTATTGGTGTCTTCGCCGTCACAGCCTCACAACTCGCTGCTCACCGTCTCGGTTTTAGTGTATTGCAACACGTAATCAAACTGCTGTATGGTTATTGATAGAAAGTTTCTTTGTTTTTGTTTTTTATCACAGGCTACCCTGCGGTATAGCATTACAACCGCAAGCTCGCGCCGCGCCTTTGAAGCACAATTTTCAGTGCGCACCAGAAACGTTGCCGTGCTCGTCACCCTAAAGAAAAGGGAAAAAAAAGTTGTAGTTTTTACACTTCTTGTCACATATACGACACTCCAAAACTTCAGTTCGCCGTGCAGTCCACTGACGTCAAACTGACGGCCCCAATTTTTACGAGAGGCTTGATGACGGCGCCATATAAGATATTAAACAGCTAAAGTACGCATCAAAATGTACACAAAAAACTATCGAGGTTTTGCAGTAAAGCCAAGAAAACCCCGATTACTTTTTTTTTACAGCCATTTACACTTACTTCAGCTATTTTAATAAGTTGTACAACTCGGCTACCAAGCCGCTCGTGAAATTCGGTAGCGCCGGTTGAACATCAGTGCGCTGTACGTCCAACTGAAGTTTAGGGGTGTCGTACGCTATGCAAAAACTGCCTATTAACATAATTGGCGTGTTTAGGGGTTTTATTTATTGCTCTATTATGAATAAATATTTTAATATACCGTACATTTTTTGTACCGTGTTATTTGCAACATTGCGGTCCCTCTGACCGAAACTCGCGTTCTAAGCTCTCGTCACGAACGGCTGGCTAACACAGATGCGCTTAAAATGCTTCGAGCATTTCTTTATTTGCTTTGTAATTACCTGAAAGCAAATACGGGTATTCTGTATTTTTAAAGTTCTTGGAATAAACGGTCATGTTCTTTGTAACGGCCTTAAAACGCGAACCCATACCCGATTTGTATTGCTCAACATACCGTTGTGCGACGAGTTTTTTTTTTTTTTTCCTACTTATGGCAAAGAATAGACTTTCCGTAAACCGTACAATAGAGCTCTACATTATTAGCGGAAGCTTTTGCCGCTGTCACGTTGAGCACAGATTGAGCTGGCGGTCATGCACAAGACCAGAAATCCGCAGCGTATGCGATACACGAAAAGTCCCTACTGAAATTAGACATCCCGATCCTCGTGCAAGGCTGTTGCAAAGCGGAGCACAAGAATTCCTTTTTAACGCGCTCACTTTTTTCGTTAAAACGGCTCCACGCATCAAGGCTGACAGTCCCTGCCATCGTTTCCGCGACGCCGCCGCCACCGCTGCCGTCCCCGCTCCTCTGGTTCTCCGTTCATCCGCTGGAGGGCGAGCGGCGCACTGGAGTTGCGAATACCTGCGGAGCTCACGGGCTCCACGGGTGTTGCTTCCCCGCAGTGCACGGCTGCTCCGTGAGAAGCGCACTCAACGGGGCTAACCCGCACCAGTTACGCTACGGTAGTTATGTTAGGCAGCAACGTCTTGACAGGCCGTGTTCATAATTCATGCTTTATTTTTGGTCAAATTTGAAATAAAAGAAAATATTTGCATACGGCAACGAGATTTATAAGTCCCCTCCATTAGGGTAGCTGCGAAAAATGTGTCATTTACGTGCCACAGTTCATATACAGTGTAGACCGCATATAACGTATGTCGCGGGAGTCGCGAAAATCCGCACTATAAGCGGTACCGCGCTATAACCAAAACATCAATTTTTTAGGCCAAAATACATGCCATGAGAAAACTTACCTTTGTAAAACAATTTATATTATGTTAGATGAAAAATAAAGCTTAAAGGAAAGTCTTTATTTCACCAGACTAGTACACTTCTCTCTCAAGTGTGTCACACATTTTGAAAGAAATGAGCGGCTTTTGCCTGGCGCGGCCTTTTAACGGCGTCGCGGGTTGCGGACGTACATTGCGAGAGTTCAGGATTGCTAACCCTAATCACTTTTCTCCGGTGATGAAAACGCGTGAAAATTCGCATCCTTCATACGGTACGCGCCAGTAATACCTTCAACTTGAGCACACGCATCAAATGCGCCAAATAAGAAATCCGGGCGATGTTCGAGGACAGAAATACTTAGAAAGCAGCACTGTAGTCGAAGTAAACAAGCACGACGACACGGGCGTTTCTGCCGTCTTGAGAGCCCCGCCATGACATCGCCGCACGAGTAGGTGGATCTTCCCTTCTAGTATGTGCTGGGTTGTCATAGCGACACACAACGAAAATTCACAGTCAAGGATAGCGCTTTTACGCAGAAGGAGGAGCTTCCACCACGCCGTCTACGACGACGATCAACCGACGCCATGTTTGCAGATAGAAGCAGCCGGCCCGCGACCGGTATGCGACGCGCGCGGACACTTCGGTTTGACCTGCGATTGGTGTGTCGTTGCGGTTGTTTTCTAACGCAGCGGAGGGACGCACGCATGTGAACGACATGTGCGTTTGTCCCTCCGTCGCTATGGCAACTGAAGGCTCTCTCTTCTCTTTTCACCGCTTCTTCAAGCAACCTCCTTGCCCCGCGAGTGCCGCTTGCGGCTAGTGCCGTCAGCGCCGTTATCTAGTGTCGCACAGGGAAGCATGCTCGCTGCTCCGGTCGTCGGCGCGGTCGGCGGACTGTTCCAGAAACCGCACAATAACCGGTATTTCCCTTCGCGCGCCTGCATTTTAAGCGGTATGTAATTACATGGAGTTCTATGGGAGGCGAACCGGTGGTTTAAAAAAACCGCGTTATACTCGGTCCTGCACTATAAGCGGTTACGTTGTAAGTGGTCTATACTGTATATACTTATACTATTAAAATTAAGTGAGCTTAGAAGTGGAGAAGTGGAAGGTTGGAAACAATCTCCACAAGTTCAGCTGAATTTTCGTTATAACATTGTGTACGGTAGTAAAAAGCTTGTAGAAATTATTTTATTGTCAATTAGAAAATATTCAGGCACAACCGCTATTCGATTTGAATTTGCTTCAAACTCAGAATACACTATTCGCACATGCTTAATCAATTCCTATTGTTTGCTCCCGCATTCTGAAGTTCCAAACTTCTTGAAGTGCTTATTCCTTTTTGTTTACAGTTCAGCGGCAAACAGTTGCCTGACTGGGGTTTCCACCAGCACGAGGTGGTCACCGATCGGTTTCTGGTTCAGGACGACACAGTCTGGAATGTGGAGGAGCATCGGTATACAAAAAGTATGATTTTGTTTATTATTTTATTAGCTACTATTACCACGGATTCTGCATACCAACATCACATGTGTCATCGCTTCTGTGTGATTTAAAATGAGAACCACAGGTTAGGAGCCACGCTGCACTGGCAGAACAGCCCTTCTAGTGCGGGGACACAATTTTCCATTTCGGGACGGCCAATGTTATTGTATAAACGATCATACATTCAACATTGACCATTGAAAATGTAGAGTTAATGTAGTATGACTTTGTGTACATCTCATCTGCAAAATGACATGTATCTTTTGAATCGGGGGTCACTGAATTTTTGCTGCTAGTATACACCATTTAGTAGGGTGAGAGGGGAGAGGGAAATGAACCTCCATGTTTGGGTGGTTCCTGTGATACAGCTTACTGAAACTGCACAAACGATAAGAATGATGTGCACTTTTTCTCTTCCCTTCCTTTGAATCAATTGAAATGCCCCAGGAGGATGGCTGGTTGGTTGTCTGCTATCGGGATTGGGTGCCTGCCCTTTCCCTCTTTCATTCTGACAATTCTGTTGAAATGCCCGTATGTAGATGGCGCCGCAGTCAGGTAAAATGGCACGGTCCAGAGAGCCTTTAGTGGATTAATCTGTAGGATAGTCAGCATAATTCTTATACTTTTTACTTTGTGATTTGATAAAGTAGAATAAGGGGGCAATAAAGTAGATTCTGAGTTTGTTTTTTTATGGTGGAAACTCGCTCCTTATGAAGCATGCTAAGCAATCCAAAATTACAATCGTGCATTACTTTTTTTTTTATATTAGAATGCATTCAAACACAGTGACATGCCCCTTTTTCTAATGTACCCCAGGAGAGGAGTGCCAGAATGTTTGGTTTCATTTTGATAGAAAAATAAAAGACCACACAATTGCAGTTTTGTCTTTTCTATGGTGCTTAGTACACTTTGATTGAGTAAGCACACTGAAAATTTGTTTTGGTGTTCCTTTAAGTATGTAAAGTGGTACAGCTACCATCCATACCTTCAAATTAGGTAGCCGGAAGTGCAAAGCGAATATATTGTCACCAACCCATCATCTTCATACAGATTCAGATGAAAAAGAGCGTGAACGGGATATGGTGTCTGCTGAATTTGTCCCTCTCCAGCCAACTCACCTTTCATTTCTTCAAAAGATGTGGGAACTACAGGTAAAGTCCTTGCTACCATTACTGTAACCCTTGATTATAACTAGGGTTCGGAGTTTTCGGTTTAAACCGATAAAAACCGTTAAAAGTACGCCGAATCCATTTTAGAAAATTCGGTTTTAACCGAAAAAGGTCAGTTTTGAGGTTCGGCATTTTCGGTTTAAACCGATGAAAACCGATAAAAGTACGTCGAATTCATTTTTTAAAATTCAGTTTTAACGGGAAAAGGTCACTTTGACCTTCCAGTCGTACCGCAGAGCCGTGGCAAAAAAAGTGGACCGACAGTGTCTATCGAAACGTGTCCGAATGTATGGGATACACGGATGCCATCACAACGTTTTGGTTTAATGAGCGCATCATCGATCGGAATCTGAAGTCCGAAATGCGTAATGACTTCGCCATGTACGAGCGTGTTTTCGAACTCGTTGTAAGGAAGACTGGCTTCGTGGAAGCTCTGCATATTGTGTTGCACTTTAAAACGTCGCAGCGTGTCTCTTTTGGCGGTCACAATTGGTTGACTGGCCGATTATGGCTCACCCAGTGCTTCATCTATCAGCCTGCCAGTGTCCAGTGTTAGCGTTGAGCGGGCATTCTCAAAGCTCAGGGTCATATTAACAGAAAACAAGAGTCCGGATCAACGAGGAGAACCTGGAAAAGCTAATAAAGTACACGTGTGTGCACTATAATAAGATCACATAATCTTGATGCACAGAAGGTGAAGTTCCATTCTTTTTTGGCATGGGCTTTGTATCTGACTTGTTTGTACTTCTAAGTCTTTTTTTGTTTTTTTCTTGTTTCTTTTACAGTTGCACACATTTGCCAAAAAAAGTGCCCATTTATTTTTCAGTGTATCGGTGCCGTTATTCTTAGAGTGATCAGAAATATCAGAGCTAGAAGGATCATCTGATCCAGTGTCGGTTGGTGTTTATTTTATATTCACCGAAAAAAGCCGATAAACTTTTGTGGGCGTAAATACACGCCGAAAAAAACCGAAAATTCATTTTTAAAATAAACACCGAAAAAAGTACGCCGAATTTTGAAAAAAATAGAAACCGAAAACGCGGAACCCTAATTAAAACAATATTTCTTCTTTTTCTTGAATTATTCCTTTCTTTAATATTGTATACCTCCCATCCTACCCATATTTTGGATGGGAATGTTTCTAATGGTTATGACAGCCAACTCTGCTTAGTTCAGAAGGCAAACCAGCAAAGCCCTGCAAGCTTACAAAGATGCAGCCCCAGCACTAACCCCTCAGCTAAATAATTTTTTAAGCAAAAAAAAAAAAAAAAAAAAATCTCCGCAGAGACGCTTAGTGCCATGATTTGTTTGTCAAGGAGCATCTTTGTATTTTAAAGCTGCTAATGCATTCCGAAACATATCCACAGATTTGTGTAGGTATACTCTGCTTTGAAGTGCAAATATTACAGTCTGCCTTACTGTTTTCGAATTATCACTTACAGAAGACTCATTATTTCAAACTCCAGGAAGCCACAGATTTTGTTTGAATTATCACAAATTCATCTAATTATGATGCAAGATAAAATTATGGGTCGCTCAATTGATGGCTAGAGATACAAAGCAGATATTTAAGGTTTTTCTCTGCACAAGCCTACTAATTAAAAGCAGGTATGTCAAAGATGAAACATTGGTGAAATGTACGAGATACCGTAAGTTTATCCATTTCTCAAAAATGTTGTTTATCGTGGACTGTTTAGACAACAGATGACACCTCAAAACAAAATTAAGTTTGTTCATCTAGCGAAATTGTTGCCTGTTGTGGACCAGGGATGGGCAGTATTTGAAATATGTATTTCAAATACTTTGTGTAATTTGCATTTGTATTTAATTACAAATTGGGTAATGTATTTGACGTGTGTATTTAAATACTAAAACGTGAGTATTTCAAATACAATTGTAATTAAATACAATTTTGTGGGCGAAAATACATCCCTCAAATTTATTGTCACAGTCCAGAGCAGGAAGAAAACTACGTTCTGCACCGAATGCAGTCTCAATCAAGCACAAGCGTTTAGTGACTTTGTGATTACGGTGCTAGTCCAGGGCAAGAATAGTGACAAAATCGACGGTCACAGGCAGACTGCCTAAATAAGTGCCTGTGACAACTTGTGATGCTTTATAGCCTGATTTCCATCCCTATTTTTGCCTGGAACATTCTAAATGTGCAGGTCGTCCAGATTTTCGTAGCTGGTGCGAGTTGCAACAATAAAAAATGCTCTTTCTAGTGCTGCGCGTCTTGGTAGTCTCGGTTCTTTGTTGGTCTATGCCAAAATGTAATTGAAAAAAAAAAAAGCTGCTTGAAGCTCTGTACTTTTTTCACCTATTACGTCCAAGCTGATTACATTTTTTTGTGATTATATTTCTATTACATTACTAGAGCCTCGCAAACTAACTCCCGAATGTGTGATGCAAAATTAAAATGAGACACCCAGAAACCCGTTGCAGACCGTGAAGTCGCTGACGCAAATTTTGAGGAATGTATTTGGAAAAGTATTTGGAGGATACCAAATACATTTGGTTGTATTTGTATCTTGTACTTAAATGCTTTTTTGGAAATGTAATTAGATTTGTAATTAAATACATTTTTGACAAAGTATTTTGTATTTGTATTTCGATACATATTTGCATGTATTTTGCCCATCCCTGTTGTGGACTATTAGCCCCGTTGAGCACGCTTCTTATCGAGCACCTGTGCACTACAGAGAAGCAGCACCCGTGGAAGCGAGCTCCACGTGTGTTGCTCTTCGCAGTGCATTGGTGCTTGGAAAGAAGTGTGCTCAACGAGGCCGCTGGAACAAAAAGTACGAACTACGCGAACACGCTGTTCGTATAAAGGGATTCATAAATACATTAAAATGTGGCTGGACAATAAAAATTTTCAAGTTTGTTTGAATTAACTAACTTACCAGTAGTATGATATGTGAGAGTTTGAATTATTGTGAGACTACTGTACATCAAAAGTTGTTTTGTCATTCGGTTCACTTTTTTTACAATGGGGGCGTGTGATGTAAAGCTCTGTTTGCATATGCAGCCCAGTGCTAGGTTGGTGCTGAGAATATTAGCTGATCTTAGCACTGATGCAGCCCTGAATTCGCGCTATATCAGTGTTTGACAGCAGCACAGCGTCGCATCAGTGCTAATAGGCCATATGCGAAATGTAGAGTGCCATCTTGTTAGTGGCGAGAAAACGAAACCAGAGACCCGACCGGCAAAGACCCCATGTAAACAAGCGACCGCGCTTCGTGCGAGAGATGCGATGCCAATGATTGCTGCGTTCTGCTGCGGATGCAGTGATAAACCTTCGATTCATGCATGACGTGAACGCAAACATGAACAGGGTTCACCTTTTTTGCACATTTTTATTTGTCACTTGAGAGGCAGCTTTTGACAAAAACAATCGGTGACAACGCGAAGAAACATGCGGACGTTATCGCGCGGTGTTGAGCCATTTACAGCTATTGAACTGGACCCTAATCTTTTCACGAAGTTGTACCAAATTTGTTTATTACCTTCTTTTTTTAATTTTATGTGCGTTGTAGTTTCGGCCTGGCCTTTTTCTTGATGCGCAAGCAGCTCAGTGCATGCGGACAAGACCAAGAATGTTAAGCGAGGCAAAAAGATGGCAGTTTTATAATCTACACCCCTAACCATAATTGAAGATGTGTATGGTTAACAGTGGTATGGTTAGGTCACGGTGTGGGTTAGGTTCATCGCAGTGGCTGAAGCTTCGATGTCGGCCGCGGCAAAGATTTACGTTGCGGACGTCGAATGAAGCAACACGCGAGGTGCAAACTCCATTTTATAACCTCCTTTTCTTTTTCTTTTTTTTTTTTTTTTTTCTTGCAGCCGTGGTAGAAATTTTGTTTTGTGCAAAAAAGCTTGGGGGTAGTTTTCAGAAAGTCACTGCAGTTATTTTGCCAGGATTGAACACATCTTCATTAATAGTGCAACATCCGTCAACTGTGCTTTAGGTCAATGCTATGTGAAACCAATTTTAGCTCTTTGCAGCGCTTAAAAAATATTGCGCTGGGCACAGTTTCTTCTAGAAGAACACAGAGTGTTCCACCAAAAAACCCTCTGCCAGGAAGAACTAAAAAAAACTCATTTTGAGTTATGTATTTGCGTGGAGCAGTATGCCGATAAACAGTACAACTTCAAGCGTACTCGCACCGAAAAAAGAATTAAACGTGTTCTCAAAGATGAAACGCATGACGTCCTATTCCTTTCGGAGGCCTGTGCACACGCTGGCGACAACAAGGTTCCATAGCGAAGGCGTAGACTTGGTCCGCTGCTTCGACGAGGTTGTCGACAGCGTGCACAGGCCTGTGAGAGTTCCGTCAGGCAGTTGAAGTAGGTTGTTTAAACTGTTCGTCCACATAACACGGTCAGAAGGCGGAAAACAGTTGCTGCGCCATCGCACATTGCCCGTACGACTGTCTCCAATGCCTCCACCGGGCTTCGGTACCAACAACGCTTGCCAACATTAAAGTGGCGACACTCTCAGTGTTTTCAGACCACAAAGCAATTTCGCATAAGGTCTATTATGCTCAAGACAATGCTGCCATGTTTAGGACAGTGCTCAATCAGTGTACAGTATTGATTCTACAACTAGATGGCACTGTGTTGTATGTGCGAACCAGTCCTAAAGAATACTTTTTGGTTTTATGGACATTTTTGTCAGGTGTCGTTTTCCATTGTAAACGACCTTCCGTTGTTTACATTTTGGCGCAGTGCAGTAGTATTAAAGAGGGCCGATTTCTTTTGCAGTACAAGATGCTCTTGGTGAATCAGGAAAATGTGCAAGATCACGTGTACAGCTCAGACCCCATGGAGTGGCCTCTGATGACCCGAGGCATTGCATACTGGGTCAGCCCAACTACCAATGTGGGTTAACATTGCAGCATTTGATTTCTGCACAACTATACTCCATCTCACCATAACTTGGCAAACGGCAAAGGTTATGGTCCCAGTGAGCCAATCGGAGTGTGGGAGGTAGACATATGACTACGCTGTATTTCACGAGTTGCGCACAGTACCGACAAAGCCACAGGCGGGAGAAAGAAGGAAGCCTTTCTCGTACGAATGTCGAGTGACAGGCTAATCATTTAGGGGAGAAAAGCAACATCTTAGTTATACACAAAAAAAAAGCACGCGCGCGCGCATTTTAGCACACTCGAATCTTGGAAATGGCGGCGGGGCGGCCAGAAGCTCGACTTGCGCCCGAGCGAAGAAAGTACTTAGCGCGAGCTCGTAGTTTGACTGCTGCAACGGCGGGCGTGCTCTCGCAATGCTTGATGTTCTTGCAGCCGCGTGCACGCATGCTACCTTCGCTGCGTCTTGAATTAAAGCGAAGTGGAGTCTAGACGTACATTCTTTCACGCGGTCGCGTCTTCTGCGAGAGAGATTCGAGCTGAATAAGTAAATTGAGGCAACAAAGATGGACAAAGTTTTAAAGTTCTGTCAAAAATATCGGCTCACCAACGTCGCGCGTTTACGTAAAACAACAACAAAAAGTGAAAGCCGTTTACAACTTCCTGTAACGCCGAATTGGAGCGCAGCTCTTGAGGAGGAGGAGTGGAGGGTATATTCCTCCTCCTCCCTCGTGATCATGCCTGCTAGTCCTCCTCCCCTCCTGGAGGAGGAGGGGAGGAGGAGAAGGGGGAGGAGGAGGAGGGGAGGAGGAGGGGGAGAAGGAGGGAGGAGGAGAGGGAGGGGCGCGGTTACGCCGACGCCGACGCCGACGGCGACGCCGACGCCAACGGCGACGCCGCTCAGGCTGGAAACGGGCCCCTAAGAGCTGCGCTCTAAAAAGGTCTGGATAAGAGGGGAGCTCCTCCTTCCCCTCTGCCCCGATTGCTTCGGTTGCGCTCTTGCCCCTGTACCTTTGGTAAGGGCTGTCACGCGCTTTGCCTTTGTCGCGCCTTATCGGATCAAGGGTTCATATTGTTTTTACTCTTTGCCAAGTTGCGGTGAAACGAAGTGTAGTAACCGTGAGGCAAAAGTGACTTGTGCTCTTTGTTTGTTTTTTTCTGCCAGGCTCAGATTCACCTGATTGGAAACTTGGCCATCTGGTACACGGGCACAGTCTGCCTGCTTCTCTATATGGCAATCTTCAGCTTCTACTTGCTGAGACGTCACAGGCTCGTCTACGACATTCCCGACGGTACCGATTCTGACGCTTTCTAGCAGATGAATTGGAGAACGGGGGGGAGGGGGGGGAGGGGGGGGGTGGGGGGAGGGGGGGGGTGGGGGGAGCAGAGGAGGGGAGGGAGGGAGGGAGGGAGGGAGGGAGGGAGGGAGGGAGGGAGGGAGGGAGGGAGGGAGGGAGGGACTGAGGGGAGGGAGGTGATGGGAATGTGATGTGTACTGGATTTGTTAAGGTATAAGTTGCAGCTTTTTTTTTACAAATTTCCGTCAGTGTGTTGCGAATTGGTGTGCATTTGTAGAAATAGGTATGGACCTTAACTGCGCAAGAGCCAAGCCATATCAACATTAAAGGGATACTGAACCAAAATTTGGATTTCGCAAAGTAAGGCCGCAGAAGTGTTGAACGGGACGCTACAAATTCCAAAACATCGCTCGTACATCGATATCTCAAACGGATGGTCATACTTTTAGAAAAGAAGGGCGTGATCAAGCGAGTTCTGTGACGTAACTGTCCTTTAGGAGAATTTGAGAATGAGGAGAAACGGCCTCGCTTCTCTCCTGCTTGCTTCGGTTCACCAGCTTGACGGGACGTAGCGTGGAGGAAAGAGAATGGGAATCGTGACGTACCTTGTCTTGTCTGCCTCGTCGGCCGAATTCAATCGCACACTTATTTTCCAAAAAATATGGCGATCCGTTAGATATATCGCCGTGTGAGTGATATTTTTTTGGTTTTGCAGCTTCCCGCCTATCTGCCCGGCCTTGTTTAGTGAGCTCGAAATTTTGGTTTGGTATCCCTTTAAAGGAGCTGTGCAACAGTTTGAGTGCTTTGCTTTAATAATTTGGGAGTTAGTGTCTCGAACTTTTTGAAGTAAGGAACAAAAAACCGCTTTTACCTGTATGTCCTAGTTTTTATTTTAAAAATGGACAAAGATTGAGGTTTTTGGCCCTTCTCAACTCTTTTACCATCTTCCGGGTCACATGCACTGTGCCGTAAATGGCGTTTGCGCGGGGTTCCGGTGAAACTCTCTCTTTAGAGCCATCAATGAGCAGCAAGAACTCATCCGCTCGCGACCGCGTCACCACATGCTGGCGGGCGCAGCGCGAACAATATGGTGAAAGGAGGAAAGTCTCATCCGGGTCCGGCCATACCTGTTCAGCTCTGTCCCCTTCCCCTCCGGCTTCTGGCTGCTGTTCGCATTAGCAGTTAGAGATGACGGTTTTGTAGACCTAGGATAGATGGCACCACTAAAACTCTGTGTAATAAAAGTTTTGTCAATGATACCAGGTTTTTGACGTATTTATATTTATGTTGGAACGACAAGATTTATAGAGAAGTTACCTTTTATCGAGCAGGTATTGGCACAACTTGTTATCTTTCTACAAGACCCCCATTGACGTCACGCCGCATGTTTGTTTATGGCCGCCGCTCGCGGCTGCAGGTCGGGGAATATTTTAATTTTTGCCTCTCGATTATGCGGTGGAATCGCAACATTCTGAAAGGAGGAGGTGTGTTTTCTGTCCTTTGTGACAAGGTGAACAATGTCAAAAGTAGAAGATGCCAATTCTTTCAACGTTAAAATCGTTGCACAGCTCCTTTAACAACAAAGGAGGAACGGCGGAGCACCCGCCGACGGCCCGCTTTTTGGTGGTTTGAAGATAGTCAATGGTAGCATTGATCCATGGCTGCAGCACTGCTCCGACCATACAAAGAAGTGAGATTTGTGCAAAGGTGCTTCTATATAAACCGGAATATAGGTCGGCCCCCTAATTTACAAGTTGCAAAAAGTGGAAAAAGGTTTTTTTTTGCAAGAAAATGCAACCTTACCTTGGTAACAAATTTGGCCAAGTACAAGGAAGGACGAGAAAACATGATATATTTATTTAATTGCTTCGCATGCAATAAAACAGAAAATGCACTAGCGTTACTACTCAGATTTTCAGGACCTTCGTCCGGCGACGAGTTCACTAACCCAATTAAAAGGGATGATGATGTCCCTTTGAATTGCGCCCTCGAGAGCCGGGAGGCATTAGCGACCTCGACAGCTTTCGTACGGATTCACTCTAATGTCACAGGTAGCAATGTGGCGTGCAGATTCCGAATGAAATTTGCTACCTTTGTTTCCAATTCGGGGTACACTGCAGTCTTTCCACAAAATGAAGTTTTCTTTTCCTTGCTGCATGCTGCCAGTTTTTGTCTCTGGCCTCGCCAGTAGCGTATGCTCTTCTTTGATACATTGAGCCCTCGTTGTGCTGCAAGATTCCAGTGGATCTCTGGATAGGTGATTGCCTTCTTCTTGAAGGCTACCGTGAACTGTCTTCTACTTCCGCTCATTATCACTCCGGGAGCGGCAACGGTAGATGTGACAAAATAAGGAGCACAAGTGAAAGTCAATTGTTACCGTCGTGACAAGTAAAAGAATGCTAGGTGGTTGCAAAAAAAAAAAAAACAAAAAAAAAAAACAAGATGGCGGCTTCAGCCACCCACTGTTGCGAGATTATTTTTGTTTTTCCGCTAATGACCGTTATATAAGACGAGGGCCGACTTTTTCAGGTCTATTTTCAAAAACAAATTCAACCTGTATTCCGGTTTATACGGTACTTCTATACCAACTTTTTCGTGAAAAGGACCATTCATAGAACAATAAAAGTATATTTTGCAATGCTGCAGCCCGGAAGATACGGTACTGGGGTTAAACGTGATGGGTTGTCTCACTGATCTCAATGACAATTGCTGGATCGCGCTTGCCGCTCCCGCAAGTGAAGCCACCGGGCCTCACTCGCTTGGGATACGATTTGCCGTTTTTGCTAGCCTTTGCTGCGGTTTTCCAGCGTGCTGACGACACGTTTTCTAGTCGTTCGTCGTCATTCGCCGAAGAAGTTTTTTGAAGACTCTGTGTATTGTTGAGACTTGCCGTTGTGAACACGTGGAAAAGTTTACGAAAGTGCAGTGTCGCAGGAAAAAGGCACAACGCGTCGAAAGGAAGGGCTGGCGGCGTGTTCAAAGCATCCTTGGCACGCCGAAGTGCCGTGTCTCTGTGCCTTCGCGCGCTTGGATACCGACCAAGAACCGACGCCGTGTGAATGTGTTTAGCGAGTGCAATGTGCGTGAAGCCGTATCAAAAGGTACAACTCGTCGAAAACGTGTCGCTGGGGTCGCGGCGTGATCAAAGCTTCCTTGGCACGCCCAGTGATGCATCTTTGCGCCTTCGCACGCTTGGATACCGGTTAAGAATTGACGCCGCGCCAAAGTTCTGAACGTGTGTCGCGCGTAGATGCCTTTAGATCATTTATATATATCGGCCACGGAGTTCTGGATCGTCCAGCTGTTCCGGTGAGTTGCTATCAATAAAAGGGGGAGATCTGTACGTGTTCTTATGTACTATATTAACCATGGCTGTGCCCCAAATCTACTCTAATAGATTCCGTGGGAGCACGAATAGGGCAACGTTGTGGAGCCAGGGGGGTTTTCGAAAGCAAAAGTACAAGACGGCGAGAATGAAAATCTTTGAAGCGCGGCCGATATGGTCGTGTGCAATCTGTTGACCAATTACAATTAGGCGAGCCGCGCTCAAACGTCAAGTGCAATTAAGTAGGTTGATAATAAGCCAGCACTGATCAGTGATGAGGAGCTGTTGTGCACGGTATTGTGTAAATCGTCTAAGGACGAAAAAAAGACGTACCTTCTCCCCATCTTCCGTCGCTAGTGGACGCTGGATTAAGCTCGTTCCTAAACCGCGAGGGGAAAAGACGCTGATCCTGAGGCACGAACAGCTTCACGCACATTGCACTCGCTGAACACATACACACGGCGTCGGTTCTTGGTCGGTATCCAAGCGCGCGAAGGCACAGAGACACGGCACTTCGGCGTGCCAAGGATGCTTTGAACACGCCGCCAGCCCTTCCTTTCGACGCGTTGTGCCTTTTTCCTGCGACACTGCACTTTCGTAAACTTTTCCACGTGTTCACAACGGCAAGTCTCAACAATACACAGAGTCTTCAAAAAACTTCCTCGGCGAATGACGACGAGCGAGTAGAAAACGTGTCGTCAGCACGCTGGAAAACCGCAGCAAAGGCTAGCAAAAACGGCAAATCGTATCCCAAGCGAGTGAAGCCCGGTGGCTTCACTTGCGCTGCAGCGAACAAGCGGGGAAGCGCGATCCAGCAATTGTCATAGAGATCAGTGGGTTGTCTAGTATATACTAGCCGACTACTATCATCCCAGTGCTCTGCCATAATGCTAGCAGTGCATTGGGAAGCACTTAGCAGCTTCCATCATTCTATTTTTTTTTTTTTTTGCGGAGATTTGTTGACTGCAACATTTAACTGTGCTTCTAGCAGCATTATTCTGAGCACTATGGTATTAGTATTTGAAAAATATTTTTAGTATTACTAGGCCACTTGGAATATAGGGGTAGAAGGAGAGATAACGAAAACAAATTCTACCTAATCTTCTTTGTGGTTGCTTCTCACTTTATGGATGCCACCGGAATTTAGAGAGGCTTGTGCATTTTTGCGTGTTGCTTTGTGGATAGAAGGATGATGGATGGATGGATGAAGAAATGGGGCTGAGTCCTTTTAATTGGGCAGCAGCTTGTACCAGTTGGTCAAACCTTTTATATCACCGATTACCAGCACCACCGCCTGGCCAGGAGAGCAAGTGGGGGTCGGAGGTTACTAAGTTCTTTTCTGGACCGATCACACGTGGAGTGGAGAAGTGAGTAATCCATCCTGTGGGCACAAAGAAAGATAAATAGAGACCCTCGTGGTATCACAGAGCACCATAGGAATCTTTTTAGAAGGAGATTGAACATTGAGGATGGTTGGTGTTTGCTGTACTACAACTTCCACCCCCAGTGTGAGATTTTGTATTACCGTCAAGACCGGTTATAACGAAGTCAATGGGAATCCGAAAACACTGCGCTATATCGGCTATTTCGTTATAACCGACTTCGTTATAACCGGTCTCGACAGTAATGTGAAAACATTAACTGTCCCATAGAGCAAAGCTGGCGATGTCTGTGACCGTCTGTAACAGCAAAACGGCACCTAAATTCCCATTCCCAATAAAACACAAAGAAAAGCACAGCAATGCAATGCTTTGTCACGGAAGCCGTCGTGAAGCCGGCAAGGTTCGCTGCGCCTGTGCAGTGGGGGAGCGTGATGTCACTGCCGGAGCTCCTTGTGCAAAGGGAGGACGTGGTGCGCCTCTTGTAGGAATGCGCTGCATGTAGGAATGCTTTCACATTCCTACACGTAAGCAGTCTTAAGTGTGTCTGCCTATTTTTTTTATTTCTTTTTGTGTGGCGATGCCAAGCAATGTGTGTGTTATATCTTGTACCTTTCGTTGCTCATTCCAGATGCCTTTGAGAAGTTTAAGTTTGGAGGAGAACTGTGCGTCGTGGGATATGCGATGCACGTGGTGCCTTACTTTTTTGCGGACCGGACTTTGTTCCTTCATCATTACCTGCCCGCCCTCCTCTACAAGGTTCTTGTCCTGGTGGTGGTGTTGGAACACATTGACTTCGTCCTCTGGTGAGTCAAACACTGCGTTTGGAAACTTGTCCACTGCCTAGAGCGTCACGACTGTCCAGTAGCAGGTTTCAGTAGCAGGATTGTCCATGTTGCTGCAGGCTTCATGGCGTGTGTGCCTATAGTCATTTAACTTCCTTGAAACATCAGTGATTAGTTTCTAATCCCTGAGGAGGAGTAAAATGATGGAATCTGTTTTCTACTTATATTCACGTAATTGAGATCTAGTCATATGTGCTTTCTAAAAAAAACAGGGGAGTAATGGAATCTCAGGCCCGATCTTGGCAACTTGCGGCAAATTCTGAAAAGAACCCAACTTATCCACTTCATTTGTGATACTTTCTGAAGTGATGAAAACAAACCTTTCATAAAATCTGAGCAATATGTATTTTGGAAACTGACTTGAACTTAGCATGCACTAATAAATGGAGCTCCTTGATTTTAGTACCTTTAGGATGGAAAATATGTAGAAGCTTCATTTTGCGCCAGACATGCTTTGAATATAGCAGATTTTAACTAAATGATGAGGTGAAATAATTTTTAAAATAAAGGAAGCATGTTGTGAAGTTTGTGTAGCTTATATGTTGGACAGTTCAGGTTACTAGATGAACCATACCGTCAGCATTGGTTCTCTTGAAGATGTAAACTTCTCTGTGCATCTGACTGAAGCACAAAGCAGGGGGAAGTGCATTTCTTGACATATCTGTGATATCTATGCGGTTATAGAGTGATTTGCAGTGTTCCTTTAAGCAGAGAGGGGAAGGTGGAGCCCCCTCATTCATGTTTCCCCTTCTCTTCAGCAGTACCACTTGGTTGCAGTGCTGTGGAAGCTTTACTTGTTTTTTTTTAGCATTGCAAAATATACTATTGTTTTGAAGATTGGCACCTTCTTTCAACTGTGCTTAGAGATGCCAAGTGTTGGCAGGTAACTTTTATACATGGCTTGCACATGATATCATTAAAATAGTGCTCCAATGGCCACCGGAGAGGAGGTGAAGGAGTTTGCCTCTTACCAGGACCCTCTTTTGTGTCTCTCAGATTTGCCCAGACGTCGCTATTCTCCCCCCAGAAGATTATAGAACATTAACCTATCACTCAAAATTCCTACAAAAGCAGCTTCCCTCTCTTTCTTTCATGGTGATCAAAAGAATGCGATGTGACGTCAGTGCAAGCCATGTATTGATGCAGACCCATGTGGGTGTTAACAAAGCTGAAAAGGGTAATACTACCTAAAATTGCTTCGTAGCTTTGCCAAGCCGTCAATTTTCTAGATCTAAGCATGTCGTGTAATTTTTCATTAATGATTGGGGATTGGTTGTATAGCCTTAAAGTTGAAGTTAATTTTAGACATTTTCTTACCCAAAACTTGTCAAATCTTTGTCTCACCGGTATAAATGTACAGGTACAACAAATGTACAACAAATGTCATGTGAGGGGTGCAGAAGCTGACTTTGGGAAGAACGCAGCTGTTGCACATGCTCAAAGAACAAAGAGCAGGTTGGTGAAAATACAAGAATCAAAGAAAGAATAAAAACACTTAGGAACAAGGACAGACAGTACAGTTCTTTCAACTAGCAACCAACATTTACTGATGTCTCCTTCAACACTTGCTATCACCCTCCCAACTTTTTAAACTAAAAAGGAAGATATAAGAAAAAATATATATAAACCAAGCATAGCTTCTGTTGGATAGCCAAGGTTTGAAGACGACGAAGCGCATAGAGAGCAGGAGCTCTGGATCTCGTGCTGGACTTCGGGCTGACTCAAGACTCATCAGTTCATCTCATTCTATGTACATAGCTGAGTAAACCCACCTACTACAAAACATGGTGTCAGAAGTTTGGGACTCGTCAGCTATCTTCGACGCCAGAATTGAGCGGCCCAGTTCTCGAAGAACCACCAGGTCTTCCTGACTACATCGTTCAGAACCAGGCCTGCTCATGACGCAATCTGGACAAGCCACCTCCTCGGTGCAAGTCACCCCCTCGATGCCATATCAGCTCAGCGCTCCTGAACCTTTCAATTTTCGTCCGGAACAATGAATGACATGGAAGCGCCGCTGGGAGCATTTTCATTCGGCATCTGGATTGCACGTCAAGCCTGAGGCTGACCAGATAAATTTTCTCATTTACCTGATGGGACCTAAAGTGGAGGAAATTTATGCGACGCTCAACATTCCTACCTCTGAAGCTGAGGACTACTTATCCGTCATCCAAGCTTTCGAGACACATTTCATTGTCAAAAAGAACTTTGTCTACGAGCGAGCTATGTTCAATTCTCGTATCCAAAAAGATGGTGAACCAGTCGCGGACTTTATCACGGCGCTGCACAGACTGAGCAAGAAGTGTGAGTACGGCCAAATCAACGATGAGCTTATTCGCGATGGTATTTTCGTTGGTGTTCGCGATAAACGACTATCCATGAAGCTGCAACTAGAGAGTGAATTGACACTAGAGTAAGCAGTTCTTCTCGCCTATGAGGTCCAAGCCACTGCTCGGCTTGGACCACATAGAAGCCCTAAACATCATCCAACGAGTAAATCAGCTGTCGACTTCAGAAGCTTTCGATTCAATCAAAGAGTACTCCTTGCTTTTTGAGGGTCTAGGGGAAGCTGCATACGTGTGTGAAATAAAGCTAAAACCTGATGCTTAGCTAAAACCTGATGCTTATCTAGTTGCCTTATCGTCACCGAGACGCATACCAGTTCCCCTCCAGAAAGCAGTTGAACAACAGCTCAGAAAGATGGAGACCGAAGGTGTTAATTCCAGAGTTCGGGAACCAACAAGCTGGTGCTCAACCGGCTGTTGTAGTTCCAAAGAAGAATGGTGATGTTCGCATCTGCGTTGATTACACATCACTTAATAAAAGTGTTCTGAGCGAGTACCACCCTATACCGAGTGTGGAACCTCTTTTAGCGACTCTTGGGCAGGCGAGAATATTTTCTTATCTCAATGCCTATTCAGGCTTCTACCGAGTCAAGTTGCACCCAGAGTCGACGCAGCTTACGACTTTTATCACACCGTTTGGCCGGTACAAATTTAATGGATGACCATTTGGAATCTCCTGCACGCCGGGGATCTTTCAGCGAATGATGCACCAAATTCTTGAAGGATTGGAAGGAGTCACATGCCTTATCAATGATATTTTGATATGGGCCTACACACGTAGGGAACACAACATTCGTCTCCAAAGAGTCCTCGCAAGATTGCAAGAAAATGGGATCACCCTAAACGTACAGAAATGAGTGTTTGCTCAGGAACAAATTCAGTTCCTTAGACACGTCATTAATCACAGGGGTGTAAGCCCAGATAATGAAAAAATATCAAGTATCTTAAACATGCCTCCTCCGACGAATACAACAGAGCTAAAAAGGTTCCTCGGTATGGTAAACTTTATTGCAAGATTTATACCAAACCTAGCAGGTGTACTTCAGCCCTTGCGAGAGCTGCTCCACAAGGATGTCGAATTTGTCTGGGAGACTCCTCAGCAGCAAGCGTTCGAGAGGGTAAAATCAAGCCTGACATCTCAACCAGTCTTAGCAGTCTACTCTCCAACAAAAGCGACAATATTATCAGCAGACGTCTCCAGCTACGGTGTAGGAGCAGTGCTCATGCAGCATTAGGAAGATGAAACTCTGCGACCAGTTGCCTACATTTCAAAATCATCATCTGAAACAGAAAGAGGGTATTCTCAAATCGAAAAGGAAGTGTTTGCAATCACCTGGGCCTGCGAAAAGCTGAAGGACTATCTTGTAGGACTAACCTTTCACATTGAGACTGATCAGAAGCCTCTGTACCACTGTTTACCAGAAAGCCTGTGGACGATCTTACACCCAGACTTCAGCGAATGCGTCTCCGGATGATGAGGTACAACTTCACAATGGAACATGTTCCGGGAAAAGACCTCGTCGCAGAAAACCTATTGAGACAACCTCTCAAGAATGAAGACGGCCTGTGCATAGCAGAAGAAATAACAGAATTCGAGCATGCTCTCGTTTATCACATACCGGCTTCAGATGTCTGTCGGGAACAACTGTCGGCAGCTCAAGACAATGACCCGATCGTGAACATTTTGAAAAAGTACATAACCGAAGGGTGGCCCACTAGTAAATCAAGAACACCTCAGGACTGCCTTCAATACAGGCAGTTCGAAGACAAACTTACATTGTATGACGGCATTATAATGAGAAACTCGCGATACCTAGTACATCCTCTCAATGAGACCTTCAGTACTGCAGTTTCTACACGATGGACACGAGGGCGTTGTGAAGTGCTCAAGAAGAGCCCAAGAGTCGTGTTGGTGGCCTGGCATCACTAGAGACTTTACAGAAATGGTTGAAAGGTGTGCCAGCTGTCTGCACCGGAGGCAGCACAGAAGCCAACCACTGATCCCAGCTCCGCTCCCAGAACGCCCTTGGCAAAAGCTGGCCATGGACATCTTCTACGTGGAAGGCAAGAACTATCTCCTTATCACTGATTATTATTCTAGATATTTCGAAGTAGCCCTCCTCGAAGACCAATCACCGGAAACAACCATTCTAAAAGCAAAGCCGATTTTCGCTAGGCAACGGGATACCTGAGACGGTCATTACACACAATGGCCCCCAATTTCAATCGGCATTCGTGTCATTTAGCAAAGAATGGGGCTTTCGACACGTCACGTCAAGCCCAAAGTATTCTCAAAGTAACGGTGCAGCAGAAGCGGCTGTCATGATAGAAAAAATGAAGTTTAAGAAGTCAGTTGACCCTTATAGAGCGTTTCTTGCATATTGTGCTACACTATTAGCTTGTGGATTCAGTCCCGCAGAGCTCTTGTTCAGCAGAAAGATTCAAACCCAGGTGCCGGTCCTACCACATCTGCTCAACCCAAAAGCACCTGACCTCTCCCTGTTGAAAGAGAGCGAGAGCCAAGCAAAAAACAAGCAAGCGTCTGGCTTCAACAGTTAGGAACCTGCCAGAGCTTCAATCATCACAGAAAGTCTGGATCAAGGACCTAAATAAAGGGGGGGAGAGTACTCAAGAAAGCCGATTTGCCGCGCTCATATTAGGTATCCACAAAGGATGACACTGTCCGGCGAAACGCAAAGTTTCTGGTTATTGATCGAAGCGAAAACAAGGAGGACGATGAGATGTCGTACAATGATTTGCCAGTTACAAGCTTATACAAAGGCCACCAGGACGATAAACCACTGAGTGTTGATAATGAACCACTCAGTGTTAATGATGAACCACTCAGTGTTGATGATGAACCGCTCAGTGTTCACGTAGAGCCACAAAGTGGGTACACTACACGAGCGGGAAGATTGGTCAAGCCACCAAGTCGTTTTGGACAATAAGGAAAAGGGGAGATGTTGAATAGCCGGGGCTCGAAGACAACGAAGCGCATAGAGAGTGGAAACTACATCTCGTGCTGGACTTCGGGCTGACTCAAGACGCATCACTTCATCTCATTCTATGTACATAGCTGAGTAAACCCACCTACTACAAAAAAACAGCTTCCATTCCTCACCCTGGAGTGGAAGCTATGCTAGGTTTAAATATATTTTTTCGTGTATCTTCTTCTTTAGTTTAAAAAGTTGGGAGGGAGATTGTACGTATTGAAGGAGACATCAGGGGGTAAAAGTTTAAAAAATTTTATTGCTAATTGAAAGAACTGTGCTGTCTGTCCTTGTCCCGAAGTGTTTCTATTCTTTCTTTGATTCTGGCACATGCTCCATACCGTATTTACTCGCATAATGAACACACTTTTTTTCTGAAAAACTGGCGCGTATTTGGGGGAAGTGTATTGACATATATTTGGGGGGGGGGGGGGGCGTTCATTACACAGGGTAAAGTTTTTGCATTTACACACTTCGTGCAAATATCATATTATGTGCCAATACGACACGGCAAGGTACTATGGCACGTCTCCAGTGATAGAGTCGCACCCACGGCTGGTCGGGGGTGCGCCACAATAACCATGCTTTATAAATAGCAAACCTTTTTGGGGCGCTTTCGGAATGCCTTTTGCCGAAGGAAAAGCGCCCTACGAAACTCACTCAGCACGAAAAGCAACTCGACCGTTCTTAGACGATCCATATTGCTAGTATCTGGCGGGTACGTTCAGGTATAATCCGCGACTACGTATATAAGAACTCGTAGGAAATCCAACCCCCGACCTCCGAAGCCCACTCGCATGGATCAAGTTTCGTTCACGGACACAAGACCTTGTAGGAAGTCTAACCGCCGACCCCCGAAGCCCGCTCACACGTATCAAGTTTCGTTCACGGAGAGGCTACCAGACACTCTCAGCCTACAGTGCAGCGTGCAGTGCACCTCGCTGTGTCGTTCTGTTGCGGATTAAATAAACGCATTTACCCCGAGTATGTGGAATTAGGCCTAACCGCTTTCACGATTTCGCTGTCCGAAAGCAGACCACAGACGACAACTTGTTTGTTGACATCAATGCATCCGATAGGCGAAGAATGTCCGGGGCTCGGCAATTCCTTGACCCAAGCTTCATCCAGTGTGCGCGACGCTCGGTTTTACGGTTGATCACTTCCGTAACTACCGCAACTACGCACTTGTGGCCATTACGAGAGCAGCCTGGCATGGCTTGACTTGGCTTGACTTAACCTGACCGCTTGGGGGCAAAGGAAAACTGGCTTGGTGGCTTGCTAAATTAAACGCAATTCGAGACTCGCGGATCCAAAATTTGGAGGTGCATTGATTACGGGAGGGAAAAAAAAAAATAGCCAAAATATTGATGCCTGTTGGGGGGGTGCGTTTATTATGCAAGTGCGTTTATTACGCGAGTAAATATAGTATTCACTTCCCGGGGTTTTGTTTATAAACAGAAGAGATGCTTACATAGTGAAAAAGTCCCTCTTGGGTACTCATTACGTGCATTTGGACTGTCCCAGGTCAGGGGTGTCCGAATTATGAACTCATCTGACTTGGAAGACTGCTATGTATCTGGGTGCCTAAGGGCAGCTCAGTACTGTATTTACATGATTGTAAGTCGACTCGATTGTAAGTCAACCCCCCAATATTGCACATCAGCAAAAAAAAAAAAAAAAAAAACAACTTTCGATGCGCATTTTATTGCGAACACATAGGACGACAAAGTATCTATTTCGAAAGCCCAGCCGCTAACACGCGACCGATGCCTTCTGGCGTGCTTTGGCTGCTGGAGACTGGACAACTGAGCTGCTCCCTGTCGTTCTCACTCTGTCCGCAACTAGACTACGACTCGTCTGCACAGGTGACGTCAGTCCCGTCATCATCACTGCTACGTTTTCCAAGCACGTCGTTGGCGTCGTCTAACAAAATCTCGCACTTCGCACATGACAGCATCAACCGCATCCTTCGCGCTTCTCGGCGATCGCTTTGCATGTCACGGGTAGGGACCGATGGCATACTTTTGCGGTGTACATTGCAAGCCTGACCTTTAACTTCGGAAGGCATCCCCACCTATCCAGACTCTGGCCCGCGGAAGAATCTTCATTTGCCGTCACAGTTTAAGATCCCGCGCCATTGCAGACTCCAATGGAGCATCACCCACTTTGATGGGTCGAATTTGCGTCCAACAGCGCAGTTGTTGGCTGCTTCTGGGTGAAGAATGGCCGTAAACAAGCACCAAAAATCTAAACTGCCCAGATCACAGATGTCAATACAAAAAAACATAGTTAGCACTTCAGCATGATCTTGACACTCAATCAAACAATGAGCGACCGTGATTCATGTGAAAAATTGCGAAAAGAAGCCGCGGGGAGTGAGCCATGAGGCTGTTCCAGCGACCTCCGGAGTGGCTCTTGCAAGAAGTGCCGCCATCCCTGGATGTCGGGTGCGCCGTGCGCTATTCACCGCCTTACATTCGGGTTAATTTGCGAATCGCTATCAATAATACTCGTTCGTGCAAATTAAAAAAAAAAGTATTTGTAAAATGAGCGCACAGAATAGCGCAATGCTAAAGGCACAGCCGGCTGAACTCGTAACAAGCCGAGCTGTTCTTGATATTGCAATTGTTTCTTTTTTTGTCGGTGATGGAATACTTTGGTTCGATTATAAGTCAAACCCCCTACTTGAGATTTTCAAAAATTGAAAAATGGGTCGACCTACATTCGTGTAAATACAGTATTTTTGTCAGCTGTTTAAACATGGCTCTCTTAAAGTTGACATGCATTCAGTACATTCTGTCTGGCAGAAAGCTCTTCCCCAATCTCCTCTTTATTCCTTCTCACACTTTTCCCTCTCCCTCTCCCAAAAGAAGGTGGTCTGGGAGCTACTCTCCTCAAAGAGGACATGAAGTTTCTTCCTTTCTTTAATGAGAGGGAACAATTCAGCTGCTGTTTTCTCCTTTCTGTTTGGAACCTTTATGACCAGTGCCGAGGTAAACAGCACTAAGGGTTTTCTTTTTTAAAAATAATAACTAGCTATACCAGGGGTGGCCAGGCTGACCCGACCTGAGAGCTGCAAACAGAACCACGAAACTTCCAAGAGCCGCGGGGGGGGCGGGGGGGGGGGGAGGGAGGGAGGGGGAGGGAGGGAGGGAGGGAGGGAGGGAGGGAGGGAGGGAAGGAGGGAGGGAGGGAGGGAGGGAGGGAGGGAGGGAGGGGGGAGGGGGGAGGAGGGAGGGAGGGAGGGAGGGGGGGGGGGACTTTTGTTTAGAGCAATAAATGAAACTCAAGCTACTTTCAATCTATCCGAGTCAAAAGCAGTCCAACTGTACGTAAGGTAGCAGTAGCGCAAGACTATTAAACCGCAACCTGCTTTTTGATTTAAATTGCGAAACAAATTCCAAAAACAAATTTCAAAAACAAATTTAAATTGCGAAACAAATTCTATTTCTTTTTTCGGGGAAGTGCTCGTGTGACTGAGAGGAAGGCGGGGGAGTTGGGGGGGGGGATCCACGAGCCGCACTTTAACGAGCGAAGAACCGCATGTGGCTCGCGAGTCGCAGCTTGGCCTCTGGCTACTTCTGAGCTATACAAATGAAGAGAAAGATTGTTTTGTAGTTACAACAATGCTTGAAAGGTGCTTGTATTCTTTTACTTGATACTGCTAAAGTTGTTGGGTGAAAGCTACAGCACATTGTTGTTCTTGTTCCCTGAAGTTCTGTTATCAGGAAGAAGTGGCTTCAGTTTGCCTACTACGCTGGTCTCTGTTTGTGGATGCTGAGTGTGGTCTACGTGTTCTGGAAGTTCTCCCCTTTCTGCTATGGAACAACTGCCCTCTCTGCCGACGAGGTTCAAGCCCTCAAGTGGAAGGACTCGTGGAACTTCATCATTCACCGTCCCTGATGTGTGCCATCTTAATGTGATTGTTTGACGTGTGCTGCACAACACAGCATGAAGATGACATCTGTGCTGTTTCACATTTTACTCATACAGGTTAGTGTCGAAACACTGAACATTAGTACCTGGATTGGTGCTCCACATAAGCACATTCCACTACGCTAGTAGTCCGGATCACTGCCAGCCAGCTGTTTAAGGGAAAATGCAAGAACTGGCAGTTGCTAGATTGCACTGTGTCACACATGGCACTAGCACCCTCTACTTTCAAGCTCTCATTGGCCCGAGGATTGTGTTTTTGAATTGAAAGGAGGCCAAATCAAATGAGCAAAAAAAAAGTAATGGCTGGTACAATGGTAAATTTTTGTATAGCATTTTATTAGCTTTTTCCAGCTGTGCTTTGGAAAAACATTTAGGTGTTGGTAGGTTTTAGGGGGTTCATTGAATGAGGCAAAAATGAACTACTGCAGCTGCATTTTGTTTTGAAGGACAATTCATCTGCCGTTAACCTGCATTTTGTTTGGACAATAGTTTCTCTGCCATTGTTTCTTTTATCTGTAAATGCTATGGGGGTGTTTACAAGATAATGTAAAGAATAACAAGGAAGTGTTCCTGTAATTATGGAGCTTTACCATGGCAAAGGGACAGTTAACTGTATGTTCAGAGTATTGTAGCAGTTTTTCTGTGCCTTGTTATCTTTCTTGCTCACATAAATTGCTTTCAATTATGTTCTCTTTGCAAGACGAAATGTGCAATTTCATGTACCAGAAAATGTTACAGTGTATGTTGCACCTGGTAATGACCTTTTTATGGCCTTGATTCGCATGGGAGTTAGGGTACCTAATGTTTTTATGAACACTAGTACAGTGCAATCCGCTTATAACGATACCACATATAACAATGTACTGTTTATAACGATCAGTTTCTAAAGTTTCTAGACAAGAAACGCTCAGTTTCTAGACTGGAAACGCTCGGTTTCTAGTCCAGATACAACAATCATCGGTTATAATGGTTCAATTTTTGGGATTTTTTATTATTGCTATAAGCAAATTGCACTGTATGCCAATTTTAAACCTTTCTGGCTATTTTGGTCTGCTTTTGTTACTAGATCTAGACTAATCCTGGATGTAATTTATAGTCTACTATGTACATTGAAAAGAATCCTGGAGGTCTTTTTTATCCCCAAAGTGTTTGCTATGTTTTATGAGATCTGAGAAACAGTTATTTTAGAATATGAGAGATATGTGTGCGGCATCTTTTTTGTGGCCTCACATATTTTATGTTTGGAAATAGGGGTGACTTGCCACTTTGTAAACATTGGTGTAAAGGATGTCTTCCCCATCTTTTGTTTGTTTTGATGTGGGCATGAGTGAACGATCCCTTCTCATGAGCATATGATCATATTTTTGAGGTCTAGGTTTATACATCTTATATGAGGCCTATTTTTTCTTGTTTGATACCTCTAATGCTCAACAAATACTTAACTGAACATATATGGCTCTTCATGTGGTTTCTCATTCGTGGTTTGTCTTTTCTTGGTCTCTTAAACACTACTCTGTTTTTCTTTCCTTTTTTTTGTTTTGGTGGAGAAGAGAATGCTGCAGAATGAACAAGTTAGAATTCTCAGCAGATTTCAATCTTTGACAATTTCTACTTGAATGCACATGTCATGGAGTAAAACAAGAGTGACAAGTCTTTATTACTGTGAAACTTGTACCTACTAGTATTTTTGTAGCACCCTTGAACATGATATAGTTGAATCTCACATAGCTGACATACTTCTAAAAATAGGGTGGAATTTGATAACAAGAGGGGATCTTTATCAATGCACATCTTCTAAATAACTGTTTAAAAAACTCACATTCTTCTTTAAACATCTTTTTACTGTTATACTTCGAGCCTGAATGTCTTTTGTTAATGACTGTTATTCTCATAGGAGGTATCCCTTCAAGAGAAATAGGTTTATTGTGTCACAAGTGTGCAAAATTTGTAAGCCTGTACAAGTAACTACTAGTATGCCCAGGGTCTGTGAACTTTTACAGCACAGTTACTTAAAATGTGTGGGATATCTATTGCAATTTATGTTTGTGACAAATGTGTGCATCTGAATTCATTGTACAACGAACTAACGTTTTCCTCTATTGGGGTTGCATCCCAGTGAAGCTTCAAATTCACCAATAGTGTGACTTTGTGCCTTATTGCATTTTCATGAAAGAGAGGGAGTGCGATATTTGTGTTTAGGAGTATATGGATGATTTAAGGTCCAGGGAATAAAGCTTCTCAAGAAGTTTTCATCTTTTTCTTTGAAATCTCCTATTTGTCACAATCTGGTTATTATATTTAGTTATCCATGAAGAAACATTTTGAGAACGTAATATTTTCTTCTTTTGGACTTCGGTTCAAAGTTACAGCAAACAAGGTGACTCATTTGTTTTTAATTTTCCCCCTACCCCCTTACCCCTGACAGAAGATGACAAATTTCCTTGGGAGGGGGTGGCTCCACTAATACTTGGGACCACTTACCTATCCATTAAATACTCTTAGCCCCTAGCTCTTCAGCCATAGGGTATAAACATTAACACGCCATTTGCGCCAAATTCTGCTTTGAACGAAAGTCTGCTACATCTTGCGACAAAATGCCATTTTTGCCCAAAATTCTGCCACTCCTGCAGTTTGTAGGTGTGGCTTGAACAAATAAAAAATATCGAATTATTGGTCGATTCTAATCAGAAGTAGAAGGAAAGTAAAATGGTACAACAAGGTACTACGTTTCTACCCACCATATATTTTGTTTCCTCTTGTGTTAGAGTAAAGTCGAAGGCTCGAAAACAACCCCCAGCACACACTAAGTCATCGGGCATTTACTTCAATTGATTGGTTTAGTCAGTGAAAAATACGCGTGCAGAAATATTACTAACGCCGTAGTCTCGCGCTTTTGACGCTGTTTGATTGGTGTCATCAACTCGTAGGACCTTTTTTTCGAAATGAGCTAAGTTTTTGTAAAGCAAAACAGATAAACAGGAATGTGCTTATGGGACTAGCTTGGAGCCCTGTACCGTAGCCACGTTTACATTGGTTTTTTCTTGCATAATATTACAGATTTCAGATTAATGCTTCGGATTTCAGCCGAAATTGGCTTAGTTTCAGTTTCTAAACTGGCTCATTTCGAAAAAAATAAAATAATTAACCCTCAAGTTTAAAGATTGCTCGCCAACCGTGCTGGTCCCGTCATTGAAGTTTCAGACGAGGTCGGCAATGTCGAGCTAAAAGTAACGAGACATTTTTTTCCAAAATATTGGGATGGCGGTTACTGTGATAGAGATTAGTGGATAAGACAGAACCAGGGCCCTTACTCCTAACGAGATCACTTGATTATCGTCATACCGTGGCTACAGTCGCTGCGTTCGAGTTGCCTGCATCGGTACAAAAAAAGTGTAGGGCGCTGTACTTTTGGTCGTATCTCAATGCTCATACTGGAAGTACACTGCCCTGCACTTTTTTGCACCGGTGCAGGTGAATCGAACGCAGCTAGTGTAGCGCGTCACTTGCGTACCACTCACATCAATCTGCACCGCCTCACAGCAGCGCACGCATCGAGCTTCACCGCTTTGAACCAGTGTTCTAGGAGCAGCGGCTCACATAAGGAAGCGCCTGGGTTGGCGTGATTGGCTTGAAAAGTATGCTCGCTTATATTACAGGTCGATCTTAGGTCTTGACTGTTGGCTGATCTCTAAGTTGATATATATATATATATATATGGGGTGAAGTAAGGTAAATAAAAAAAAAAAAAAAAAAAAACAATGGACCGGGAAAAGTTAAGTCAAAGAGGCGTACTGTCGGAGCTACTACTTCGAAATTTATTACGACCTTTCAAGCGGGTACCGCTCTTCATCAGGTAAGGAGTGTACAGCCCGTGAATGTTTATATACCCCTGAGATGAAATTAGAGGGGGTCAAGAGCAGTAAGGAATGGAAATAACGTCAAATCATATAATAGTTCACACAGAGGGGAAAGAAAACCAAAATTTGCGATTGCTAAAAAAAAAAAACGGTTGGGGAGAGATTATCCACGCTCGCACAACAGGAAAAGCGAAAAAAAAAGGCAAGTTTTAAATCATAAGAAAAAAAAAAAAAAAAAAAAGTGTGTGCCCGTAAGTTTCTGGCCCGAAAGTTACTGGCTCGTCTTCAAAGCAGATATAGGTCATATCACTCATATGTGACCCCCAAACGTACCAAATCCCGAGACATTAGTTTGTGCTAGAAGATCGAAGTTTGAGGTGGATTAAAACTTAGGGGGATTTTTCCTTGAATAAGGAGTGGTAGGATGTAACAGTCTATTTCTGCCTGAGATTAACCGTTTGAGCCCCATTTATCCGTTTTGGAGGTTCTCTTCGTACGTAAACGTATTAGGATGGGGTTTAAATATCGATTGTTAAATTTGAAGATCTAGTGTCTTCAGCGTGTGCATCTCGAGAAGCTCAAGGACGGAGAGGATCAGCTTTCCAACGAGCCAGCTACAAACTAAACAGCCTTCCCGGTCTTTCATTAATGCCCTGGTCAGGGCCTTAATGACCAGAGCATTAATGAAAGTCCGGGAAGGCTGTTTAGTTTGTAGCTGGCTCGTTGGAGAGCTGATCCTCTCCGTCCTTGAGCTTCTCGAGATGCACACGCTGAAGACACTAGGAGATCTTCAAATTTAACAATCGATATTTAAACCACATCCTAATACGTTTAAGTACGAAGAGAACCTCCAAAACTGATAAATCCGGCTCAAGCTGTTAATCTCAGGCAGGCATAGACTGTTACATCCTACCACTCCTTATTCCAGGAAAAATCCCCCAAAGTTTTAATCCATCTCAAACTTCGATCTTCTAGCACAAACGAATGCCTCGGGATTTGGTCCGTTCGGAGGTCACATATGCCCTCTATCTGCTTTGAAGACGAGCCACCCCTTCCCAACAAGAAACTTTCGGACACACTTTTTTTTGTGTGTTTTTCTTCTTTTGATTCAAAACTTACCTTTTTTTGTCTGCTTTTCCTGTTGTGCGAGCGTAAATAATCTCTTCCCAACCGTTTTTTTTTAGCTTTTGCAAGTTTTGGTTTCCTTTCCCCTCTGTGTGAACTACTAGTTTGACAACGTTATTTCCATTTCCTATTGGTCTTTACCCCCTCCAAATTCTCCTTAGGGGTATATAAACATTCACGGGCTGTACACTCCTTACCTGATGAAGAGCGGTCCCCGCTCGAAACGTCGGAATAAACTTCGAAGTATATATATATATATATATATATTCTCCATCAAATGACAACATACGAATTTGCATGCCTTGATGGAAGGACACCATGAGAAGGCATCCGGAAGCAAGGTTACATTTGTTGACATATTCACCTTTAAAATCTCAGCGTTTTACCATATTCCTGTTTCTGGTGGGCGATTCAGACGAGCCAAATGTACTGAAAGCCGCGAAAAAGCAGCGGGGTTAATTTTATTTTTTTATTAAATGATTACCCCATATTGCGCGAGCGTTTTATAACACCTTACACGTTTCAATTTAACCAATTTAACAAAGTCCCTTGTTTGAACTTAACAACAGTTGCTTCTCGATGTTGCTGTCTGCAAAGGAGAAAAGGGTAGGGCTTTTGCAAGGTCAGTCTTGAAAATTACCAGTCCTTCGTGAAGGTCGGATTCGTAGTTCAGTTTGAAGGTGGGGGAGAAGGTAGTTGGAATAAAGGGTAATTTTTGTGTATCTTTTAAATGACCAATTTTCGAGCTACGAGGGTTCGTTCGATGTCTGGTAACCTCTGGTGTTTGGTTGTAACTATCGGTCTCTTTCTGTTAGTTCAGTGATGGCTGTAGTCGGCCTATTTCTGGGTGTATGAGGATTCGTGGAAGCAAAGAAAGTAGCTAAGCTTGAGAGGTCCCTCTTTTTGTTTCTTTTGACTAAAAGTTGTGTTTGTTGTGCTGCAGTCTTAGGTACTGAAAAACGAATCAATGTCCACCAACTTGCTTGCACCGGACTGTTGCCATGCAAGGACCCCACAAAATAAATTCTAATATAAGTAACAAAAAGGTTAGCGAGATCCTGCTTTTTGAAAAATTATTGTTCTTATACCTTTTAGAGTTTCCCCTTAGAAATAAAATAAAAATTACCTCACCGAACCCCCTTCCTTCCAACCCCCCCCCCAAAAAAAAAAGGAACGCCTTTTTTTTTTTTTTTTTTTTCTAAGAAGGTAATCATGATTTCAGTTCCACCAATGCAAGATGGAACGGCGCGGCATTCCTTCATTCCTTGTAAAAGGAACGCGTTCCAGGAACGCCGTTCCGTACAACACTGATTTGAAGGTATGTAGTTCCTGGTGGTTCCCGCGCTGCAGTCGATCGAAAAATAGCGAACTTCGATTCAACCCTGGTCATAACGCCACTAAAGCGCAGTGTCACTTTGAAAGCACAACTGTATATTTGTATAACATTTCTGGGTGGCTGTTTTTACACTTTATGATAGAAGCTTTAGTTTTGTAGATTCAGGAAACTTGGGAGAACGTGTTTTTGTTGACAAGCATTTTAGCAGATAGGCTTTTTTTTCATTTTACCGGAATTGTATTTACAGGCTAAATAAGCTACCGAGTGTGAAATGGGAAAGTGCCGGGGGAGGTTTTATCTCACCCGAAGGGTTGGGCTGTGCTTACTTTTTTCAACCGTTTTTTTTAGCAATTGTAAATTGAATTTACTCTAACTTTAGTCTTCTAGGTAGTCTAAGTTGGGGGGCATGCCCACGCGTTGCCGCCTTGGAGCCCACACTCTAAAAAAAGGGTACCGCCTTACACCCTTTTGTCCCATATAATGCACCCCAAAACTTCAGTTCGACGTGCAGCGCACTATTAGCCCCGAGAAGTTCGCGTGGCGCCCCTTACGGCGAACTAGGGTGACGTCACGGCGAGGACAGAATTATTCTTCAACTCGCCCCGCTCGCCCTGTGGAGGCTGTGACAACGTTAGCTGTCGGTGCGCTCGTTTCTATTAAAAAAAAAAAAAAAAAAAAAAAAAGGTTGCGTGTTTTTTGTAGGAAGTGTAAATTTTCCTATGTGGCTTTCTTGAGGTATGGCCTGTAGCAGCAGGCGAAACTTCAACCGACATTTCAAGCATGGCTGACAGGGCAGGCAACGCATGAATCGCAGTTGGTATATGAAAATAAAGAAATATGACCAGAATTGCAGGAGCGTCGCTATAGATTTACATCTCGCACAATAAATGCTGCTTATGGTCAGAATGAATTGACAGGTTATGTACC